TAGTAAGCAAACCAGATGACTACAAAAGGCGAGGACTTGTGGGTAACTAATTACGTGGTTCGGCCAACATGGGCTGTTCTCGTCGGATTCCTGAGGTCCAATTTGTGTGAGGAACATAGGTGTCCTTATCTCAGTTTGGCTAGACATAGTGCCGCTTTTGCCAAGGACATCACGGGAAGGATAACTTGGCGTTCAGTGTTCGATGGTCGTGAAACGGTCGTGTCGCCAGGTCCGACAGCCCGGAAATCCTTGCGAACTGCTGTTTGCAATGTCGTGGCCTTTTGTTGAAAAACAGACACGTTGCCGACAAACGCTTGCCCTTGAAGGGAATGTTGTTTTTGTTTTTGAGGGGCCTTGCATGTCTGGTTTTAAATGTATTGAATTCATCTTCCTGATGGGTGGGTGTCTGTGGGAATGCAAACACATATCCACAGAATTGTGTTGATTAATTCGGGTCTGAGGGATTTGAAAGGGACAGACGTGTTGCGTTCGCTTTTCCTCATTTGCCGAGTGCCTCATTTTCACGACTGCCCCAGGTAGTTGTCATGGTGAACCGAAGTTGACTGAACAAAAAATACATTGTTAGATGGTTTCACCCTGTACATAATCCAAGCTGATTACTTCTAGCGAAGGTTTATGCCCTCTTTCTGACTGCTTATTTGGCCTGACACCTAATTAATATGTTGGTCAACTCAACGCCACGCTGAGTCCCTTTGCTCCCTGTGCGGACAACATGGTTCTAGGGCCACTTTCTGTGACGAGACAAAGTCGACATGAGGATGGCCCATTTGGTTTCACAGAAAGGGTTGTTTCCCCCACTGAGCTATGGCGCGCTTGTCATCCTGGTGCTCATGGTGCATCAGGTGCGGTCGCATGCGCCGGGGACTCTTGCCGGGGTCCCAGGGGTGGAACCCAAGGGTTTGGAGCGTGGGTTGAGTATAGGCAGCGTTCCAGGTGTTTGCAAGGGGCAAATGACCCCAACTCTCCCCAAAGGTATGCGCAATGAATTTGTCTACCCAATATACATGTGAGTTTTTGACAAGGGAACCATGGGAGTATGAACAATGGCTATGTACTTCCACTCTGTGAATCAACACAAGTTGGACCAAATTTGCACCACTTGTTCAAGGAGCTAAAAGGCACCCAGGAAATATGCAGTGTTTTACTTGCCCGTTTGGTTCTTGTCCGTGCTGCTCAAGCTCGTAGAAGCAAATTGTGGGGGATCGGCTCCTGGTCTGTTGGGATTTAATTTGTTGCTTGTGTCCTTGTAGTTTTTGTGCATGTTTGGTGTTTTTGTTTCCTTTATTTTCCTTTTATGTTTCCGTGTTACAGTTGCAAAGAACTCGATGTCAATGTCCGTGCTGAGAGCAGAAATGATCATTTCGGCCCTTTAACAACCAAGGCCAAGAATAGAGCAAAGAACCCAATGGATTCCCACTGCCCAGAAAGGGGCCAAAGCTAACCTCCGAAGCTTTTGTGGAGCCTTTAGTGTTTTGGTTCCCCTCACTCTTGTTGGCAGGTGTTTAGGAATGTTTTTCTTTTTTTTTATGATTCAGTTCATTTTTAGTAGGCTGCAAGAACCAAAGTTGTCTACCGGGGTACCATACCAAGGCTTGTAAAGTTTCCCTGCACTGGTCACAGGTGTGCTGCTACCGCAGCTACACCGCGCCCAAGCCGCAAGACCCGCTCGGACGCCCAGTTGGGTCGAAGAGGACATTTTTGGGTCTGTGCTTTTTGAGGGTGTATTCACGTTGGTTTCAAGAGAAATGAACAGGGAAACCACCTGTTTCGGGTCCCCCTGTTTTGAACGCTTGCCTACGGATTGTGCGAGCGCCGTCGTGTTACGGACTTTTGGAGAGCGTCCTGCCTTGACCTTGTTTCAGTACACTTTTGCCCGTCCGAGCACTGGGTCTTTTGGTAGGGCACGCATGCTGTTTACCCTTTCTTTTGGCTCCTGTCCTTGAAAAGCCAGGCTTGCGAGTTGTTTCTTTGTCTCACTTGGTGTGTAATATGAATTTAAATTCAGGACGCCCCCTGGAAAGTGGTGGACAGTTTGAACCCCCACCTAAATGCTGTCCACCATTACGGGAAATTCAATATTTTATTACTATCATGGTTCATCCTAGGCATGTTTGCTTATCCAGGGCTGTACCTTGAGCAGGCGTGACTTTCCAGCTGTGATGCAAAAGCAGATGGGGCTTGATCCAAAATCCATTGGGGCCCTAGTTTTGACCATGGGTAGCTTTTTGCATGAAGGTGAACGCCATTGTTTCTGTGGTTTCCTTAATGGTCACCCTATGTAAAGGACCTTTTGGTAAACCATATGGGGCAACCCCCGGAGAATGCCAGGAGAGATTTGCTTGGATTGTTTGAGGCTGAGGGATATGCGGAAGCCAAAGATAGCAAGCTCACCATTCGGAGATTCAGAGACGTAGGAAGGGGCTTGACAGTTGAGTGTCTCGTATGATTGTTGGGGGTCCCCCAAAATGGTTGTGTTCCGTGTGGTTTCCCTTTTAAACAGCCAAAACAGGGTTGTTCTTTGCTGGTTTTCCAGCGGATATTGGAATTTTTTGTGCGTAGCTGAGGCAATGGACGATGTCTATCCAGATATATGTTTTGGCGAGCTCGTTTGCCGGGGGGAAAAAGTGAGTTGGGAAGCATTGCTATGGCACAGATCCTTGCTGGACCCTTGCTCACTCTTTTTCACTACTGTATCTCCCACTTGCGAGTACCCCGCAATGGTTGTTTTCCCATTTTGGGCTCCCTTTGAACAACCCAAAAAGATACCCCAAAGATGAAGCACCTTGGGGCAAACTTCCGTGATTGGCTTGCGACGGTCGAAATAAATGTGTCCCTTATGGGCTTCAAGAACATAATGCCACACTGCCTTTGAATGGAGGTGCCTTTTTGTTAGCTGTGGCATTTTGCCACCCTGTTTGATCCAGCAAAAACATGTTGAAGATGGACCCATCTTAGAGAGGAGTCATGCAAGTTGGTTCGACTTTATTTAATATTGGTGCATTTGGACCTATTTGTTAGTTTTAGTTATGTGGTTTGCCCTGCCACTCGATGAAGTTATGTTGTGAGAGTTCTCCTTAGGAAGCTGAGCATTCGGCAGGAACCCAAGGCGACAAAACCCGTTGCCACGAATCGGTGCCTGGGAGGCCTGGGGCTCTATCCTCAATTCCGAGATGTCCCTTGTTCGTCGGTTTTTTTCAACCTCCAAGGCTTGAAGGTTTTTGCCGATTTTCCAAGACTGCGTTTGAATTTTATGTGGGAGAGGTGAGGTTTCCCTTCCGATGATTTGTGCTCCCCTAGGCCCGATGGTTGGCTTTGACCCAAACACTTGGAGTGGATTTGGCCTGGAATTCTATGTTTCCAGGTCAGCAAAGCACATCCCAAAGCCCCCGCCCATCGTTGCGGGGTTTCCATCTGAACCTCCTTCCCATTCCAGCAGCTTAAAACCGCCTCGGCCTGGCAAGGGCCATGACCTTTACATCGGTAGAACCCAAAGTCGAGCTGTTTTTTGGGCGCGGCTCAGTTGAGAGATTTGCAGACCCACCTACTTACATCCCCGCAAATTCACATGCAACCCCAAGAGCGGGCGTTGCACAACAGGGGGGGGGGGGGGGGCAGGAGGAGATCTTTCTTAAAACGATGCTTGGTGGGTTCCATGTTAAGCTGTGTAAACATTGGCGTTTCTTCAGGGCTCCTTAAAAGATACATTTTGCCCATTTGAAACATGGCTTTCCCCCCCCCCCAAATACAGGGAAACCACCATTTACAAGGCAATGTTCAGGTGTATAATGTATGGATCCCTGTTTGACCGCTCTTTTGCCGGGGTTCGCCGCTTCAGGAAGCGCTCACGCATCTTCCGCTGGCAAGTGCTGCTGGTTCAGCGCCTCTGGCTGCAAATGGGCAGTGTGGTGTCTGATGGCTCCCTGCGATAGGACGCTTGAAACGGAAACCCTCTTGGAGTGGCCCTGGCTTGCGCAAAACGCAAGACAACACACCCACACATTGTCGGATACACCGGCAGCTATGAATGGTTGTTTCCTGTCAGGACCTCATATAATGTTTGTGCTGCTGTTACCTAAACACACCTCATGTCAAAAAGGAGAAGAAAGACGAAACCGAGATGACCGGACCCCAATAATGGTTTGCTGCCCACGTGCTGTTGTTCTTTGTTTAAAACTACTCCCCTGCAAATTCACACAAAAAGCCAAGACGGGATGCCCCAAAAGGAGTTTCTCCTCTAAGCATGCTGGTTTCTTCGCATCCACCTGGAAAATTCGGCGGGTTCGCCGGATAAAACATGGTTGTCGTTCGGACACATTTTACATTTTTGCTTGTTGCGGTTTAGTGGGAAATCCCACTGAACTGCTAACATTTGAATTGTTGCTCCCCTTCCAACGTCAACCCGCCAAAAAAAAAGTATCCTTCAGCTAGCGGAAGGCCTGGCAGTGTCCTTCCCCTAGCGCAGCAGAACCCTTAAGGTTGGATGTCCCCAGGCTTGTCAGGTACCTGTTTTAGGGGTATGGGAACAGGATGATGGCTGCATGGTGCCTGGAGTCCTTGCTGTGACTGTTCATGTGTCCGGCCTGCAGCATTTCGATCCCATGAGTGCCCCCTGGCTTCTCTACCTGGGGGTAATGAGCCAGCATGAATGAACCCGTGTGTAGCAATATCGGGGAAGGTGTCCTGGTTCTAGTGGTTGGTTTCAACCACTTTTGAAGTGGGGTCGACCCCCATATGAATAAACAGGGGTTGATTAATCCGGGGTCAACATTACCCGCAAGCACATGGTGACATACTGTGGCATTTCGCACCACGAAATGAAACCAAGGATGAAAACACGGCTTCTTGCTATTTACGTTGGGGAGTCGAATGGGGGGTTCCTCCATGGGTGCTACGAAGTGGATTTTTCGTCCATCCACAGTACCTTCTGTCAGGGGAAAGCGTCTCATGTGCGCCGACCCCTAAGGAATCCAGTCGAGTGGATGGAGGCGGGTGGGGAACGTTTGGGAACGTTTAAATGGCTTTGCCAGTTGAGTGTCTGCGGTCGTTCATTGCTTCACAAAAAGACAATACTACATCGTGCCTCCAAAAGTCCATAAATTTGCAGTTGTTTGTTAGCCTGAAGAGGACCAGGTGAGCCCACCCAAGTTGCCCAAAATTGCTGAAGGATCAGATTGAAGCGTTGCCCTTGCACTTGGACCCGCCACCCGCCTTGCGGAGTTCGCGAAGCGCTTGGGTTCAAATCCTTTGACTGCGCCATCGACTTCGCACCCGGGGATGTGGGTGTGGGCGTTTTGAGGCTCGGTACCCTTTTCAGCTTGGTTTGAAGCGACACAAAGAAACCCACCAGTTGGGGGGTACCCCTATTTAGGCCGTGTGTTTGTGTGTGTGTGTGTGCACATGTGTGTTTGATTTAGTGATTGTCTGGAGGTACACGAGTATGAAACGCATGATAGACCAGGCTCCGCTGGTTGACTGGTTCGAGATGCCGACCAGGGTGTCGCGGATCAATCGCCGGCAGCACCAGGTGTCCGATGTTGCCAACGTGACCTTGTGGCTTTCATGGCCTTGAAGGGTGGGTACCCTCCATCACTAGTTGGTGGCCTGAATGGCCTTGAAGGGTGGGTGCCCTCTATTAATAAGGGTTGGTTTATGTTCCTTTTTTTATGCAAGGGAATCTATCACCAGTGGATGTCCTTTTTGCTCCGAGGGGGTTAAGCAAATGGATGCAGACATGGTGGACACTTCCGGGTGGCATGGGTCACGCAGATCAAAGCTCATGTTGTTTTGGGCGCCAGGATCACTAGGCACAGTTTCCCTGTGGGGACTCTGGGGCAATCCTTGATTGCCCTTCTTTGGTTACAAAGCGGGGGGTGAATTCCCAATTAGGATCGTGGACGTGTGGGCGGTGTAAGATTTGTACCTGTCTTTTGGGTCCTGTAAATCAACTCCATTTTTAGACCACCTTCAAACCGCATCTCAACCACCCTCACACCTTCAAGCAACCTTCAAACCAGCTTCAGACTACCATGCCAAGCCACCCTTCACCCCTTCCCCTTCCCCCCCCCCCCCTTCACGCGACCCGCTGGCCGCAGGACCCGCTGGCCACCGAGCAGCGGGCGAAGCAGCGGAAGAGCCTCACGGACGCGGCCGGGAAGCCCGGCGGAGGGATGCGCCCATGGGGCCCTGAGCTTTTTGTTTCTCGTCTTTTTCTTGAAAACGGACGGACAGGGCCCGGGAAAAGCCTTAATGTAAAATTTGTATGTAGGGTTTCCCTTGAACCACCCAACCAAAGGGTATCCATTTACCTTTTTTTGTGGACCTAAAGTGGCGATCGGTTCAATGGAAACCAGTAAATTCATCAACTTCTGAAGGGGAGAATCAGTGACGCCTGCAAAAGGGGGAACAGCAAAGCTTGGTGAGAGCCAGGCAGACGCCGTTTGTTTTTAACAATTTGCCGCGCGCTCGTGCTTTCCGTAACTGGAGTGGAGCCTGTTGCTGTTGATGTCGCCGAGGCCGCATCGCCGAAGAAAGGCCAGGAGTTGTCGGATGGCCATGGAATCCGGAGTGGCACATGCCAGGTGTGTTTGTGTAGTTTTTTGTAGGGGAGAAGCTCTCTTGTGGCTTCTCGAGGCCCGAGTCTCGAGTTTTGGGCTTCTACACAATTTGGAAGACCCGTTAGTCAACAGGAAGACAACCATCTTGGGGGGGGGTCCTAATCTGAGAGACACAGGTTTCGAGTTCCATGTTTTCTTGGGAATGCTAGATTGCTGACTTGGAGAGACTCCCACCACCGGGAAGTTGATGGCATTGGCAGAGCAGAGTCCTCAGCTCCAGGTAAAGGTACACTTGGCCACAATTCAAACCAGATTCAAACTCAGGTCAAGCAGTTGAAATGCACAACCTCACATTGCCACCTTTGAAACATTGCTCCTGATAAGAATTAGATGGTTCCTTTTAGGCATGCATCTCAAACAATCTCCATTCGGGCAGGCCATCCGTTGTTTCTGTCCTCATTTTAGTGGTGGTTCTGTGTTTGTTTTTGCACAGGCTGCATGCAGAAGCAACTTGGTTCGCAAACATGGCAAGGGCTAGGCAGATGTTCGAAGTTTCGCCACGGCTCCGCAGTTTCCTTGGGCCAGGCTCCGACAGCAAGGCAGGGAGGGGATAGAGGGCATTCTGCGACACAAGTTCTAAGACAGCCGCAGGAACATCTACAGGAAGTCAACCATGTCTTATTTGTTGTTGCCATGATTTCAGGTTGTTTGCTTTTGTTCGTTGTGTTCAGTTTTAGCAAGGGGATACAAAAAGCAAGGTTCTACCACACTAGGGGTTGGCAAGATGTGACACAAGAGCGTTGGAAGGCTGTCCCCTTGAGCAAAGGTTATGTATTCACAAACCCATGCTTGTCGGAAAGAGCGAGGCTTATAAAGGTTCTATGTTCTTTTGCTGGTTGCTTGGAGTAATGCAGCCACTTCAGCTTAACTCTGCCAGACGCTGTTTAGAAGATGTCTTTCGCTCAATCGCAAGTGCTTCATCATTTTGCTCGAATGACTGATTCGCCCGAACAGGAAAGTGTGCCTTTGTGAAGATGGGCTTCAGGAGATGATCGCTCAGTGCCACTTAAGGATTCTTCTTACGCGTTCTTGGCATCTTATTATTTGTTGCATTGACTTTGTTTAGTTCTGCTTACGTTGGTAGCTGCTTGTTTGCCTTCAACCTGCGTTCTTGACCCTTCTGCTCTGTCATTCTTCCACCATACGCACATTCCCCTTCTTCTGAGCAAGCAAATCTCGTTCTGCGATTCTGGTTTGCCTTTTCAGACCGTGGCTATGTTTGTGAGTTCAACTCTAAGGAGAGACATTGGAACCCGTAGTTACTACCCCCAGAAAGGTGGAACGCGACGCCAGCGCAGCACCCATCGATATGCCCTTCGATCCGTACATCGGGGATTCAGGGATTCTAGTAAATCCAAGCAGACGTCAAAGACTTTGTGCCCAGGGAACCCCTTCAAAGTGGAAGGCGACACCTTTGTAGTCATACAAGGTGGTGGGGCAATACTTTTTCGATGGAGACGGCCATGAACCTTCCTTCGCATACCCTGCCCGAGTTCTTGTCCGTCCGACCGCCATTGGCCCACGTCAGGTCTTCGAGCTCTTCGGCGACTTTGATGTGGACGACCGGGCGCCCAAGTTCTCGAAGCTCCAAGCCGTTTCGCTCGCGGCTTTTGCATGCTAGTGCTTGTGCGCGTGGGTGCATTTGCGTTTTGTTTTGAGTGCATGAGTGTGTCTGTGTGTGAGAATGTGTGAGCATTTGTCAAGTGGGATGCAAGCATCTGTTTTGTGTGCATGACTCCCTTTCCGGATGATGTTCAGCACGCACAAGCAAACACGAGTAGATGAAACTCAACCAACAACCTATTGAGCGTTCATAGTTCATAGTTTGAACAGCAGTGGTTGTGTCACTTGAGAGCTAGTCTAGAAGCCTGCGTTCGGTTATTGTTTGTTCGAGCATGTTCAAAAAAATCCCTGCAGTATTGTCTCTCTCCGTTTTGGTTTGGGCAGATGAGTTTTCTGGGTGTCTCACCTCGATGTGTCCAAAGCTATTAGAAACCTAGTATGAGAACCCCTGGTTGATTCTGTGGGGGACCCCCCCGCCTTTGTATTCGCAAGGCGTTGAATTCTAAATTTCCCCAGAAGCAAACCAACAGGTGTTGGGGGGCATTGTCGAATTTTCCCCACCCCCTAGAATTTATATAGCACCCCAGATTTCAATCTGTTGAGATTCGAAGAAACAGATCCACGGCTCCCCACGACCCCAACCCCGCCGAGTGGTTCCTTCGCGTCACCACGCCGAAGCGTCCAGGCACTCTTCGAGGACCTTGAAGAGGCTCAGAGCGGTCTCGACTTGTGGGGGGGGGGGCGAAATCCTGCGCCACGTAAGAGACCCTGGAAGGATCACGATGATTCCCCTGTACAGTTGTACATTACCAAGGCATGGTGTCCCTTCGTTTCAACCTGCGAAATGGATTTTGTCCCTGCACATTATGTTCTTGGTGGCTCCCAGCCATCCGGTTCCATAGCCTTTTGGGTTTTTGGTGTTTAGTGCTGGTTTCCATCTCCACTAAAAGTTAGTCACTCTCAAAGCGGATCGGAAAACAGGCCGCCCAGTTCTGTGTGGTTTCTCGAAAATTTTGGGGGAAGCCCCTTCCGGTGGATGCCCCAGCCCAAAATTGCAAGTAAGGGAACAAGAAAACCCTAAACTTACTTCCTGAGTTCATGAACTTTAAACTTTTTGGGTTTGGACCATTTTAGTGGTAAATATAAAGTTTGGACTTTTTTTGGGCCATCCACTCAGCGAGTGAGTAAATCTACCGTAGTTTGCCATGGTTTTGTGGTTGGGCGTGATTGATTGATTTCGATATGTAGGGCATCCGCGGTAGGGTGGTTTTGAGGGAAGTTCTCTCGACCAAACCTGTTTGTTGCAGCCAAGAGGTAAGATGGCTTGGGGTTGGAAAGATAAAACCGCACACGAATTTGTACGAGCTGTCGCAGGTGCCGCAGAGCAAGACGCCGGAGGCGGCAGGTGCCGGAGGCCCAACTCGAGCGCTTCGCCGGAGAGAGCAAGAGCGGCGCTGCGTTGTAATGAGCGCATAGTGTAGATGTTGTTCTGTTTTTTCTTGTTCCCCCCCTTTTTTTTAAGGGCACTCCTTTTTTATGAGGGAAACCAAAAGCACAACCACCATGCTTGGTCCTTTACTTTTACTTTACTCAACTTTACATTGACTGATGCTATGGCTCAATTCTGAGAACCTCGCCACGAAAGGGGCCAAACTGGCAATGTGCTCTTCCCTTTAAGGGTCTCCGATCGATAGAATCTTGGGCCTCAAGACATGTTCTTTTGACATCATTAAAGCAACTCGGGGTAGTGGGGGGGTCCCCATACTAAGCCCCAGGATTGTTAGGGTGCACAGATGGCCTTTTTTAGGTTCTTCAAAGGTTGAATTGGGCATTTGAGGAGAAGTGCAAGTCAAGAAGCTTGAGCAGGGCACATGTTTAACTTGAGTTGTTTTGGGACGATATTTGATTTGTCACTCACTTCCTGAGTTCCTGAACTTTATTTTTTTGAAAGTGGTAGACAAACAGTTGGGCCATCCACTCGGGAAGGACGTCAGTTGTCCGAGTTGGCTTTCAGTTGACGTGTCCATGATCCACCCAGGAAGTGAGGAAGACACCCCCAGAGGAGACACAATAGTAAGGCAGGCAAGATAAGGACCCAAATCATTCGTACAAAACAGTTTAATCCATTTTTACAGTGCCAATAGTAAGGCAGGCAGGCAATCAACTGATTCCTACAACCAGTTAATCCAAGAATCACGACTAAACTCGGTTTTATAGCGCCCCACAACCTGAGTATGGGTCAAAATTAAACCACCAGCAAAAACACAGGTTTTGGTCCATGTTTCCACTTGCCAGGGCAAGCCATTTCAGTTTCCTAGAGTCTCCATGACGCGTAAAAAATGGGTCCATGACCCTTAATGTTGGGCAAGGACCCCATTTTTTTTTGGGTCATGGAGACTCCAGGTACCTACTGACTTTTCACCCACAACCTCATCCCGGACTTACGCTCGCCCTGTGGCCAGCTCGTCGCTTCGCTCGCCAGGCGCCGTGGCCCCCGAGGGCGACATCGACGACTTCTTCGACGCTTTGGGCCCAAGGAAGCGGCGGAGGGAGCGACGGCCGGCGTGGGGCCGCCGTGGACCATGCGGTCGACAGATTTGGTCTCGGGGTGGGGCTCAAAATGAATCAGCTAGGGCAGACAGCTTTTAGCTTTGGTTTCCATTTACCAAGCTGCCATTGTGGTTTCCATTTTTGTGAGCCACAGCCAGAGTAAAGACCCAACAATTGGATAAAGTTGGTTGGTATTTTTTTGGTTTCCCTTTCCAACCAAGGGGAACCTTCTCAAAAGAAGACGCACCAGTTTCGAGTTGATGCATGGTTCAGTTGGGAGGGACATAGCTCTGAATGTCCCGGCAATTCAGGGCACTTACTCATTTTCTCATGCCTTCGGGGGCGAATGTGACCTCTTGGATCCTAGGATGAGCCCTGTGGAGAATTGGAGAGGTTTCTTAGGTGGCCACTTTTCTGTCAAACTTGAAAAGCAATGGCATTCAAGGTGACAGAGTCGTGGTGGGGAGGTGTTGCACAACAGGTTGATTTCGGTCAGCCAGTTCATCATGGTTGCTGCACGGCTGGACCACGGTGGCTGCAGGCCCTTTGCGCTGACTGGAATAAGGCGTGCCAGGTGGTCTTGGCCGAGCTGAAGATGAAGACGAGCTTTTGGCAACACTTTCCATGGTTCCTATATGCTACTCGCAAGCAGCCGCATCCACGCGCAGGGGACATGCACAACATCCATGCCGACGGTTCCTGGAATTTCCATGCAGACCATTTCATGGGCCCGGCATCGCTCGCTCAGCTTTGACCTGGGCGCAGGCCTGTAGTCGATTGTTTTACAGTGGGCATATGCTGATTCACTCTTGCCGGTTCCCAGCCGTGCCCTTAGGCTTTTAGACTTTTTGGGTTTAATGGAGGTGTCCATTTAGCCCACTAAAAGTTAAACTTTTAGCAGGGGATCTGAGGACAGCCCAGCACTGATTGATTTCTCTCCGTTTTCTAGCAGGGTGTTTTTGGACAGCCAAAACCAAGCGGGGAAGCGAAGCGCCCCATGTCATGTCGTGGATGCAAGCTGGTCGCCCTTACAGTGTCCCTCTCAGGGTATTGTCCCAGCTTCATGGGCGATTGGCGTCTCTTGTCATGTTGGGGGTTGCGCGCGAAAGGGTTCAGTGATGTTTTGCTCCCCATGCCGCTCTTGTTTGATGGGATCCTCAACGGGAGCTCTAAGTGGGTCTTGGGGACCACGAATCAATCAGCCCGGCGCTAGTTTGGCACCTGAGCACGTGTGCCCAGAGGTGTCCTTTTTGGTTGGTTTGCTTGAAACATAGAGGGCCCTGGTTTAGATGGGGTTTATTCCATTTAGCAGGGCCATCTATTTTTCCAAAAGGCCACCTATGCGTGTGCCCGGAGTAAGGTAGCTTGAGAGGCTTTGTCACGCCCATGTGAACCCATTTGCTGTATCCGACTGCATTGTGGAAGACTGGTTTTTCGGTTGGCACTTTCTACCGTATCACAGAATGGGTCGTTTTGTTACCACGTCTCGGCCTGTGATCATCCTGGGTGCCCTCAAAAGGTTTCTTCTCCATCAACAATGTCCACGTTTGGGCTACTTTGGGGCTGTTTTTCTTTTTTGGTTTGTGGTTTGTGGGCTTGGCACTGCGCAGAACCCTCTTTTCCCTCGTCTCCATTTGGATGCTCACCTTCATTTGCAGGTTGACAGGTTTGTAGGAGAGTAGCCTTTGACATGGTGTTTTTGCAAAGACAGCACATGAATTCGGACCGCTCACCCATGCTTTGTTCATTTGCAGGTTTTCCTCAACCATCCCCGCTGGAATATACTGTTTGAACTCCAAAAACACTTACTTGGGTGTTCAACCCACTTAGCAAGTCGATAGCCATGGTTAAAAGGTGACTAACCCCTTTATAACCATGGTTACAGCCTGCTTACCCGATGTTGGACACGAACATCATAGTAGGAAGGGCTAGAAACTTGTTTTCTCAGGAGAGGTTATGGCTGAGAAACGCGGGGTTTGGATTCAAGGCTTCAAGCCTCACTTCCTGAAGCCGGGACTTTAGTCACTTTTTGGGAAGACCATCCACTCAGGAAGAGAGTTTGCATTGGTTTGGGAATTGGATCCCTTGGTTCTTCTTTTGAGGGTACATGGGAAAGCCCTCCTGAACCACCACACCCTCGCTCCCCGACTTCCTGGACGTCAAACTGTTGGAGTTTGGACAACCCCGATGAGGGTGTGCCTTGTTTCGGGGATCAGACCCCCAAAGGCATGTATTTTTAATAATTCAGGTTTTCCATTTTTTGTGTGTGTAAGAAGCGCAAAGCAACTCGATGGTTTGTTGGTTTTATTTGAGGCTTGGGCTCCTCGATATTCCATCCGGTGCCTTTCGTTCGCGAGCTTTCCAATCGCTGAGTCTTTGCTGGCGGACCCTTTCTTCGAGTCCAAAGGCTGAGAGCCCGAGAGCGAGCTCTGACGGTTGATGGGGGTTTCAGTTGACTCAAATCTGATTTGGATACGCACTCGTCCAACGTCAGGTGAATAGGTTAACCATAAGACTCACTTGGGTAACTGGGGATGGCCCCCTTATGACCGTGGTTATAACCTAGGCTTGATGGTTGAACATCCCGTCATTTGGCAAGCTCTCCGCATGCCCTCCGTGCCCCGTTGTTCGACCTTGACGCGGTTGACGTCCACAGACATCTTGCTGGTGCTCAGTAGGGAATATAAACCATCCCTTGTGGTTTCCTTTAAAGGAATCCCTGGGTTCATTCCCTCATTCCCTACTGAGCACCAGCAGGATGAGTACTAGAATGGTGATAGCAACCGGTGAAACTTCAAACGGCCTCAGAATACCAACGACTCGGGATGCCTTTGTTTGAATTATACGGTGATTTGGGACATGTTTCCTGCTATTGGGATATGGTCAACACTCGTAGAGTCAGTGATTAGTAAGTTCCATTGTGGAGGACGTTAAAAGAGTACAGAATGAGTACTAAACAAGACCTACGGAGAAGAACAGATGGGAAAAAAGAGTGAAAAAAAGAAAGCACAAATCCAAGCCGTTTTCTTGCTGCGTTGTCAATTGCCACTCAACGAAAGGATATTGTGACGGATTTGTTCAAAGGTTATTGAATGAGGATCAACAGCCACAGAGGCAGGCAGCACCAGTCGCAAATGGGTGAGGTGTGGCAGTCTGGTCTGTCACTTTGCACGTGGATGGTTCTGTGAGGCTTCAACGAGCCTGCGCTTCAACCGCAGGCACCCCGCGAGCCGTCGTCGCCTAAAGGGGGATGTGCTTCCTCTTAGGGTCGTTTTGGCTGACTTATTCAGACACTTTGGTTTTTAGCCCATGGCTGATGCATCCACTCATGGTGCGCAGCAGACACAAGGGTAAAGCAAGGGTTATGGCGGCTTGAGACCAAGCAGCAACGGACACAAAGACAAATCGACACAGACGCACACAGATCAAAGGGGTTTGGTTACAGGAAATACAGGAAAACAGCTGATTTGGGGTGTTTGGGGTGTTTTGGTGCCTTTTCCTGTAGAATTTCCGCCCAAACCCTTTGAACAGAGGCTACCAAGTGGTGAGCTGCCGGCTTGGGCACAAGTGGTTTTCCGTGTGTGACGGCAGTTTGACACCTACTTGCAGCAGTTTGCCACCACCAATTCGTCGAAGTCCATGTTCAGCTTCTTTTTGAAGCCCGATTCTGCAGGGCTCCTTTTTGCCACCAGTTGAAACATGTTGCTTTTTCAACACCAAAATAAAGTTGGGAACCACAATTTACAAGTTGCAATGTTCAGGTGTATAATGTAAGGATCCCTGTTCTGGCAAAGATGTTACTTGTCTCCTTTCTCAACTTCCAATTGCTTAAGAATATGTGTTTGTTTCTTTTTGCTTTAAGGAGAATGAATCTATCACTACTGGAAGTGTGTTCATCTTTTTGCTTAAGCAACAAGTTCAGATCCGCCTGGGAATGTCCCATGGGCCGGTAGCCTTGGCCACGGCTCCCCTGCGCCAGGAAGCTTCGGAGCCGGCGACCTCCCCGGTGCCCAACGGATCCCTGGCCCAAGGCCATTGGAAACACCGTGCGGAGTGGAGTGGGTTTTTGGCGGAGACGGGTGGGGTGGATGCCTGGAGTCTCCGTGACAATTTTGAAAATAGGTCCATGACCCCATTTCTTTTGGGTAATGAACCCATTATTTAGGGTAATGACCAACCATTATTTTGGGTAATGACCCCACTTGTAAAGGGTCATGGAGACTCTAGGTGTCTTTTTTTGTTTGTTTGGAGGGTACCCGATCCAAAAGGTGCCTCTTAGGGACACGGTCCCAGGGCCCTGCAATAGCTCCAGTTTGAGGGCCCCGGTAGTCGGTGTATGCTTGCGGAGAGTGTTTTCGGAGACGGGTGGATGTGGCCATGGGCTTTTCAAGATCCAAATCGGTTAGTCCCCACTGAACGGGACCCAATCCAACCACTAAAATAGGAAGCCTAAAAAGGGGGGGTGAATTCACCTACCAGCCATGTCAGTGTTTCCTTTGAGGTACCCCTGTTCTTTTGTAAGTTTTGAGTGAGAAAGCCACCATTTTGGAGGGCTTCCTTTAAAAAGGACACACCCAGCTATTGCAACCCAGACGCTCATAGACCCTAAAAAGGTCCAATGGGTCCCTTTGAGGGACACAGTCCCAGGGCCCTGCAATAGCTCCAGTTTGAAGGCCCGGGTACTCGGGAGCCTTTGGCAGAATCACAAAACAAATTGCCGGGGTTCCTTGTTTGCTTACGTATCCGCATCAAAGTCTAGGCCTATTCGCCCAACTGAGTCGACTCATAGAGCGTTAATGCAGTCGAAATGTTTGCCCTCCAATATTTACCGTTGCCCCGCCTTATAATAGTTCGGCACTCCGTTTGATTGTTTGGTGGATTTGACATGCTTGAAGAGAAAGCAAAGGGACACCAGCTATCATCAGGCTGGTTCTTAGAGAGGTAAGCGCAATCTTCGGACCCCCATGCAGTGAGTTCTTGGTTGCCGCTGGGTGAGAGGGTGGGGGGGTATGCCATACTCCCGTCTTGGGCTGGTTGGGGAAACCAGAGGTTCCCCGGCACAGGAAGTGTCAGGACGCGAAATGAACTGAGACTTGGGAGTTTCCAAGCATGTGTGCCGCCTGGCTGTTTGAAGGATGGTCAAACTCAGCTCGAAAATCCAATCAATTGCTTTCGTTTTCCCAGCTGTGCCCTGGGGAGGGTTACAGAAAAAAGGGTACCCTTCTTCTATGCTCTCTACTGGAAGACCTATCCAAAATTCCACGCAATTGCCTTTTATGTTTCCTGGTCCTTTCGGCAAGCCAGACAAAGGAAGTCTTCAGTTGTCCGATGCTGGGCGGCTGGACAGGAAGCCGAGGAAAGGGGGCAGGTGATCCTCCTTTTTGCTTGCTGTAGGACATGTGGGTTTGTTTTTTTAGCTGCCAACCCTTTTGTGTTGCGTTTAAACGCACACCAAACAGAAAACCGTCATTTTGGGGGTCCCCTAAAAGGACACACCCATTCGCGGCGCACATTCTTTCACAGCACGTGCCAACAGAATCGACAGTGCAACAGGACACCCCAGCCCGTCTTATGTTCCCCGGGCGCATTTCTACATTTGCGCAATCAACGCACCTCAGCTCAGCCAGCGTGTCCCGCTTTGCGGAACTCGCGCCATGCAGGACCATCTCTTAATGGGCTTGCTTCCGTGCGCAACCAAGAAGAACCCCGCCATTTTCCGGGATCTCTTAACAAAATCCGACTGGGCTTTGAGAAAATCCTCATTTGGGGCTGCTCAGAGCGGAAACAAATGGAAGTGGAATGCCTCCAACAAGAATACCCCACCCTCCCCCGACTCTCCCCCGACTCTCCCGCCACCCTCCCCCACCCCACCCTCCCTTACAGGGGAAATATAGCGAACCCCCAGAAGACACGCCAACGCAACACCATACCCCGGGCAACAACCGCGACACAGGGGAGGCGCCATCCATGCGCTCGCAGGCATCGCGTCGTCGGTCGCCTTGGGCAGAATTCGCTCCATTGGGTTTTTGTGGGCTTTTGTGGGGGTTTGTCTTGGTTTTCCAAGGTTTTCCACTTGGCAAAACACATGTTGTGTTGTTTGTTTTCTTTTCGCTGGGGTCCAAATTCCAGCCAAGTTTATAGACAGCTCACCTGGCGGTACAACGAGCTCACCATGATAAGGCCTTCTGCTGCTAGCTGGTGGTTGGAAGGGACTACCGATCGGAGTTCTGGTTAGGGACATGGTACTCCACCAGGGTAGGGAAATCAACCCCTCGGTTTTGAAGGTCACACACACATGTTTTTGAAGGGTGCCCTGTTTTGTGCGGTGTTAAGACGAAGCCAACGGGACAACTAGCATCTTGGAGGGTCTTGTGAACAAAGACATCACCACACACGCACATGGAACCCATGTTCATGTTGGCTTGCATTTGTGTAGTTTGCGTAGGATCCACTGGGCTACCCTGTGCGTTTATGACTTGCTGAAGCAGAGCAATCGGTGGTCGTTCCATTGCCGAACTGAGTTTGCCTGCTTAGCTCTTTGCTTTTAGGTGTTCCTCATTTTCACTTTCAGCCAAAAAAGCTTACACCCCGCAAATATGGAAGCTCATGCAAGCTTCAGAAGGGAACATGTGCCTGGTGGGTTCCATGGACCAGAGGGTACTTTGTTTTCTAAGTTTTTTTTCCGCGCACCAGGTGGTTGGCCATGGAACATTAAGTGGAAAGAATATGGCAATGGGTAGAAGGTGGTATACTAGCTGCTAAAGAGCCCATGTGGGGAAGGGACTTGGTTTTGTTGGTTTGAAGGTTGGTAACACTCCGGAATTGATTGATTCTTTGTGGTGACTTGTCTTCCTGTTCAGTGAATTCCACCCTTTTTCCCTTTTGGAGAAGGGTGGTTTCCCCGCGAACCATGGAGTCATCCCCAAAAACGGCGTTGCTTTGTCTCCCAGGTTCACTGAACTGGGTGTTGTGTGTTGACAGAGAGCCAGAGTGGATACCAGGATGGTTTTTGAATGTTGAGAGCTGCGCTGCGATTGCGCTTGTGCTACAAGGCTTGCCAACTTCATAGCCGCTTTGCACATGTTAGCCTCGACGTCATGACAGGCTATCGGAAGCCTACAGTTACAGAAGCTGACGCTGGTGTGGGAGTCATTCTCGACTGGCATTTACTGATGGAACCATGAGAATGTTTAGGCAGGCCACGGTGCACGACCTATCCGCATCTGGTTCAAGCGATGCATGAATCGGCAGTGGGGTTCGAGCCGCGGCTTGCGTAGCTCTATGCCAACGTTCCATTTGCTTAACATTTTTCAGTTTCCCCTTGTTGGTTTTAAAGGGAATCCATTTCACTACTGGACAATATGTTTATTTTTCCCTGGGGTCTTAACCAAATGGAAGCAACAAAGACCCGAAGGACAGGTCTTTACGTAAGCAAGTTGACCAGCTCATTGTGTTGTTCTGAGCTGCTATGCTCCCGCGTTTGACTGATGTTGGCTGCTTCCTTCCTTGGTATGTTGCTCCTTTGTTGTTTGTTGCATGTCATGTACTTGACTGCTATTCGGTTGGATCTTTAGACTTTAACTTTTGTGGAAATAAAGGTTTAAAGGTGTTTTCCGCAACCCCCAACAAGTTGTCCACTTTTTGCAGGGGGGTCGTTGCGGCAACCAAGTGTAGGTTGATGTGTGCTTAATGAGCTTGCCTCTCGGAGGCGTTGCAAGCCTCACCAGTCATGGAGAGTGGAGAAGTTAGCATGGGCTCACTTTGCATGAGCGCAGAACATCGCCTGCTATGCCCAACAAAAACAAGAAGCAACTGATGGCAGTCCATGCTATTCCACAGCCTGCTATTCCACAGCCTGCTATGCAATGCCATTCCATTCCACCAGCCAGCCAGCCAGCCAGTGGTTTTTTGGTGGGTCCCAGCCATCCGGTTCCTTAGCCTTTTAGTTTTTAGTGTTTCGTGGTGGTTTCCTTTTAACCCACTAAAAGTTAAAGCCTTTTAGCGGGGGATCGGAAAACGGGCAGCCCAGGTTTGTTTGTTGTTTTCTTCGCGTGTCGCGAGCGGCGAGCGAGCCATTCTCTGACGCGCCGGTCTCCTCTTGGCTTGCGATGGCAGAGGTGCGGCGCCGGTCAGACGATGCATCGTTGTTTTTGTTGCATGCGGGTGTGTCGTTTGCGGGGGTATGTGGTTCAAAATCGTGAATTGAACCCCTCAACCACTGGGGCGTGGTTTTCTTCTTGTGGTTTCCCAGGTTACCCGTTTTCGTTGATGGTTTTGAAGGGAACCCAAACGGACAGCAATCTTGGAGGGTATCCCAACCCAAGGGCTCCAAATCGGGAGCCTTCCGCTTTCCCATACCCGAACTTTGTGTTGGACGCTCTATCTCGGGGAATGAGATGTAGCTGCGGTTTGCTTGGGGAGCCCTTTTTTCAGGCTTCCTCACTTGTTGGAGTTGGTGTTTCGACGAGAACATGCAAATCCTCGGTAACCCTTGGTTGGTGGTTTCAGTGTTCGAACTGCTCGTTCTTCCCAAAGGCTTCCCCTCACCAATCCATCAATAAGTGGGAAGCTGAAATCCGTGGTAGCTCTTGTGCTTGACTCCTGTGGTGGATGGCGGCGGCGTTTTGCTGTTGAACATTGACATCGGTGTCGGCAAGAATTCCTTCTTCCACTGATTTTTTTTTTGGACAACTTGCACAAGGCATTTGTCAGGGCTCATCGTTTCAGCCCAATGTCTGACGTGCTCGCCGGGCGCCACATCAGAGTTCTGACTTGAAGGGTCACTGTGTCACTAGTGTGTGTGTGTGTGTGTCTGCACATCTCTCACCGTGTTTGACATGTCAACACATATTAAGCGACACACTTGCCCACTGCATCTCTCCTCTTCAGGGTTTTCTTGAACCATGTCGTCGGGATGTCAGGAACTGCACGACTCGGAAAGCTGTTGGAAGCCGGGGAGCCGGACAACTTCAAACACAACCATAGGCGCATGTGAAAGAAGCTCATGTGTCAGCCCTTCAACGGGTCACCGAATATGCTTCTTGTCTCACTTCCCGAGTTTCGGAACTTTATATGTTTGGGGAATTCCATTTTACAAGGCCAACAGAAAGGTCTGTTTTGTTTTTGGTGGCAATCCACTCGGGAAGTGAGTCATCGGGAAACCGAAAGGAAACGTGAACCAGCTTCCTCGCCAGCCCCTTTGTACGGTAGGCAGAGAACCTCCGCACGGTGCACGTGCCGGATCTTCTGAATGCCTCCAGCCAGGAGCGGAATGCTGACTTCCATTTGCTTAAGAATATTGTTCATTTCCGCCTGGCGGTTTGAAAGGGACTCTATCACTGGACATATGTTCCTTTGTCCAGGGGACTTCAGCAAATGGAAGTTGAGTCGCGTGGGTGTTTCCGTTCGCGGCTCGAGTCCGAGTCCCTGGACTTTTGTCTTGTCTCCTGGGCTGTTCAAAGGCAATCCGCAAGATCCGTACCGTGGGTTACGAAAGGATGTGGCCGTAACACCAATGGGATCCCGTTTTGGTTGGTAGGTGAATTCACCACCCAGTTTAGGCTTCCTATTTCAGTGGTTGGATTGGGATGTTCACTGTGGGTACGATTTGGGTTTTGACCCATAGCCATGTGGTTCCTTCTGTAGCGGTTGGGCGAGAGGAACTTTGGGTTGAGAATGGCCAACGCTCCGTTTTGAACAACTCGCGATTCGCTTTCTTCATTAAAGCCCATGTCAAGTGAGGAATCCAGCCTGCAGTTTGAAATGACTAGAGGCCTTTTTTGTTTCTTTTCTTTTTTGAATTCCGCAACCAAACAGCCCATGTATTGCCCATGCATGTGTTGCCCATGTGCGTTTCCTCACTGGAAGGCAAGTCGATCGAGTCAAGCTGTTGACCTGTTGATTTTGCCGTTTACGGTTTCTCCCCTTTGGGGGTTCCCATTTTGAATGGCCCCAAAAGTGATCACCTATTTGTTTGGATCCTTTGGGCAACTGAGGTAAACATATGATATATGTTTTTGGAGGGGCCTGAAGCAACTGAGCTTTTTCGAACTACATTTTAGTGGCAGGCAACCAGTTTGGTCTTTTTGGCCACTTCACTGAGGTTGGCACATATATCCGAACATTCTCCTCCTTTCCATTGACATCGAATCTGAGGGAAGGTGCCTGGCTGACCATTTCCTTCCATGTGTTTAAGAATACGTTTTATTTCCCTGTTGGTTCTAAAGGAATCGATCACTACTGGACATGTTCTTTTTGTTCCAGGGGACTTAAGCAAATGGAGGTGAACGTTTTGAGGGCTGTCCTTTTAGCCGCGAGTTGCATGACCCTGTTTAGGTCATTCTTTGATGGACCCAGCAATTCACGATTCGGATGGGGTGACCCTGAATGGGTTCTAGCAAATGGGTTCTAGGATGCACACATGATTAGCATGCAACGCAAGCTAGAATCATAGGCATCCAAAGAAGACGCGGAAGGGATGGGAATTAGAATAACCACAGAATAAGATGGCCATTGTTTGAACTAGGCGTTGCTCGAGGGATGGGTAGCAAAAGCAACAACTACCGACGCGCCATTTGCAAATATGGGGGCCGTTTTCAGCTGTACTACACAGCCTCGTGGGTTCCTTCGGTGATTCAGGCGGCCGCATGTGGGGAGGTCATTGAAGCCACCATGGCTCACCATGGATGTGTTTGCTGAGGGTGCCCTTTGGGGGTCATCATGGGAAACCAAAAGGAAACTGCTCTTTCCGTTCGCTATCTTTAGACTACTCGGGGCGTATCTCAGAACCAGGGGACACCAAACAGACTGGTTTCTTGTGGTGTTGTTTCGGTTTTGTTTTTGGACACCAAACAAGACACTCACCCAGTTCCTGCAAGTTGGTAAGCTTGGTCTTCACAGGATGTTCATCCGTTAAGCCCTGACGACGGTGTTTACCCGTGAACATGCCAGCCCTTGTCCCCTCTTTTTTGGCAGAGGGGTGTCCCTTTTACATACCAAATACCCTAAACCCTAAACTCTAAACCCTAACAACTTGTTTTCAACCATGGCCACTGGGCTGGGGGAATCAGACGACTGTTTTTTTTTTGTTTTTTAATCTTAGGAGGACTTGTCGGTTCAGCTGCTGCGGGATGCCTGCTGCGAGCGCCTTGGAAATTTCTGGCGAGTCAAGAGCATAGGTCCTACTTTGGATGGACAAAACCCATTTCGCACCAATTGGAAACACTGGGATTTCCCACTGTTTTTCTTGGTGTTTACAGGGGAACCATTTTTCAGGGCCTCTTAGGTCGTGCAGGATTTCGTCACAGCATGGTTGTCAAGGGCCGCCCAGTGTGAATAGGGCTAATGGCAACTGACCAGGCCTATTGGGGGCGAATAGGGGTCCTGATAACGGTAGGACTAGGTGCCCTTTCGCGCATAGTTTGGGTAGAAATCAATTGGGTTCCCTGGTTTAGATTGGTTTATGCCCAACGAATACCAGGGAAATCCAACGAAAGGTCTGAGCTCCATGCGCAGTATTCGATGCAAGGTTCTTTCTTTCATTAGAGGGACCAGTTTACGCTATCCTACCTTTCGTGTCACCCCTTCTCAAGTTTGTTCAACAGGTCTGGGGTTCGTTCGACTGTGAACACGGAGTGAATTTCCATGGACTTCACTCAGATTTTCCCATCTGGCGGATTAATCCTTTAAAATCGAAAGCGCCTTGGAGGTCAATTGGTTGTGGCTCAAAAAACCGATGCCCAAAATCAGGGCTCCTTAGAAGATACATTTTGCAACCATTTGAAAACCAAATAAAGCGAAACCACCATTTACAAGGCAATGTTCAGGTGTATACTGTAAGGATCCCTGAAAATGGAACCCTAGCAAGTGGAAACATGGACCAAAACCTGCGGTTTGCTCTCCTGTTTAGTTTTGAGCCACACCCAAATGGTATCTTGAAACTTAAAAGCGCGGGAGGGGGTTGCTGTTACGTCTAGGAACCCCCAGTGACGACCCCACAAAAACGGTCCCAAAAAGCAATCCCGCATCCCAACCAGCACCCGAATCCCAACAACTGCTGTTGCCTATGTCCGAAATCACAAGTACCAAACCAAACCGCAGTGGTTGGGGCCTGCTGGTCCCAACAGGGTTTAGTTAGCACCTGGTACTGACGGCAACCTCAATGACCTTTATTTTATTGTTAGAGAAGGGTTTCCCATCGAGTGAGCCAACAAAAGGGTGGCAATGCCGATGATTGTTCCCACTAAGTTTAAAGTTTACTCATCTTCAACCAATTGGTGCCTTCAGCCAACCTTTTATTGACAGTCTACTTTTTGGGGAAGGGTACGGGACTGGTTTCGCTCTAACATATCCCAAAGGGTGCCCCTTTTTTTGCAGACGGACCAGTAAGTCGCGCTTTTGAGGTAGGCTATCCCTTCCTCAAAAGGCAATTTCTGCATCCCATTCAGCTCAGGACCGGCTTCTTCCTGGTGACTGGCCATTCCTTACCTCAGGATTTGCTGGACAAGATGTTCGAGCCATGGCGTCCGAATTGCCCAAAAATGGCCCGCTCAAGAAAGCCATGAATCATGCAACATCCACAAGTTGGGCACTGTTTTCGGTTGTTTCGACATGGGACCTTTGGACATTTGCGGTGTCCATAAGGCTTTGACCTATTGTGCTCATTTCGGCGTGTGTCTTTTTTTTTGGGAAGCCTCTTTTGGTTGGCTTGAAGGAGAGACCAAGAGGAAATCGTTGTCTTCTTAGGGCTTCCCCTAGAAAAGGCACACCCATTTGGAGACCATGCTTCACTGGTATGATGAGTCTGGAGTCACCGTGAGGATTTGGCCTTGTAGTGCAGCTTGCCCAGCTGACACCTTTTGCCGAACAGGCGTTGCACGCAAAACTCGTGTTCACGCCCAGGGGGCTCTCTGGTTCCCAGCTAGGGTTTTCAGTAGTGCCCTTGCTCACCCCTTTTTTGGTTGGGAGGGTTCCCCTACTAAAATAGACTACAGAGACACCCCCTTTTTGGTTGGGAGGGTTCCACTACTAAAATAGACTACAGGAAAAAAAAAGGTACCCTTATTCTGACCTCTCTATCTTTTCCCAAGAGGTTCGCACAGTTGAACCGACACTCCGCCACTTGTTCTCAATCTATCTTGAGTTAATGGGCCCAACAAAAACTGGAAGCACGCGCTGGCGGGCAGAACAAGCTATCGGGAAGAACAGGTGTGTCCTTTTAAAGGGAATTTCCTTTTTGTTGGAGCGGTTTTAGAGGGAATCCAAAAAGAAAGCCCTGATTGTTTGGGGCTCCTCCTCTAAAATTCGGGGTTGAGACCCTGTCCCTTTTGGAAGGGCTTCCAATCAACCAAACAAAAGCCGGAGCCGAGGCAATGTCGAAGAACTTCTTCGAGCTGCCGGAGGAGGAAAAGCTCAGATTCACCAGCTGCTTCGGCTCAAAGACAGACAGATCGGTGTCCTTCTTGGTTTCTCACTTCCTGAGTTCATGGACTTCATTTTTTTTATGGAAGACATTTTTTTTAGTGACTTTGTTTGGACCATCCACTCGATCGGAAGTGAGAATTAGTCTGGTGAACACCTGGTTTTCCACTGGTTTGGATAGGGCTTTAGCCCTCCATTTGCCAGGGAAACCCATCGAGTGTTCTCTTAAAAGGTCACCTCTCATTTTTTTGGGAGTTCGCTTCAAGGGCAAGCGACTCCTGGTTAAACAGTTTGAATGCCATGGTCGTGGCTATTGCAGCAGGAATCAACGGTCGTCGAATTGTCAATCTCCAAATTCAGGGGGTCTCCCACATCTTCGTTTGAGACACGTGCAGCGAGCGAAAGCTCCGAATGAAGGTCTTTTACTGGAGGTGGGCACTGATGCCGGTGATTCCATGCCCTTTGCCGCGCTCCTTGCAACGCATTTACAGCAACTTTCACATGCTGCAAGCCTTGTCAGAGGACAAAACCTGTTCGGGTTGCTCCCTCGACACCAACCTGTGCCCTGTTGCACTCCCCATTTCGGACCTAGAGCAGCCAGAGGCAATTTGAGGGGACTCCTGCTTGTTCCACGGCACCATGCGAGACTCTCATGCTGATATCCACACATTCACCAACCTTTTTGGATATTTGATCTCATTGACACACAGGGACGTCCAAACATGAGGGGCCATCAAGCTGCTCAGTGTCATGTTGGCTTCCTTTTCAACACTAGCGGCGTCCATGGACTGTTTTGGGGACACCCCCCACTTCTTTACACCAAGACAACCGGGTGGTCCACGAGTTCGAAGCGCCGCAAACTGGACGCTGGGGATGGATTTTCCGCACGAGGTTCCGAGAGGACGGGCTGGAGGGGGTTCAACCCTTACGGGAGCGGCCAGAACTGCTCCTTGGCGCTTCCGCGCGTGGAAGGGGTCACGCCCCAAAGAATTCGATCGCCGAATCTGCGTCATGTTCCTGGTGCACTATGTTAGCAAACATAATATATACATATATATATATATATTTATATGTCATTGTAGGGTGGAGCTTCGGTTTCAGATATGTTAATTTGTGGTACTTATGTTATTTGTGTGTGTCCCCGGTTTGAAGGGAATATGGGTGTTACGATATTGTAAACGCTTCGCGCTGGGAAATGATTCACAGGCTTCAGGGGCAAGCTGGGGACCTGGCAAGAAACAATGTTCATGCCTGGCCATGCGTGAAAGTATCAGCTGCGTGAAGAAGGTATCCGCTCCCAAGAACAAGGGGGCTGGGGCTAGGTGACCGATACAGTCGAAGGGAACTGGCCACGTGGCTTGGCTGTAGCTGGCCGCGCGGAAAGCCAGAGCTACAACCATAGTCCAAGGGCAAGCGGGGCTGGGGCTACGGCCCCAGGCTTCAGCACCAATGATGAAAGGAGCAGACCCACAAGCAAGGAGAATTGTGCAACTCTTATCGAAGAGGGTAATAATCCTCACGCGCGCATTGCGAAGCGCCACCGAAACCCCAGCTGGGTCGCTGGAGGTGGACTTGGAAGATCCCTGTGATCTAAAGAGGGATTTGACCGTTTCCCGGTGGGACCGAAGCGTTCTGATTGGGATTAAGAGGAGCTAGCGCGAAACACACCCTTGTTGGGCACCGACCTTTGATTTGACGTTTGGGGAACGTTCGCGTTTTGCCACTTACAAGATCTCAGCATTTCAGGAGCTCCTCGAGACTCTTTGGAGGTTGATATCGAAAGCATGCAAGTTACTTTATTGCATTCCTTGGCTCTCCGACGTGTTTTGGCCCCCTTTGTAGTCGTTTCAGCTGGGGACGCAGGATTGGCGAGCCCTCAACCCTGAGTAGGCCAGCAGGCCGAAGGTTCCGAAAGCCCCGTTTTACCCACCCCTTTGTGCTTGCGAACTGGCTTCGGAGTCCAATATTCATTGCGAGACTTAGCAAGCCTTTTCGTGTGTTGTTTGTTTTCCGTTGGGTGTTCTTCACTTTCCGCTCAGTTACCAAGTTGTTTCCGGGATTTTTGCGTTTTGGGAAGGCCAATTTAGTTGCATCCAGGAAGTGAGCCCCCCGTTTGTCCGGGCAAATAACACACCGCACGCAAGTCAATACGTTTGACATGGGTTTTTCTGTAAAGAGCGAACCTTTCTTGCCCAGCGGTGCCATTTGTTTCTTTTTTTGAGGGTATGGGTTCCCCTTTAAACTCAACCAACAGAGAAGGGTGCCCTTTTTTCCCATGGCCTTCGGGCACCTGAGGCAAACAGTGGGCGGCTTTGAACACACGCCCGGACCCAGTGCAAACGTCCACCGTTTTTGGGCACACAGCGCCATAACCCCGCACCTGTCTTTAGTGAGGCGAGGAGGAGAGGGTTCTCTAAAGTGAGAAGTTGCGTGGCAACTCTGGTTGGGCGACTTGGTCTGTTTTCGTTCATCAGCTAGAGCAGTGTTCAATGTTCTCAAGAATCTGGTGGTTTGTATTCAGTTGAGCGGTAGTTTTGCACACAATCTGACAGTAGTGGGGAGAGGGACATCGTTCTTGAACGTGTACAGTGCCACACGCTGAAGATTGCGGTAGGGAGTTCTTTCGCGGAAGCCTCGCGAAAGTTTTGTTTCTACAAAACGTACGTTCCTTTCTGCGACAAAACTCACGGAGAAAAAAACGTAAAACATCCGCCGAAAAACGCGGATCTGCAAACAGAAAACCATGTATGGAAGGCAGAAACGAACTCTGCGCGCTCAAGGTATGGAGTTTGCGGAAGCGAATAATCCCTTAGGTCGTTCAGTGTTTAGGGTTTAGTGGTAGCTTCCACTAAGCTAATAAAAATAAATTTAGACTTGTATCAAAGGATCCGGCAGCCCAGAAATAAATGTCCAATTCAGTTGGGCAACAAAAAACCCGCTCAAATGGAATCCAACATGTGTTGAGTCCCACTTAGTTGCACCACACCCACATACCCACGGTGCGTTGAGACATCTCGGATCCAGGCCATGCCCCTAGGAATTTGGACCTGGATCCCTCGGCGGGATGTTACTGCACTGTTGTTGAACATGTTTTTAGTTGTGTTTTTTGGTGCTGTTTCACTTCTAATAGTGGTTGCAAAAAAAGACAGTTTTTGCAAGCCCATACCAAGGGTTGGAAAGAACCGTAACATGGACTGAGGTTTAATCAACATCTCCAGACCATTGTCCATTTGACCGATGTTGGGGGGCCAAGTAGTTTGGTACGTGGCTCATGCCCTTTTTTATGCCAGAAGGGAGCCCAAGGGAAAACCACCATGCCCATTTTGAGGGCCCCTGATAGGCAATTCTCTGACCAGTTTCAAGTTGAAGGTTTGTCTTGTACAAGAACCTCCGGCATGGGCATGAATTCCCCCTATGGGTTTTCCTTGAGTCCTACAAAACGCAACAAGGAACGCACTTCTCGGGTTCTCTGAACATTGGCACGCGCGCAGATGAGTTGCGATTGTTCTTGGATAAAAACAAAGACTAAAGCTACTATAAGAACCAGAAGAAAACCACCATGAAAACGTATTTCAACCAAACCACGATTAAAACCCTACAACATAAAACCAGATCAAAACCACTATAGACTATAGAACCCGCAACAGAAAAAAAACAACCATATCAAAACCACCATAGACACGCCGAAGAATGAGCCACGGACCAAACCACTTGTCCCCCAAAATTTCGGTCAAATGGATAGACAATCAGCTCAAAACCACTCTAGAAGCATAACCAACCATATCAAAATCACTTTAGAAGCAAAGAAAACGCTTTCGCTTTCGCCCTCGCCTCGCCTCTCCGGGAAGTTCTTCCGAAGAGCCGAAGGCTCCTTGGCGGTGAAGCGCCCGGAGCTCAAGGAGACCTTCTACTGCGGGGAGCCCCCGGCGGAAAGCGAAGGCGCGGCTTGGGGGGCGCGTGGCGTGGGCGTGGGGGGAGAGGCGTGCTGTGGCTGCGGTGGTTTTTCTGCACCCGTTTAGAAATCCATGTGCTGAAATGAATATATATATATATATATATTTATCCCTCAAGGCGAATCGACCGATCGAAAGGACCTTTTGGTTTTCAGTAGAGATGGCACCACTGGGTCCCCCAGTAGTGGCCTGGGTGGTTTGGATTTGGACTTGAACCTTTGGTTCTTGTGGAGTGCAAATGAGAAACCAACCTACCACCAAACTACCAATCCAAGCCAGCAATTATTGTTTTCCTCGTTTTTTTGTGTGGTCCAACAAGTCAACTCGCAAGATCCTCTTATGCCAGATGGTAGCAGTTTTTCTTGTTGTACTGGTGTCCCACCACGGATCATTTGGATTCCCCCTCCATTTTGGAAGCCCCAACTAAGGTTTACTAGGGTTCCAGATCGATCTGGAGATGGAAAAAGGAGCGAAAGGCCAGGATGAAGGTCGTGGATCCCTGAAAGGTTGGTTTCCTTTTGTTTCCCCTTCAAACGCCAAAAGGGGGCTCACTATTTTGAGCCACCCTTATTTCAACTTTGGGTGTGTCTCTTTTGGAGGATATTTTTTGTGACTTTAAGGAAGCCCCAAAGGCAAAGCATCATTTGAGGGCATAACACAGTCAGGCCCATTTGTGAATTGTGTGGCAAATTGGCCCCGACAAACAAAACTTTGGTATTCAGGGATCACTTGTGGCCGCTTTTGGGAAGTAAAATCGTCAGTGATTCCAGGGTGAACCGATCCTAACAGCAGCTAGGGCGCCATTTCATTCCCGTGGACCAAGTGAACTACACACACACGCACAAACATGGTCATGCCTCAATATGAGGAAGACACCCCCCCCAAACCAAAAGAAGTTAGATTTTCTCTTGAGTTTCCCTTGAATCTCAATTACCCTGGGCTAGGAGAAGAAAAAAAAGGCGGTTCCCATGTGGGGGGTGTCCCTTAAAACATCACCCAGAGCCGGGATTTTTCGCCCTCGTCGAGAAAAAGCGAATTTACCCACGAGGCCTGGCTGAGCCCTTGCCGGGCTTCTACTCCCAGCTCCGTGGAAGCCTCAGAGTCGAGTCCGGCTCGGAACTCCGATCATACCGAGTTCCGGGACCTGATCATGTGGGTGGTTGCGAAATCCATAAACCGCACCACGAAAGGAATCCATGGTTGAAACCATGACGTTTCTTGGTATTTACGTTGGGGAATCATCCGAATCCAGGGGTTCGTAGGTGGTGCGAAATGGATTTCGTCCATCCACAGTAGGTGTCCTTTGTGGTGTTGGTGGAAAAATCGAGGGCGATTCCTGGTTTACCTGGTGGTTTAATCTACCCGGGCCCCCTAAAAGGACACCTATGGACCTGATTGATTGGGAAGATTTTGGAGGCATAGCTGAGAGAAACCCTGGAATGCAAGCCATCTGGATGAATGGTTTCGACGAGGCTTTCAAAGTGGTGCGAACGGATTTTGTCCATCCACAGAATGCTATCTGGATGAGAGAAACCATTAGGATGTAAGCTGATGGAGTTGGAGTCATAGCTGATTGGAGCCATAATTCTTACATAGCTGATTGGAGTCATAGCTGAACGTAAGCCATCTGGATTGCGAAGTCCGCTTCTCACACTCAAAAACCCTGGAATCCAATGATTCCCTTGCACATACCAACAAACGTCATGGTTTCAATCAGGGTTTCAACGTGGTGCGAACGGAGTTTGTCCATCCACAGTAGGGTGTCCTTTTTCAGAAACATATTGCTTCCACTGGTTTAGATATGTTGTTATGCCCCATTTGCCAGGGAGTCCCAGCTATGTTAGAGAAAGGGCACCTATGATTGAAGTGGTGAAGAAGGAGTTCAGGTTGTTGTTTTGTACCATGTATATTTCTGGCGCTATAGTTGTGGATATCAAATGATGGTTCCCAGCATCCCCTTCGGTTTTTATTTGTTCGGTTTAGTCGTAGTTTCTATTTTTACCCACTAAATGTTAAGATACTTTTAGCTGGGGGATTAGAAACCGGACAGTCCAGTTCCCTTTTCGCTGCAGAGACCCCGCCGGCGTTTTGAAGGAATTCTGCGAGCTTCTGAAGACCGAGGCTCCTTCCACGGCGCGCTCTTGGAGCTGAGCCGGGCTTTGCTCAGGCGATGGAAATTCGACGGAGAAGCTGAGGGCAGGTGGTAGTTTTTTACTTCATTTGTTTAAGCATATTTTTCATTGTTTTGAATTTATTGTTTATTAATTTCCCCTTTTGGTTGTAAAAGGAATCGGTCACTGAGGGAAATATGTTAAAACAATTTCCAGGGGCTTAAGCAAATGGACGTTTGGTTTGCAAAGATCTGGATCAGGTACCCCGTCAGGTGGTTTGGAGCCCGGTGGTTTGTGGAGGGGTCCCTGGTTCTTGTAGAGGGTAAATGGAAAACCCCTCCTTAACCACCGAACCGCCGGGGTCCAAGCCACAAATCAGAGGGAAGCTGATCAGAGGTCACGTTTAGTGAAGGCCCATCACGAGGGGATGATTCAGATGTTGGAATGGGTACAGTATACTGATTCCACCGGTTGGCTTGTTGTTACAGTTGTAACACAACTAAGGCGCCACGCTGTTTTTTCAAGTCCCTGGAAAGCCCTCCGATTCTTTCATGGCTGCACATCCCAACCGTGAAGACAAAGGGCGGCAGGTCGCTTTTTTGCGGGCGCCCCCCGCAAAAAACAACAGGGCCCGGTTGCTTTGGGAGGTTCAAGCATGCTGATGTGTGTGTGTGGTTTATACAGCAACGTGTGCACAAGGCAAGGGGCACTGAGCATAGGTGTCAGTCCGTTTGGGATATCCGCAGCCCGAAACAAAACCTGCCCACCAGTGACATGTTTTTTTGTTGATGAGTGTTTCATTGCCAGACCTTGCTTGCCCAGCACATGATTCACTTGCAGGTGAAAATCCCGAACGGATTGTCCGACATTGGAGACGCCGTTAGAGACAGTTTTCTCGAGGCGCCCCCCCCCCCTTTTTTTGGGGGATCCTGGCTTCCCTTCCTCACCACCTAGGACGTGAATGAACCTCTGTTGCCCAGTGGTGCCCTTTTTCCTTTCTGTTGGGTAAGGGTTCTCCTCTAAACTCAACCAACAAACAAACAAGTGCCGATCCTATGCTTTCCCTTGGAAATCCACTGGGCATCTGACAAAACACTGCAAGTGATATACCTAAAATCCACTCACTTCCTAAACTCAACTCCACTCGGCCGATTCCTCAAATCCACTAAAGTCATTTCAGCTTCACGGCCTTTGCGGACGTCACACATTTCTGCCTGACGCGCCGCTGGCGCGCGCGCGCGCGCCTTCGCCAGGGGCCTCTCCTTGGCCTTGGGCCTGGCGCCGGGGCACCTGGCGGACCTGGCCTTCACGGCGCCCGTGGCGAAGGCGCGCGGCCTCGTTGGACCGAGTCGCACGCAGGTGGCTTGGCCCATGAAGCCACGGTGACGTCGGAAGATCGTGAGCTAGGACGTTGGAAGATATCCACAGGGAGCCTAGGTCCCCCAGCTAGGCGCAATTTCTCTTTTACCCCCTTTTTTGGAAAGGGGAGGGTTCGGGACCCTACTAAAATAGACAACACCGAAAAACAAATGGTACCAAGTTATTCTAACCTCTTCAAATCTGGAGGAGCTAAACGGAGCTACCGATCGGAGTTCTGGTTTAGGAACGTGGCAGCGAAACCTGCTTGATTGGCAGGGTGGCCAGTCTTCTTGCTGTTGTCTGGGCGGGTGTTGCGCCACTGGTATGTCAGGTGGCTGTTTTTTTTGGTGTGTGTGTGTTTCACACGCTACGAGAGGCCCCTCCAAATTCAATTAATGGTTTCAGGCCGGTTTCCTTTCCAAGCAGCATCTCCGGTGGTTGTCTCTTGAACAACTCGGGTTGCTTTTCTTCCAAGCAGAAATCGTTCGGTATATTTGTTGGACTCAATCAAAAGGACACCCACAACCATGATGTTTGGATTCTGTTGGTCCCCCTTCTTGACACATATCATCATGTTGCATTTCTAAGCATGGTGGGCACTTTTTAAGAGGGAACACACAGGCAAAGCAGACATTTGGAGGGATCTCTGCTTTCTAAACACCCATGTCGGTGTGCCCCCCTTGTTAGGCGTTGCTCAATGGACATTGGAGACTCCTTTCACGTGGTTGTTGGTTTCCAGGGTTGCCAAGAAGGGGTGCAATCACTATTTTGAGACAGACCCATATGTGTGCCGATGTCTGCTCGAAACATTTAGGCTCAGTTCCTGAGTTCATGAACTTTAAACTTTTTGGGATGACCATTTGAGTGGTAAATATAAAGTTTGGACTTCTTTTGGGCCATCCACTCAGCCAGTGAGTAGGTGTGTTTTCTGGCTTATGGAACCCTTGTTTACAGCCTGCTGAAAGGGAACCTCTCCCAACATGGGGGTTGCCCGTCGTTCTTTTGCTTGACACGCCCGTCGGTCTCTTTTTTTTTGTTTCGGTCCAGAGGTGCTCATGGCGTTCTACCCGCCGGCGCACGAAGGCGTGGGGAGGTGCAGTTGGGGGGTGGTTTTTCCAGGGAGGTTGATTCATGGAGTGTCCGATTTTTCCCATGGAATCCGCCTAGCTCACCAGGTTAGAAACCTCACCAGGTTCTCGTCATTTTTTCCGTTTTTTGTTTGTTTGTTTGATCTGTTCATGTTTACTGGGGGGTCTGCAAAAAACAACATTTTTTGCTACCATACCAAGAGTAGAGATGATGAAACCCTGCCAAGTTCACCAGGTGGAGTATTCTGGAGTCAACAGGCGCGTACGTTGTTTGAGTTTTGCTTTTGGGATACCAAAGCGTGACCGCCCATTGTGGGAGCTTCCGTAATTTTGAGACAATTGTACGGATGTTGACTTGAATCAAATGTGTGTGTGTGTGTGTCTTTGTTGAGGGCACCCGGTCACACTTGTTTTGTGGCTTTGATGGGCCACCACAAAGAACACCAATGCCATTTTGGGGGTCCCAATCCCAAAAAAAGAGACACACACACACACACCATATGACATTCTGTGCTCGCGTGTTTTGTTAGGTTTGTGCAGGTTCGATCCCCGCGCCAACCAACGCCTGTTGGCTTGTTCGGATTCCCGTTGAATTTCCTCCCGCACCCAAATGGGTTGGTGCTTGTCAGGGTACTCGATTTTGGGGGCCGAAAGGACACCACCCATGAGGGTCCCGCCACATAGCCCTTATAAACTTCACTGCTATTGGATTGGATCTTTAGACTCTAACATTTGGGTCTTAACCCACAAGAAGTTGAAAGCTTTTTGCAGAGGGGTTTTAAGAGCAAGCAAGTAAAAGCAGGCCTTCTGACGCTTTACTTGTGGCCATCATGCATTGTGCCATTGTAGCCTGGGAGCCAATCCGTCACCCTGCTTTGCCTCCCTGTTAGTTTCAGCCCCTTTTTGCCACCCTTGGCTTTTCAACCCTTGAAGTTGTTGCATGTGTTTTATTTGTTTTTTTGTTTGTTTGTTTTTTTGTTTGTCTGTTTCTTTGTTTCTTTGTTTAACCCTACCCTCAACCCTACCTTGGGCCCCCCCTGCTTCTCGCGCACGGGTTTGCGCTGGAGTCCTTTTTCGCACGAGGCGACCTGTCCTGTGGCGCTCACACGGCGGCCCGACGCAACTGCCGCGCGCCAGGGTTGTGGCTTGGGCCCTTTCCTAGGCCCCCCCGGCTAGGTGGCCCTTCTCACCCCTTTTTTGGGGGGGAGGGTTCCCTTATTCTAACCTCTCTACTGAAATACGGGGGGAGGGTTCCTTTACTATCTAAAATAGAGGGGGGAGGGTTCCTTTACTAAAATAGACTACGGAAAAAAAGCTGGTGCCCTTATTCTAACCTCACTGGAGGACTTAGTTTCATTTGGCTGTGGTAAATGGAACCGAAGACTAAAGCCTGCGCGCTTCCGGCTCTTCCATTTCGAGCCACACCGATTTGCTTAGCTTGGTGGCTCCCAGAAATTTGGGGGGGGGGTTCTCAGTGAACCCACACAAGTATGTTGTGTGTGTGTTTTGCTTAACTTGGTGGCCCCCAGCTGAAGTTTGGGGGGGGTTCTCATTTTGTCCATAAAAAGTGAAAACTAAAAGTGACAACTTTTGCAGGGGATCTGAGGACAGCCCAGTTAAGAAATAGGATTTAGACACCCTTGTTTGGATGGTCAAGGGAACCCACATTTCCATTTGTTGTTTCCCCCAAATGGTTTGAAAGGGAATCTATCACTACTGGAAAGAGATGAGTATGTTTTCCTGGAATCTTCAGCAAATGGAAAAGCGACTCCCAGCAACTTACATAGCACTTGAAAAGGGTCCCTTGAAGAGGAAATTGATGTTCCAGGTAATCTCCGACTGGCAACACCCAATTTTTCAAAAGCCTAAAAGAGGGTAGAAAGAGACATCGCTAGAAATGATGGGTGTTGGACTCCCTGTTAATCTGCACCAGGGTATATAAATTACCTTGTCAGAAAAAGTATGGTCCCCTATAGCTGGGCCCCTTCAAGTGAACAGTTGAGGGCAGTTGAGGGGTACTCAAATAGCTTTGGGATCGTGTTTTTTTGTTTTAACTATTCAGAGGGTGGTTTAAGGATGTCATCCAGGATGTCACTTTTCATGACCGCAGTCAACGTGCAGATTTTCTCTTGGAGGTATGCAAATTTATTTCTAAACGATGGCTCGCGTTGCGCGCGAAGACAAGTGTCCTTGCGGCTTCGTGGGGTAGCGTATTGCAATATTTAGCATAGTGGTGTCTTGTTTAGAGCATACCTCCCCCCAAGCAACCAAATGTGGTTTTCCCTTTGGTGTCGCTGCAAAACCACGCCAGGGGGGTACTCAAAATAGATAGACGATAGACAAGAAGACGGGCCAGCCTGACACGGATCAGGTGATGGACAGTTCACCCCAGCATTGGATTGTTCTGCCTATGGTGAATTGCGGGGTAATCAACTTCTCTTCGCTCCATGTTAAATCATCTTGGGGAATTCAAGCGTACCATCTGAAGGCCGAAATCCAGGTCCCTTGTTTTCCAGGATCTCGCGCCACAGTTCAGGAGGTTCAGGGGGTTTTCAACTGAAGGGCGTTTTTTCCTCATGAAATTTATCCTGTGCCAGCTCTGCGGGTCAGGCCCCTCTAACCTTACCTTGTTTGGGGCCTTTTTTCCCTAGCCCCACCCTTTTTTTGGTGCCGAAGCCACGTGCTGGGGCGGAACCTCCAACCTGCTTTTGTGGCCGGAGCCACGTGCTAAAATGTGTTTGGGGTGGAAGAGAACAGGTCTGCTAACCTCTGACGACCTTGTTGATTCAGATCCTTACGATGGGTTAGAGCAAACTTTGAGGCCGTGGTGAGGTTCCTGCCAGATGGAATCTCCGCGGGAAGGGATCAGATCATCGGTTCCTCTTTTCACTCCAACACAAACTCGAGGGGAGTTTGGCGCATCACTTGATCCCTTTGCACAGAGAGTGCGTGGCTCGTATGTGTTTGTTTTTTTCCAATCCACTAGGATCAACGGATCCTAGGCTCCGGCTGTGGACAAGACGCAAGGTCACGGCACTTCACAATTTTCATGGGGGCTGGGGGGGGGGGGGAGGAGTCACGGGGGCTGCGGGGGAGAGAGGGGAGGAGCGCAAGTGGCTAAGGCTGCCCCCATGACATTTTATACCCTTTGCTGAATGGAAGTGCGTGCCTTTGGGCTGCCCTCAAGCACGGAGCCTGTGGTGTTCCTTGCCACCATTCAAAGAATGGCCCAAGAAAACCCAATTCGGAGGGTGCCCTGCCTTCCAGTAACATGGCACCTGACACGGAGGGTCCGTTGAAGAGGAAGTTGATCTTCCAGGCTCCCGCAAATGCGCAATGTTAGTGGTAAAACCGAACTTGGAAGGGCAACAGCGCCCAATTTGGATGGTGAAACCATCCATAAAGTAAAATCCAGAAGGGTAAAACAATCGCATTTGGATGATGAAACCATCCAGGTAGAGTCCAGAAGGGTTTTTCCAATCGCTGGCGCTTCGAGATTTCTTCCCACCCCCTGGTGGTAACGTTGGTTGCCGCTGAGGACTGCGGCTTCTTGACGTTGGTGTGCCAGGACTCCTCAGAGACTCAGGGCCTGCAGGCTCGAGGTCGAGTCGGGGAGTCGCCTGGCTCGTCTTTCTTAGGAAGCGGAAGCCCCCCCCCCCGGTTTTTCTCTTGGGTTTCCCTCCCTCCCAAAAAAGGAAGGAACAGGTGGGTTATTCCCCTTGGGTGTCCATTTAAAACCAGAAAAGCAGAGGGTGCCCTAAGAAAGAAGAACGAAGAGAAAGGCGGGTTTTCCTCTGGGTTTCCCTTTAAAACCACAAAAGCAAAAGGTGCCCTAAGAAAGAAGCACCCATGTCTCGCTCCCGTTCCGCGGAAGGGACTAAAGAATCACTTCCCGCTTCAGCTCACCTCCTGAGTTCCTGACTTTAAGTCACTTCTTGGGAAGATAAAGTTGGCAAACAAGAAGCTTGGGTACTTGTTTGGGCCAATCGACTCAGGACGTGAGTTTGTAGTTAATGGGTCTGGACCATTTCTCCACCCACTCGTTCGGAAGCGGGTTTGTAGTCATTGGGAACTTGGGGCATGAGGGGAGCCTGCAGAAATGGCAGTGGGTCAAAATCGGTTCTCAAAATTAAATGGCACCCTGGTAAAGGGAGACCAGGGCTAAAACCTGCGGTGCAATTCCTGGTGGTTTAGTTTTGACCCATACCCAATATGAGCATGTGGTCAGTTGCTCTCGCGTTTTAATACATGTCGTGTACAACCGTGGGTGTTCGCACCTCGGGTCATGATGCGCAGATCCTGCAAACAGGCCTCGGCAATGGGTGCATCATGAAGCAAATCCAGCAAGATGCACATAGTACAAATGAACATATATGTATTGTATACACATATATGTATATAGGGTACACATACTGGTACGTGACTTGTTCAGTGCACCCTTGAGGGAAACCAAAGGGAAACCACTCTTTTGTTCGGGTGGGGGTTCCCCAGTTGTTATCAACAGTAGAAACTCAACACCAAACGAACGTGTGAGAAATTATTAGCAACCACCCACACACACACATGCAGAGCATAAATGAATGCAATGATGGTACCCCTGTCATGCATGTTTATGTTCGCACATCTTAACTGGCGGTCCCTCATTGGCTGAGTGAATCGTCCAGCACAAGTCGGATTTTGTATTTGCAAGTCAAGTAACTCACGTCCACTAGTCACTAGCTGTCTGAGTTGTTAGGGCCCCTCAGACCCCTTGAGAAAGAGAGGCTTTTCGGTCTCCAGTATATAGTTTATCTTTAAATCAACCTCAAAAGGGTGAGCCTCAAACACACATTGAACATGTGTCGCCTTCGGGTTTGTCTTCGGGTTGCGGGAATCATCTCTCGGAGGTGAAAAAGCCAGATGGCACCTGGCTGTCGGTGAAGACGGACAGGCGCGTTCCTTGGGTGTGGTCCTGGGTGAAGCTTGAGAGCTCACTTTTCAGTTTCTGGACTTGACGCTTTCACCGATATGCAATGCAAGGGATGCTATGATGACAGTTATCATCAAAGTTGTCCTTGCAATCATCAACATGATCGTCGTCGTCCGCCTCCTCCTCCTCCTCCTCATCATCATCATCATCACTAGCCAGCATCATCATCACTATCAGCACCATCATCACCAACCATCATCATCATCATCGTCATCACCATCATCATCATCGTCATCATCATCATCATCATCATCATCATCATCATCATCATCATCATCATCACCATGGTGATCATCATCATCATCATCATCATCATCATCATCATCATCATCATCATCATCATCATCATCATGATCATCATCACCATCATCATCATCATTGTGGTTATCATCATTTGCTTGCACCACTTGCAGCGCCAGGGATGCTACGATGATAGTTATCGTCATCATGATGTCTTTCTTATCTTTCTTACTTTTCCAGTGATTCCATTTACCTGCATAGTAGGCAATCAAGGGAACGCCCCTGTTAGAAACCAAAAGGAAATGGCTGGTTACCTCCTCTTGTGAACTTCCGGACACAACATTTCCAAATAGCGGTTGCACAGCGGCTGACGCCTGTCAAAGACATGACGGTGGTGGTTCGAGTCCACTCTGGTCCGCTACTTGTGCATCGCCATCAGCTGAGAGGTCACAACCGTGGAACCATGGTTTGTTGTGCACATGCGTGGTTTGTTGTGCACATGCGCGATCCGATTTGGATGAGCTTTCGGCTCTTGTTTTTTTGTGCAAAAGGATTTGGACGCACCCAAGCTTCCATTTGCTTTAACAATATATACAATTGTTTATTTCCCCCTGTTGGTTTCAACGGACATCTATCACTACCCGGAAGTATTCCCTTTTTTCTCCAGGGGACGTTTTCGAAAATGGCTGTGGGTCAAAACCAATGGTACCATTTCGGGGTAGGTGAATTCACCACCCATTTTAGTCTATTTGAGTGGGATTGGGATGTTCACTGGGACGAATTGGAGTTTGACCCATGGCCGAGAGGAAAAGGAACCCAGGCCTCGGAGCCGGTGTCGCTCGGGAGGTATACCCCGGTGGCCAACTTGGGTGACTTGGCGCAGCGGTGGACCAACGACCTCTTTCGCAGCTCCTGGCACCGTGCGCCTCGACGGAGTTTTTTTCGTTCGTGTGGCGTGTGGTTTTCTTTTGGCTTGGATCTTGGTGGCTCCCCTTCGCCTTTTAGCCTTTTAGTGTTTAGTGATGGTTTTCATTTAACCCACTAGAAGTTAAACTTTTAGCGGGGGATCTGAGGGCAGCCCAGCTAGATGGTTTGGGAGTTAAGCGTTTAAGTGGTTAAGCCACAGTTAACCTCCAGTGTCAGGTGCTTGGTTTGTTTGTTCTTGGGTGTTCAACCGGCGTCAGGTAAGTAGGGTATAACGGTATAACCATGATAAGTGGAAGATCAGTTGTAACCATGGTTCTAACCTACTTGCTCTCAGTGGCCCAAAGCTAATCAATTTTAGAACCCGTTGGTTTCCCCTGCCCAAACCCAAAGGGATATCCTTTCATCTATGGGTCTCCAAACGTTAAGACCCGGGTTTTTGAATATATAGCGGAATGTCTTGTTCGATGGAATCCTTTGGATGTGGCTTCCCTTCCAAGCAACCACCAAATTGGAGGTCGTCTTGAAGATGCCACGCGGACAAAACAAACCTGGAACCAGGTAAAACAAAAAAAACAAAACAGAAGCTGCAACCAGGTCAAAAAAGGAAATTGGACAGGTCTTGGGGAAAAAACACGCTGCAACCAGGTCAAACACCAGAAAAGAGAAGAAGAGAAAAGGAAAGCAACAACATGCCCATGCCACGCCAAATGGAGTCGTGGCCCGGAGGTGCGCAACGTCTCGTCCTCCCCCCGCTTCAGCCTCGTGCTGCTTGGAGATGGAACGCCTCAGCCTTCGCGGGCTTCTTAACAGATACACTTTGCCCACTTGAAAGATGGCATTTTCCACCAAAGCAAAGGGAAACAGACATTTACAAGGCAATGTTCAGATGTATAATGTAAGGATCCCTGTTGTATCACCGTCGCTGGAGGGGTTTGCAATGTGGCTCACCCATGATGAAGGCCAGACCTGTGCTGCTGCATCATCCCAAAAAGAACCAACAAGTTCAAAAAATGCAATGGACCCCATGCAATTACGATGCTTTTCGGTGGTGTCGCTTGTGGATTCGTCAAGAACCAAGGTTTTTCAACAACATGGATGAGGAGCCAGTTTTCGCTCACGCCTGCAATACTGCAGAGTCAATTTTACTGTGTGGGTTTGGTAAACATGTTCAGTAGTCTATGGTCCATTTCGGAGGGACATGGGGGCTCACAAGTCTTTCGCGAAAACCAGGAGGCTCACCAATTGAGCGGCGTCCAAAAGCTCTGTGTACATGTTTAGTAAGAGTTGTGTCATATCGACCTGTGCGCAAGCAACAACCCCACGTGCGTAAGGTGGCGCGAGCAACACCTCCACATGTATCGCGTAAGGAGCAACTCCATCGCGTAAGGTGGCGTAAGATGGCGTAAGCTAGTGGCGCACAATGATACAACCAAGCAAATCATGTAGGCCATTGCTCAGTTGTTCCATTTGCGGGGAAACACGCCATTTTGACCATGGCTCACATCTTAAAACAGAGACGACTCGAGCCACTCAGCTCATGTGAGTTGGTGACTTGCACAGCATCAATGATGCCTCACCCGTTCGGCAACTGGTTTCTGCCACTTCGGGGAAGTTGTTTTGGTCCAGGCCACCTGAGCCACAATCAAAACCCGGGTAGATGAAGGTTAGTAAGGGACGATCCCAAGCATAAATAGCTGCGGCCGCCTTCTTAATGCTGTACATGGTTCTGGGTAATGGTGACAACTGATTAGTAAACCCACCTCCCCCCCCAGGTCGACAAGGTTTGGAGTCCCCAAAACAGTGATTGTTGGGAGGCCCCCCCTGATGAATCTCGAGCCCCTTCGGGTCCTTTTCCTCTTACTTCTGGCCCCTTCGGGGCAGTAGGACTTTAAAAGGCAACAGCAGGTTTCTGGGTTTTGAGCCCAAAAGGGCCCTGATTAATCGCGGGGGGCTTTCGCTTTTAATGAGGGGGGGCTGGCCTCCAAGGGCCCCCTTTGTGAGCTTGAAAACCTTGTCATGTTTAACATGTTTTAATAAAGAAACATGCATTTTGGGGGAAGCACATGTTTGGCGAATGTTTGAGGGGTTCAAGAGTAACTTGGGCTTAAGCAAATACTAAGCAAGAAGGAACATCCACTTTCTGGCAGTTTTTTTTTGCTCGGGGGCTGCAGAGGGATACCTTTAATCGGGGGGTTTTGAGGAGGGCTCACAAATTATTGGGTAGGTGTTTTTTTGAAAATTTTGTTGGCCCTTTACTTTGGTGTTGGTTGGAACCTGGGGGGGGAAAGGGGAAACCTTTAATCGGGGGCGGGGTTTACTAATCGTCTCTTGACAGTAGACCATTTTAGTACCAGGTTTTGATTGCGACTCACCTGAGGGGTACAACACGTGAGAGGCATACAAGGGGGGGCGCCCTGCTTTCCACCCGCTTTGGGGGGTGTCTTTTTTGAAGGGCATGCTTTTTGGATGGTTCTTCCAGGGGCACCAAAAGGGAAAAGGGAAACCACTCATTTTGGGGGCTCTAAGGGTTGATTCCGATTCCATTCTTTCCAACCATCGTTCCGTTCGAAAACCGACTGTTTCCCTGGATTTCCGGAGGTTTTCTAGAAAGATCCGGATCCCTGGAAAGAATGGAAATGGAAGGTCCGATTCCCAAAAAACCAACGACCCACTTGCAGGACGCGGAAGTGGAGTGCCTTCCCAGCTGCGAGTCGGCCGAGCGGCCAAAGAAGTACGCGAAGACCACGTGCGGGGAGTACGTGGCCTCAAAGATGAGCCCTGTAAAGCAAGCCCAGACATATGTCCATGGGTTGCATAACCTATGGCGAGCCATTTTGGGGTGGAACATCCATTTGCCACCTATTTTGATGTTCACCAGGGGTACTGGGTTTGGACCAAAAACATATTACCCACGGATCCATATACTTGTGTGTGTGTTTGCTTTTTGAGGGTACCATTTTTGGGATTCGTTTAGTCGACAGGGGTCGAGAAAGTCCTTAAATGGCAAACTGATGGCGCTCCATGCTGGCAGCTGGGTTCCTACTAGACCAACCCCCCCCAAATGCTTCTTGGACAGTTCGGGGTTTTGCGCATGGGGAAAGGCAGTCGTTGGGTGCTGGGGTTCCCTAGGTTTCATGACCCCTCCAATGCAGGCCTCATCAGCGCCCCTGCACAGGATGGTCAATGTGTTCAGGGGCCCTTGAACACACACACACACACAAACAAAAAAACAAGCGGGTGCCTTGCGTTTTGAGCACCCTGGTATTTAGGCAACCGGGGTGGTCTATTGTGGGTGTGCCGCTGGCTGAGGCTTTGTACATGTGTTTTGGGTTGCTTCATGATGAAACCACGGAACCTCAAAATGGTGGAGTTTGCTCTGGTTTCCCTTTGAAGCCCCCAAAAAAGGGGCCCCCCACCCCCTGGACAGGCGCGAGGACCCTTTTGGCAAGTTTGAAACGGTCAGTTTGTTCCATGGTTTCAGCAAAAATAGAGGGACAACATGGACTGCTCTTTGGGAAACAGATAAGTTTGTTGGTTTTCTTTGTGCTTGTTGGTTCTGCGCATTTTTGGTGTGCTGCAAACAAAAAGTTCTGCCCTGGGCTCGGTCAAGGGTTCATTTGGGAGATGCCCAACAACAGCCGTGGGACGGAAGACGAATTGGCCCATGTCCTTGGCGTCCATGTGCCTAAATGTTGACCCCATTTCAATCCACCCCAATTTAGTAATGAGGGGGTGTCCCTGGGTTTAGTAGGTTCGGAATCATCACTTTTGGAGGGGAACACCCTCTATTCAAAAAAACTTAAAAAAACTGGGGTTGATGATTATATGGCGTCAACATTACTTAGTGGATCCCTTACCGCAGGTTGGCGAATTGTCGTCCCAGTGGTGCCCGTTGAATGTTTTCTATAGAACCACTCATCAAGCAACAAAGAACCAAAGGTCCTGGTTGATGTGTTCGTGGTATTCTTCCAAGCATCCCGTTGCCCAGGAAAGAAATGCGAAGCCACCTGTCAAAGGAACAGGTCTGAAGCAGGGAATGTTTTGCCCGATGGGCTCTGATGTACCAAGTACCAGCTCGCCCAGGGGCCTTTTATTGTTACATACATGTCTGCTACGAAACACCCAAGGGACCCTCATTTATGTATGGAATGAAGGTCCAGGATACTGGTCAGGTCCGGGATATATACTGGTCATTGGGATCCACTTTGCTTAATTCCTTTTAACAGAATCATCAACCATTGAGTTTTGCACTCCAACTGCCTTCAGGTTGTACAAATTGCAAGTACATCAGAGCTGCTCATCATTCCAGGAACAGCCAGCGAATTCGCTTTGGCCGGATTTCACATGCGGCTGCCACAGTTTTCGCGCGGGCCAGCAATTGCCTAAGGAACCGTCGCGCAATCGCGGAGGCAAAAGAGCGAATTGCGCCCAGACCGCCGGTGGTGCTCTTCTGTCCTTCTAGGTCCCCCAGTGGTGCCCTTTTACCCTTTTTTGGGGGAGGGTTCCCCTAGTAAAATCAGCTACAGAAAAAAGGGAACCCTTATTCCAGCCTCTCTACTGGAGGACCCAGTCTCCTTTGGAACGGTGTTTCCCGTTAAAGGCAACCAGCACAACAAGGTGCCCCTTGTTTCCGGTGCCTCAGCACTCCACATGACGTCCTTGTTCTTGGCATGTTTTTACTAGGTCCCCCAGTAGTGCCCTTTTACCCTGTTCCCCTACCAAAATAGGCTGCAGGAAAAAGGGCACCCTTATTCCAGCCTCTCTACTGGAGAACCTACTTGATATTTTTGTTTGGCTTTGTTCATCATCATTCGGGGAGGGCTGCAAAGAACAAAGGTGTTTACTAGCATACAACGAGTTGGAACTCATGTGAGCCACAATCAAACCCGGGTAGATGAAGTTTAGTCAAAAACAATCCCAACCATAAATAGCTGCGGCCGCCTTCTGAATTCTTTACATGGTTCTGGGTAGACCATTTTAATACCGGGTTTGATTATGACTCGTGTATCCTCCTTTCTCTTAGGAGATTCGTTCTGACGTGTAATCCAAGAAGGTTGTAACACAGTCATTAGCAATTGTAAGGCTGGTTCATTTCAGGTAGATCCCAGTTTTGACCTATTCTGTTTCGGGACTAACCACTCCCCAGGGTTTTGGCAGTGTTCCGAGCCGTTTCAGGTGCATTTGTGTGAAGGCTCCTTTTGGGATTTGTCAAATCGGGATTGGCTTTGCTTGCTGGCTCTCCTTTCCTTGGAGTTGGTATCCATTTTGGGTGGTGTGCTTAGTCAGACGCCAAAAAGACCGCCAAACCTTTTGGGGGTTCCAACCACAAAAAGCCCTTAAACTTTATGGCTGTGGCTCAAATTTATGTACCAGAATGGCAGCTTGGTAAATGGCACCAAAGACTAAAACCTGCAGTTTGCCCCAGCTCTTTAACATTCAAGCCACGGCCTTAAAAATGGCACTAGGTCCCCAAGTAGTGCCCTTTCCCTTTTTTGGATGGGAGGGTTCTTTTACTAACATAGGCTACAGGAGAAAGTTGGTACCCCTCTTCTAACCTCTCAAATCTGGAGTCTGTCCCATTTTTTTAAGGAGGGTTCCCCTACTAACATAGGCCACAGGAGAAAGTTGGTACCCATATTATCATATTCTAACCTCTCAAATCTGGAGTCTGGAGGACCTGGGGCAGGTCCCCCGGGCAAATCCGGGGGACCGGACCGACGCAGCTTGGCACAGGGATGGGCCCAGTGGGCCATGCCCCCAGCGCCAGGCGCGGCTGCGGCTGGCGCTGACCAAGTTCTACGCCTCCCGCAAGAGTGGCGCGGGGCCTGGCAGGGGGGGGTCGATGCCGGGGTCGATGCCGGGGTCGATGCCGGGGTCGAGGGCGCTCAGCTGTGGTGGTGTCCAGTCCATCCAGTGCAGCTTCTGGGGCGTTTAGGTGAATTTTTTAGTGGGCGAAAGGTGGTAGGGGCCTGGCAGGGGGGGCCATCCAGTTCAGCTTGTGGGGCGTTTCGGTGATTTTTTTAGTGGGTGAAAGGGGGTAGACTCCACTTTTCGCCGCTAAAATTTGGAAAGGTTCAGGGAGTTGGGAACAGCCCAGTCAGGTCCAGGTGAGTTTCAAGGGAAGTGGAAAGGAGAGCCGGCCTTTTGAGGGTCCCGATATTGAGACCCAAATGTGTGCACCAGAGGGGCACCCGTAACGGGAACCCAAACGAATCTCCGCAACCTCCGGGTTGTTTAGAGGTGACCATCATGCTTTGAACATGGGGGTCATGATTAAGAAGTGATGATGATCTGTGTTGGAGACTTCAGGTATCCCCCCAATTAGTTAGCAAAGCGTCCAACACACTGTGAGAAGGAAGCCATTGGCACAGAGTGCTGGATTCAGAGCTGGCTCAAGTGGTTGGAAACCCGATGTCCGAACATATTTCGAAATTGAAGATGACGACGATGATGACGACAATGATGATAATGATGAAATGATGGTGATGATGCTGCTGGTGGCGATGGTGGTGCTGCTGCTGCTGCTGCTGCTGCTGCTGCTGATGATGATGATGATGATGATGATGATGATGATGATGATGATGGGTTCGCCGTGTGTCCGAACATGTTCTTGTTTGTTGGGGATAGTTTTATTGAGGGTTGGTAATCAGGGTTGTGTCAACTCTTGCTTCCGCACACCAACAGGGGTCCTCAGACAACATGGAAGACCAAGGTCGCCCAATAGGCTTTTAGCAAGGATTGTTTGTCGAGCCATTTACCCTCCCTCCAACAATGGAAGGGAACAGGGGGGCTTCTTCAAAAGGACAGCCCCCAAAAGTCCTAAGGTTAGCTGGATCAAAGAGCCACTCGTACTGTATTGCCAAGTGTGCCTACAAAACCTGCTTACAACCGCTTGGCAACAGCTACCCTTCCACTGGCTAACGTGGAAGTGCCGCCGGATCCCTGTTGAAAGACGACTATCCTCTTGGAAAGGGGTGATGTGCACTTCCATAGTTGGTGGGTGGGAGGGTAACCCTACGGCCAACTAGGTCCCCCAGTAGTGCCCTTTTTTCCTTTTTTGGGGGAGGGTTCCCCCACTAAAATAGACTACAGAAAAAAGGGTACCCTTATTCTAACCTCTCTACTGGAGGACCTAGCCCAGGGCCCAAAACGAATCTCGACAGCCCCGCAGACAAGCTCGGGAACTTGGACAAAATCGTCGAGCGCTACGTGGATGGCCGGGCCGGAAACCTGTACCAGGGCGTTTGGGTTAGATCACCCACCGACTAACACGGGTTTGTGCACAGAGGGTCTGTGCTTGGTGGCAAGCCCAGGTTTCCGGTTCAACTTAGCTTCTTAGATCTTCTTATATTTTTTTAGTGGGGGGGGGTCCATTTAACCCACGAGTTACAACTTTTAAGAGCAGCCAAGTGTAGAAAGACGACTTTCCTCTTGGAAAGGGGCTTTGTGCACTTCCATGTTACATCACCTGGTCCCAAATGTTGCATGTAAGCTACTGTTAGTGATTCAATTTGTTGTGTATAGGTCACTGAGATCTTGCCACCCTTTCAACACCAGCAAGGAATGGGGAAGGATGACCTATGCGGGCTTGCCAGGGATCCACAAAGACCCAGACACCATGGGCATGTTCCCGTTGGTTTTATTTTGCAACCATTTGTCCCAGGGAATTTCGACCGACTTGACCATGAACGCCTCAGCGCCCAGCACGAGCACCTTTTCTTTGTGCCCACTTGGTTGGATCTTTCGACTTGAGCTTCTTGAGAAACAGCGGTTTCTTGAATTGGAACCAAACAAGTGACAAACTTTTTGCAAAGGGGTCCCAACCATCCAGCATACCGGAAACAGCTGCGGTGAAACGAGCCGTGTTGCGAGGATGACACCTCGCTTGCCCAAGGCCGACCTTTGGACCTTTTGGCTCCCCAGGTCGGCTCATTTTTCTTCATGGCCCCCAGGTTAGCCTTTCACTGCCCGGGTCCTTGGCTTGAAAGTGACCATGGTTTGCCTCAAAGTGACCATGGATGAAGCGTTTGAATGGGCTCCGAACTTCGACAAGCTCCATGGTCACGTTGCTGCTGATTCCGCCCATCTTACCCAAAGCAGTCACAGTTGCCGGTTCACATCTTGTTCAACGGCGGCGCCACATGACTTTTGCATCGGCATCTTTGCACGCCTCTTTCCGTTCCAATCAGCAGACGCCTTGCTCTCAGCGCCGTTTACGAAAAAGCTGCTATGGATTTGCTCCTCCTTCCTCGAGTGTGCTTTGTTGAGAGTGCCTTTTTTGGGGGGTTTAAAGGGGTGGCCCCTGCTTTGACATACTCTGGCCTCTTTAAAAGATGGAGCCAAAAGCGCCTAATCCATTCCCTTGATGAATCCAGAGCATGGCCACACGGCCTCCTTTCAATATTCGCAATGTATGATGATGATCCAAGCATCTGGTGCAAATATCTCTTTATTATTCCTTTGACACAGACATCACTCTTTAGGAGCCGAACACCTCTATGGCATCCCTCGACATGCAAACCATATGGGTGGGTCTCGGTGCCTCTTTTGTTGGATGTGTTAACGAGAAGCCAAAAGGAACACCGCCATTTTGGGGCTTTCTGTTCTCTAGCTGAAAGCTATGACCTCCCGAGTCTCTGCCCACGCTCCGGGACCAGATTGGGGCAGCATTCAGGGAGGTTCCGGAGGGGTTCCGGGAATCGGACTCCCCCAAAAGAATGGCCATTGGTTGACCCAATGATATTCTGACCCCTTTGATTGTTTTACGGTGGCAACTGAACCCCAGGGCATAGGTTTTCGCATAGGGAACCGTCTGAGGTGGTGGAGCTTTGGGCTTCTTTGGGCTCCAAGCAGCTTCCTCGGCAGTGTTGATGGAGTTGATTGGGGACGAATACCTCGGGCATTGGGTGTCTCTCTGTTGCCCAGTGTTTTTGTTTCTTCTTCGGTAATTAAGGGTTCCCCTTGAAATTCAACCAACAAAAAAGGGTGCCCTTTTTTTCCCATGGCCACTGAGTCTTTTGGGAGTGGGCTTGGGTTTTTATGTCAACGGATCAATCCGGACCAGGGGTGAAGTTGAAACGACCCGATGAATCTGAAGCTTACTTAATAAACTGACATGAGGGAACTTCCCAAAAAAGACCAGGCGTAAACTAAGAGCCTGTGACCAACGCAGTCTTTGGGCCGTTTCAACAGCTTTGGGGTTAGCCGTTTTGGACTACAACCTCCCAGAAAAGACTAGTTGCCACCAGTGCTCCTAGCAGACGCGGGGTAGGGGATTTGGTTGGTCGGAAATCCCTAAACGACACCAGGAAAAGAGCTGCGACAGACAAAGCGGTCAGACGCTACAAGAGAACGAAGCATTTGTTCGCTTCTGAGCTCAGCGTGTGGGGTACGGGCGCATCGACCAAAAGCGTTGCCTTGGGTTCCTGGCGTTCCTTCAGATTCAGGTTTGTTGTATAGTCTCAGTTGTTCAGTGGCTCCCTTTTTCCCTTTCTTTTTGGTGGCTGCCCCACTAAAATTGTCTTCCCAAAAAAGGGTTCCCTTTTTTTCTAAGGTCACTGAACAACTGAGTAGTAGTTCGCCGAGAAAGGCCTTCTGACTTTGTCCACTGAAGTTGTCTCATGTTGCCCGCTAGAGTTATTTTTCCCGATAGGTGGAACCAAGCTGCAGCGCGACCAATTGTGATGGCTAGAGTCTAGAGACTGGCGGGAAGCCGTTTCCACGGGTTTTGACCAGGCAGGGATCCTATCAGCACCGCTTTTCGGATCTTCTTTGTGGTTTCAATCACCCCTTGCTTGGATGTCCAACCAACTTAGAAGCTCGGTTAGAACCATGTTTATAAAGGGGCGAAGCCGCAGTTGCACTAGCTATAATCGTGGTTGTAACCTACTTACCTGATGTTGGCTGAACATCCAAGTGGGCTCCATCACCCCTTTGGCCCATTGACCCCTGAAATGGGAGTGTAGTCTGGTGGAGGTGATAGGAAGGGGAAACATAGGCATCCTAGAAACCAACTTTAACTCTTGGATGTGCCGTCTGTTTTGTTTCAGCTGGAGTCCAAATCAAAGTTTGTCCAGCTCGCCAGTGAACTCAGTCGCCCAAAGGGAAGCCACCTTTTGGCCTTTTGGTTTTCCCCTTGTTGGTCCTGGCACTTAGTCCTGGCAACTTCGTCCTAACCCAAAAGGCTAAGGCAGGCGCCATGCTTCGCGGCCGTAAGGTACAACCTGCCCCCCAGCTCCGCTGTCCAGAGCTGGCCTTGGGCATTCGGACGTCCCTGTGGCTATGTCGTAGGTTGGACGCCCACCCCTTAAGAAACAAAAAATGTCCTCGTTCCTGAGGCACCCAACGTGCCCCTTTTCTTAGGTACGAGAAACAACACACGCTCGACTTTTTTGATTTCTGCTCGACCCCTCAAAAAACGCTCGCCCGCCAAAAAGCGCTCGACCAAATCCCCTTCTTCCATCCAGAGGAAGGCGGGCATTGTTACGTTTTTGTTTTTGTTTGCACTTGTTTGCGAATAATTGCACTCGTTTTGCGGAAATTTGCGCTCGTTTTGCACTTTGATTTCTGCTCGCTCCTTTCGAAAATTCAGCGCCCGGTTTTGGGAAAACGCTCGAAGCAGGAAAAAGTGTACGGTTACCATATTTTGGTGACGACCCCTGGATTTGCAATTTGTTTGGGCTAAGGGCAGAAATTTAGGTAACTAAGGGTGCGCCAGGTTGTTTTCCTCAAACCACCAAAAAAGGTACCAACTCCCAGAAACGACACCGTCGGCAAAGAAAGAGATACCCCAAAAATTAAAATGGTGTTCCTGAAAGAGCCTTAGGAGAAATGGGTGGGGGCTTTTGGGTTTGCACTGAGCAATCCAAAACGACGGCCTTGGGACACCAAAAATTTGGGCTCTGACAAAGCTCGGATGTGAACTTCGAACTTGGTGTGCGTCTTTGGCGGGCTCGCCGATCAAGATGCGTTACACTAGCGGATTCCTTATTGCAATTTGCCCAGATCATTGGTTCACATCCCTGAGCGTCAGAAGTTTTTGGCTGCTTTTGCCGGCAGCAGGTCAAACTCAGGTTGTGCAATTTAGTAATTCTGCCCCGTAATTCACAGCGTTGGGCTCACACCGAGAGACTTAGCAAGAAGACTTGCTTCTACATGTGGGTCCGTCCCCCAGGTTTGCATTTAGATGGCTTGGGAGTGAAGTTTAACATGGTTGGTGTTGGGAAACATTTTACATTTTTGTTTTTTTGTGGTTTAGTGGTTGAAATCCAACCACTTAACTGCCAAAACATTCAAATTGTTGCTCCCCTAACCCAACGTCAACCAAGTGGTTAACCCACAGTACAACCCGTGGTGCTCGGCTTCCTTTCTTGGGTGGTCAATGTCAAAGCAGATTGCAACATGTAAAACAAACAAAAAAACATGGTTCTCGGGGGACGATCGTCCGTGCTATTCACTCCATGGTCATTCGATGCCAAGGCACATGTGCACCAATTTGCTGGGCTGCTTGCATCAACCGCCTGACCGTTTTGAGGCTATTCCGGCCATGCGACTAGGGTGTTTTGTCAGTTTCACCGCCTATAACCATGGGTATTGCCTACCTACCTGAGGTGGGTTGAACATCCAAGTTGGTTTCCACAAAGAAGACCGTCCAAACATGGGACCCCTTGTTTTGGAGACAGACCCAGGTGGCTCGCATCCACCTTGGACAGCCGGGTGGCCGTGCCGCGCTCAGCCATCGACAGCCGTGCCGCGCCGGTGAATCCGAGGCACTGAAGGTGTGCCGAAAAAGGCACGCCCCCGTAAGCATAGGTGTCCTTTTTGGTTGATTTAGTTGACAAATAGAGGGCCCTGGTTTACCTGGTGGTTCAATCAACTACCAGGGCCATCTATTTTCTCAACAAGGACACCTATGCCCGCAAGCTTCCACTTAAAGATCGTCCGGTTGCCCGCTGGATTCCGCCCTTCCTTCCTTTTTCGGGGAAGGGTTCCAATCCCTGTAAAATCAGCCAACCAGAAAAGGATGCCCTTTTTTCCCCATGGAAATCCACTGGGCATCTGAGATATTTTCTCTCCTGGACTACCGCGAATATGTTTTTCCCCCAGCGTACTTAAGCAAACGAAGTCAACGTGTGCCTACACAATGAATATGGAAGATGCCCTCCAGCTAAGGTTCATGTTTCCTTTTAGCGAAGAAGAGCGGGCACTTGTGATGTTTGCAGTGCCTGGAGTCCGTGCTATTCACTCCTTGGGACTGTCATACGATGCCTGCCGACAAGGCACATGTGCACCAATTTGCTGGGCTGCTTGCATCAACCGCCTGACCATTTTGAGGCTATTCCGGCCATGCGGCTAGGGTGTTTTGCCAGCGCATTAATGCACAGACTTGTTGGCGCGCCCTCACCAGTTGCTGTCGAACGAACCCTGTGCGAACCAAATCGTGTTGAACATTGATTAATGCGCTAGGATATCCATGAAGCTGCGTTGCAGCTTTACAATGCTCAGTGCTTGTGTGTGTGTGTGTGCCAGATGGAGCATGATGTTTGTAGGGCATGCAAAGTTGTCTCATTTTGGCCTTGCCGCTGCTTGTAGGACTCAATACCTGCGAACAGCATCGTTTACAAGCAAATACAAATACACTTACAAGATGATCGCAGTTGGTGAAGCAATGTGATTGTTCTGGGGACTCTTGACACATGTGGGTATGATATTTAATTGGGGACCCTTTCGTGGACATCATAATTCGGTGGGGACTACTTAAGTTTCATGGCCATGTTGGTGGATGGCCTTCCAAGCGATCCACATGAAGAACATAGCGAGGTTTGTGCTGTGGCCTAACATTTGAGGTTTGTGTGGGGTCACGGGTCCGTTTAGGGCGCGCTGGTGCTTGTTTGATGTGTTCTTGCCTCCGTGCTCCTTCAAGCTTGCCATCAACATGAGGTGAACTATGTACATAGTGCAAAGATCAATTGACACTCATGCCGGAGACGCTTCAAACGCTGAAGTAGGACATGCCACATGTTTTGCTTTGTCGCCTATTCGTTGAATTGATAGGTTCCTTTGGCGGGCAATCTTGTTCTTTGGTGTGCATACCCTCTCCCCCACTGACATACTGTGGATGGACGAAATCCATTTCGCACCACTTTGAATCCATGGGAAGCCACTTGTTGGTATTTACGTTGGGGAAGCATCAGAAACCGTTTCAGAACGGTGGTGCGAGAAGCGGATCTCGCAACCATCCACAGCACCTCAGGTGCCGCGGCAGCGTGGGAGAGAGGCGAGAGGGTCATTTGCTGCAGGTGCAGTGGCCGGCCGAGGCCGTCCCGGAAGTGGCGCCTGGGGCCCTGGCGATTTTTTTGACCATAGCATTTAAGGAGAGCACCCAAATATCGCCAAGTGAAATGACACATACATGAATTAAATTGATATAGATATATATATATATATATACACTACGCAATATATGTATATATATATATATACACATAGTATAACTTAACAAGTCATATGTAATTTAGCTGGTGGTTGGAAGGGAGCCGTTAGGGAGCTGGGAGTATCCGCATTGGCTTTTAACAGGGAGCTAACATGCTACCAACAAGTTCTGTAGTGTAAGAACATGGTAGCAAAGGAGTAGTGTGGAATCGGTGTATTGCTTTATAGCCATGTCTTCTCGCTTTTTACTTAGTTTGGTTTGGCTTTAAACTGCGCAGTCTCAGCAGCTAGCATGTACTGGCCCTTATGGTGACCCTTATATAATCTGGTTTTACAGGGGACCAACTCGCGGGTGACTGGGAGAGCACCCTTGTGACGGGCTTATATAACTTGTGCAAGGTGTCAACTTGCGGGCTTCAACTGCGGGGTGATCTCGAAATGGTTTTCATAGAAACACATGAAATCCTTTCGGGGGGAAGTTGTCCAAGATGTTCCAACGCAAGGGGTTTTGGCTGGTTGGTGGGTTGGTGGGTTGGTTGGTTGGCTGGCTGGCCGCATCCCCACTTGGTCTGGGGTTGAACTGCTTGGGTGGCAGTTGGGAGCTGGTTAATCTACAGGTTTAGGCTGGCGTAGATCTTCATGCGGACGGGTCTTGGGGTGGTTTGGGGTTGATTTAGGGGAAGCAAAGGGCTGACATTCAGGCTGCTTTTGGGTTTAGGGTTGACTTTGGGTGAGTTTGGGTTGGTTTGGAGCTGATTTGTGTTAGGTGTGCTGCTGGTTTGGCTGCCGCTTTAGGGTTGCTTTCGGGCATGGTTCAGTGAGTTTGTGTCTCGTTTGCGTTGCCCCAAAACACCGAAACTAGCCCACAACTCACGTATCTCTACAAATATATATATATATATACATATATACACCTTTATATTTGTCTAAAGCCAAGGCCTTCACTGTCCCACCCAGGTCTCCTCCAGGTGTCCTTTGTTGCGCCCGGATGGGCCTCCAACGGCCGATGGCTCGATCCGAGGCAGCGCGCGCTGGATGAGTTGGGCGAGGATCCGGATGAGGCGCCAGCTTTTACATGGATCTTCCTTGGGCCCGTGATTTTGGCCGTTTTTGGAGATCAAAGTCAGAAGCTTGGGTTGTTTCCCTTTAACCTACCACTTAGGGGGTGACTTTGACAGTCGTAAACTAATGTCGTCAGTCTGGAATTTCTTTGGTGGCAAGCCCAGCCATCCGGTTCCGGTGATTGTTGTTTAAAGGAATTTTGGGGTTTAGTGGTAGTTTCCAAATATACACATACGTATTACGCATTGTATAATAGAACAAGTCATATATCCACTAGCTGGTGGTTCTTAAGGGACACACGTATGGATGTGTCTCGAAACTAGGTAAATGTTCACGTGACGGGTTTGGCTTCCGCTAAAGAAGGTGCCCCGAACAAACTCCGGCTATCCATGACTGTTGGTCAAGAAGCAAGTACATCTGAGCCACGTCCTTAAAACCGATTGGGGTAGATGAAGTTGAAGGACAATCCTTTACATGGTTCTGGGTAGACCATTTTAATGCCGGGTTTTGATTGTGACTCAGCTGGAGCAAGGGTATTCTGCCTTACAGGACCCCTAAGTCAGGTTAGGTTCATTGGATGGGAGGGTGTGCCGTCCTTCTGGTTGGCTCAAGTACGGCAATTGTGGAGGCACAATGAGTTTCCCCTTGGCCTCGGCAATCCAGTGACACCTGTTTGGACCTTCAGACAGATTTGAGTCCTTTCTGGTAGCGTAGATGGATTTCACTGGTTTCGGCTTGGTTGTAAGTGTTCATCGAGTTGCCTGAAAGTAAACCTAGGCCCCCATTCCATGCGTTTCTCCAATACCTTTGCCAACCAAGAACCGGCTGCCGTGGCATTTTTCCTTAGCTACCATCCGGTCTTGTTGGGACCGTACATTCCAAGGGCGAAGCGCCCAAAGTCCTGTTGGCCAATTAACTTCCATTTTCTTAAGAACATGTTGGTGTGGGTCAAAATTAAGCCACCAGGGGACCGCAGATTTTAGTCTTTGGTTCCATTTACCAGGGTTCAATTTTGGGTACCTATTTTTGACCCACAGCCATGTTGTATTTCCTCTGTTGGTTTTAAAGGGAACCGAGTTCACTACTGCAAATTTGTTATCACTTTTTCTCGGGGACTTAAGCAAATGGGAGGCTAAGTAAGGGCTTCTAGTGCCTGCTTTGAGAGGGCCTATGTCGTTTGATGTTTAATCTAAAACCCTGTGATAAGTATAATTTTCATTTGGATCGTCCGCGAAACATGTTTGAGGGTGCTTCCCGGTAAACTGTGTTACCTTCACTTAATCAATGTGCATCAGTGCTTGAGGTACCCCATGGCAGCTAAGCCAATGTCATATATTCAGTCCCATGTAAACCTTTATCCTTTGATAGAACCCGAAAGTCCCTCCGTGTTTGAACCTTTAGACATCAGGTTTTTCAGAACCAAACATTGCTTTCTTGGGGGGGCAAGGGTTATGGCTGCCAACCTTGAGCCATGTGTCCGTTTGCTCAACTCAGGCCTGCGTTGCCTCCTGCTTGCGCTCGGCCATGAAGGCGGTGCTTTTCCTGACATCGAGTCACGTGGCTATGCCTCTTTGAGGCGAAGCCACATAAATCTGCTTCAGTTTCCCTTTGGTTTCCCCAAAAAGGGTTCCCACAACACAAAGGGACACCCATATGGTTGGAGGTATGTCCAAAACTTGGGTTGCCATGTCTTTGCTTTGCCTACGGGTTTAGGGGTGTTGCTGTGAGTGGAGAGGGAAACTTCAAGACACGCCGTTTTTGCGTGTTCTTGTTGTGTTTCTTTTTTTTCTTCTCAAGTTGAGGGGAGTAACCACAGGCCGCAAGTGCAAGAAGACTCAGTGGGCTGTTCGCGACGAGCGCATTGCGGGTGTGTCACCTTTCTATTGCCGCCACATGGTTATCCTGAGAGTTCACTTTGGCAGTCAGCGGGGGGCGGGGGTAGAGAACAGTTTGCGAATGTTGAAGCGCCTCTAAGGGGTGGTTCCGGATTCCATGATGACGTGCTGTGATCGGCTTGTTCCTGTACCGTCAGCTTGTTACACATAACTCGTCACCTCTGAGTGTGGGGGATCGACTCACTCTTGGACCGTATGGCAAATGCGACGGGTTCCCACTTGTAAATGTGGGACAACACAACCCCAAACGCTCATTACCACGATGACACGCCCATTCTGGTGTGTATGTGTTTTGGAATTCATTAGAATGAAAGTGCCGAACAAGCGCGGACAAAGCGCAAATTGATTCGTCCCGGAAATGCCAACAGGAAACGTGTCAACTATAGTACTAGCGAACAACATGTTGTCCATGTGGACAAACCAAGGTGCACATTGACATGAAGCAAGAAACACAAGTGGACAACACGTCCACGGTGAATACTTTTAGACACGAGCCTTGACCCTGGACACAATTGTAAGCTATCACGATGGGATCCTGTCGCCAGGTAATAACGAGCTTACCGATTTGGGGAGGGTAAACGAGCTTAGGCGCCATGATGGATCTTTGAATTTGAGCTGCGGTCAAGGTATAGCCAAATGAGGCGGAGAAACCAGGGAGTCCGCTTATTGTGCGAGGCATTTGGTGGAACTCCAGCAAATTTTCGGCCGAGCTTTGCATAGGATTTATTGTTTGCAGTATGTCAAACAATATGATCGCATAAATTCACCTTTGCAATCTTTTGGCTAATTTCCCCGTTGAAGGTTGTAAACATCAAGTTGAAACAAGCCTAGGCAAATCCTGGGGAACTCTGTGCACTGCACTCCGTTCTTGTCATGTGCCCGCTCTTGGCACAGCTAGGTCATTAGTGTATGGTTTCTGAATTTGTCCTCATTTTGTAGGGGCTGAAACAAGAAGCCGCATGTGTTAGGTGAGTTTGAATGAACATAGATAGAGTGCACTGGGAAACCAGTTTCCAATGAGTGGACTTATTATTTGATCAACAACGCACAGGCCAAACAGATCCCAGGTGCTTTCCGAGCACTGTTTGGGGCATATCTGTGTTTGTACCCTTTGTTGACAGTTCTTTGAACGGGGCACCCAGTTGTCGCAGCAAATTTTGCAGGGCTCCTTAAAAGATACAGTTTGCCCAATTGAAATATGGCTTTTTCCACCAAAATAAAGGGAAGCCTCCATTTACAAGGCAATGTTCAGGTGTATGTAAGGATCCCTGTTTCGCATGTCCCGGCTCGGCTCTTCCAGGACGGGGACCTGCGGGTCTCCGCGATGGTGTTCATCCACGGCTGCGCGGCGCTTAGGGTGCGGGGCAGAAGCCGCGGGGCAGAAGCACTGGGGCCATGTGTTGCGCAACCTATGGCGTCCCATTTTGGGGTGGATGAACATCCATTTGCCACCTACTTTGATGTTTACCAGGGGCTTCGTGGGTTTTGACCCACACAAGCGAAACACGTTGTGCAGCCAAGCGGGTGAACGGTGAACCACGCCCAAATGATCTTCCATTTGTTTAAGAATATGTGTTATTTTCCCCTGTTGGTTTTAAAAGGAATTGATCACTACTGGACCTTTTTTTCCCCAGGGTGCTCGAGCAAATGGAATAATTGGTCCATTGGTCAAAGTTTGTTTCGCCCGTCCATGTTGTTTCATGGCCGTTCCTTTGGTGCAGCTGGTAGGAGACCCAACGGGAGCTAGACCAAGAGGCGCCTAGAAGGCGCGTATGTCTGAAAGGGGCTCCGAGCACCTCCGGTGGTTTCAGTATATCGTGGGTCCTCCGTCCCCGGGTTATTTCTCTGTTTTTGTTTTTTGTTTCCCGTTCTCCGAGGTTGTTTTTCACTGAGATCCTCGGAAAACGGGCAGTCTCCGGATTTCACGTTAAATTTCCGTGATTTGGAAGATCCAGGATGGTCATGTTTCGGACATGACCCTCTTTCCAACAATCATGGAAGTGGATAAGATGTGCTTCCCCAAAAGGAAGTGGATACGATGTTTCATTATATGGATTTTGTTTTTGCTTTTGTTCTTTTCGGAGAATAAGGGTGCTTCTCAAAAGGAGAGCTTTCGTCCTCCCAAAGCTCTGGGGATCGTCGCCATTGGAGGGAGCGGTCGCTGGCTCAGGCCCTGAGAGCCAGCGGCCTGCCTTGTGGCGCACCCTGCTGGGCCCTGGCAGGATCCAACGACCTGGGGGTGGCCTTTTTGACGGTACCTTCTGGGGGGAGTGGGGGGGAGTGGGGAGCGGGGTGAGGTGGGGAGGTGGGGTCAAAACCCGGGGATTGGTGAAGGTTAGTAAGGGACAATTTTAGTCATAAATAGCGGCGGATTTCCGCCTTCTTACACTTCTTGAAGCATGGTTCTGGGATTACGACCATTTTAATTCCGGGTTGTGATTATGACTCACCTGGGTGTGGCCTTTTTGGAGGGTACCTTCCTGTGTGGGAGGTGGGAGGTGAGGAGGCGGGGAGGTGTTCTGCCGGAACCCGCCAGAGAAGCCCTCCTTGTACAGGAAAATCGGCAATCCGGGACCCAGTGATGAGGTTCCGTGATGGGAGGGTACCCCTTTTCTTTTCTTTTCTTTTCTTTTCTTTTCTTTTTGGAAGGGGACACCACAAGGAAACTCGAAATCAATTTTGGGGCTCCCTTCAAAAACACGCACCCACTTGGGTAACATGTCTTTAGACAATGAATGTGGTTAGATCAAGAGCTTCTGAGTGCTCTTTATCTTGCCCAGTGGATCCCAGTGAGCCCTATTGTCTTTTGGGTTTCAAAACGTGGCAAGCCTTTGGTTCCCTACAGGGACATGGAATCATGGGGACTGGGTTGTAAGGGAAAGCAATCGGAGGTCGTACCGACAATTTGAGCGCTTCGCCTACCCCGGAGCTGTGACATTTCTTCGCCTTGGACCGGATTTGACACGTCGGTTTGGGGTTAACGGGAACCCAGGATTCAGTCGCTCGATGAATGGGGATTAGAGGGTTGTGGATTAATGGGAAGGAACCTTTCTTGGCAGTTCCCAGCCATGTGTAGGGTTTGATTATGACTCGTTTGGGTGTTTCTCACATGAACAAAACACAAAACGGATTTCTTCATGTTTGCTTCCCTTTTAAACCTCCTGCAAAGGGCTCCAACATTTTGCTGAAGCCCCACTTGTGTTTGCAAGCGAGGCGGATGCTTCCATTTGTTTCGGTTCCGGACTAGCAGTGTAGGTCACCATGGTTATAAGGGGACCAACCCCAGTTACAGCCATGGCCATGGTTACCATCTACTCGTCCAAAGTTGGTTGAACATCCAAATGGCGGGTGAAACGAGCAGGTGCAACATATGAAGAGAAGTCCTTTCCTTCGAAGGGATTTCTGAACATGAGGACTGGTATGACCTCCTGTGGTGCCCGTTGCGTTCTTTACAAACAAGGTGTCCTTCTGACCTGTGTCACACGCCGCACATGGGCGTCTGCTTTGGGGGAGGTGGTCCCGTTTTTGGTCGGACCTCGCGTGCGCTTCTTCGGCAGGACGGCCGAAGACCAGCAGACCCTCCGCGAGAGGCGGGAGCCGCCAGCTCGGGAGTCGCAAGTTTCGTCCGTGGATCGGTTTCGGGGGCCAGAGATCCGGGGCTCTACCCAGTTGCAACCACCGGATTCCGCCCTGTCCTTTCTTTTTGTTGCAGTGGCCGCCTTTTTTTCAACTTGTTTGGGGAAGGGTTCCGATTCCTTTAAAGCCAGTCAAAAAGGATGCCCGTTTTTTCCCATGGAAATCCACTGGGCATCTGAGTTTACCTAGCTGTTGACTGACTTAGTTCAAGGATTTGACTTTGGCCAATCGAGGTGACCTGACCAGGGGCTCAAAGCGATCTCACCCAAGGCGAAGGTTGCTATCTTGGAGGTTGCACCCGCATTTGTCTCAAACGCGCGCGTGCCATTCCTGGTAAAACTTCTTTTAAATGGCGAAGACAGGTAATTATTTGGTTTGTTCTGTTTGTTGCCTGAAGCAAATGGGACAATGCGGGCGAGGGTTACGACTAGTTTCCCTTTCGATTCGCAAACCTTGGCCAGGGTCAGCAGGGATGATCATGGATCTTTCAGTTGGAGGCTAGACAATGAAGGGCCTCTCTGTTGAGGCCCATTTGAAGAACTCCAGTGCTTGCCTCCGAGCAGTCTGAAGATGGGTGACCCACAACATGTCTACAGTATGCCTGCGGTTGTGTGCCGCAAATGTTTATTAACCCATCCTTCCCCCCCAAAAAAAGCAAACATATGTGTCCCGTCCATTTTGATTCTACCAGCCCCAACGAAACCAATTGTAGCAGGGCTCCTCAAAAGATACAAATTTTGCCACCATTTGACACATGTTTCTTTTTCAAAACCAACATATAGTGGGAACCACCATTTGTTTTTTGGTTCATGCATCCGGATCCCTGTGTGGCTTGGGGATTTGTATGGGGAGGGATCTCTGATTGCCAGGCGCCTGGCTTACGAGGAGTTGAAAGCAAGGGCCGAGGACTCAAGATCTGCGATCAAGTGTCACGGTTGCAACCAGTTGCAACCAGTGGTTGCCAATTATTTTCTTTTTCTGTTATAACTTTTTTTTTGGGGGGGAAGGGTTCCCCTTTTAAAGGCAACCAACAAAGGATGCCGATTCTTTTCTTCCAGCGGAACTCCACTGGGCATCTCAGGTCTCGCATTTGGGGGTTGATCAAACGGTCCCGCATACCTGGGATGACCAAAGAAAGCAACAACAAAAAACAAGAAAAAAGCAAAAACAAAAGCAAAACAAAACAAACAACATAAAACAAAAATAAGAAAACAAAAACAACACAAAACAAACGACAACGATGAGATGTCCACGAAATGATAAAACGCTCGCCTTGATCATTTGCAGGCCCAGGAAGATCGATCGACGCCGCGACGCCCCATGATTCCATCGTCCCAGGATGTGATTGAATGGTCGCCCCCGGTGTGTTTGAATGGTCTTTGTTCTGGGCAAAAACATGGATATCCAGGAGATCCGCACCTATGCACTTGCCATAAATCAAGGTTCTAAGATTGTTAGACTTTGTCTAGAGACTCCCCGTGAGCGATCTTCATGCGAAGGGGGGCCCTTTGTTTGGTTCTACAATGTTCTACAGTGAATATCCTCAATTTGCTTAAGCCCCCTGGAACACCTCCGTCCCATCGTGGAACCGGACAGGAATGTGGAAGACAACAATTATTTTGAGAAGACCACCTTCCCCACTCCCCCTTCTCCACTTCCATGATTGTCTTGCTGGTTCTCAGCAGGGAATGAGAAATGGAATGACCCCTATAAACTATGGCTCTCTTTAAGGGAATCCCTAGGTTCATTCCCAAAACCCGGACTCGGTCACTCCCTACTGAGCACCAGCAAGTCGTTGGAAAGCGGGCCAAACCCCAGTTGATTCGTGAGCCAGTGTCCCATTTCAAGCATGTCAAAAGTCACTCTATCCGGTTTGTTACGCGGGTGCCGCTTACATGTGCATGAACCGTGTTTTTTGTTTCTTCTTCTTTTTTTTAAGGGTGCCCTTGTTTTTGTTTGAACGGGGGGGGCCTCCAATTTTAGAAGCTACCATTGGAGAAAAGCCCACATTTCAGGTAGATGTCTTTTAACCGAGTTTTGCTTAGGACACTAGCCCTGTGCAGCTCCTTTACTCGTGGATCCCTTGTTTCAGGAATTGGACTTCTTGTATCTTGGTGGCTCTCAGCATCTCTCATCAGGTTCCTTAGCCTTTTAGCTTTTTAGTGTTTAGTGGTTCAACCGAGTCAGTTCCCAAGCCGACCTTTGAACCTCTTGATTTAGCCGAATTGGTCCAGTTCGAGTCAAGCGAATCCCCGCCTGTTTGGCATCAAACGGCTGAGGCCACCTTCCCCTTGCCTTCTGTTGGCACTCATCCTCATGTGGTTGTGGGTCGGTTACCTCCACGGTTGTCTTTTTAGAAGGCTTTCTGGGGCACCGGGGTTTTGACCCATAGCCATGTGATTGTCCGTGAAGATGTTGTTTGTTTGTCTATGGGACGGGGGGAACAGGACATGCTCTTGCAAGTGCTCAGATCAGGTTTTTGGGATAGCCAATCAGACGAAGCAAGGGTTGGTTGGGGATGGTGATGGAGCCACCCCACATCTTGTGTTTGTTGAGGTATCTTCCATACTAGGTAGCAGCGTAGCAGACCTCAGATGTTTTTTGCAAGTAGCTTCTTTTCTTGCGAAGAGCAGAGGGAACACCCATTGTAGTGAGATGATTCACTGGGGTGGCAGCCTTTTCGATGGCAGCTTTTGCGGAAGAGGGCAGCACCCCCTTGCAGACAAGAGGCTCACTCGTCTTTGAGATACAAAGTAGTCCTGAGAGTGGCGCATTTTAGAATCACACAAGCCAGTTCAAGATAGGGCTGTCCTCACCCCCATGGCATGGAAACTGAAGCGATTTGGCCAAGGTGCGGAGAACACAGATTTGCAAGTCAGTTACATCAAAATTCCCATTCCTGTCACCAGCCTGCAAGACAAGCAGCCACAGTTCGGGTGCCCGTTGGGATTCCACTAGTTTCTGGGTTCTAGCTATTTGCTCAAATTGTCATTTGCAGATGGACCTGTATGACTCACCTGCCCGCGGCGTGGCTTTTGTTTAACCGCCGAGATGCTGTCCGAGATGAAGTCGGAGGAGACCGGCGGGTGCCGGGCTGGGAGACCGGCTGGGAGGTTTGTCTCTAAATAGAAGGCCCCCGGAAGTAGTTTCCTTTTGGTTTCCCTTTAAACCAAACCCAAAACAAAAACCCAACAAACAGACGCACCCATTTCTGCTGGGGGAAACCAAAGTTGGACACCGAGTGTATTTGGGGCAAGCGCCTTGAAGACAACCTGTTTCGTGTGAGTCTCGACTTTGAGAGCCGTCACATTCACCCAATGCTCTTCTTGGATCTCTCAGATCCAGTCAAGGGATACTGAGGCGATGACCTAAAAAATTGGAGGCTTTGGAACTCCCTTTGCTTTTTTGGATGCCCCTTTTTTCAGGGTGTTTGAAAGGAACACCTGGTGTTTCAAAACAACCTCAAAACAACCCAACTGGTGTTGTTAGTCCGATCTCGGGCTTTTCAGGCATGGGATGCTGGTCTGAGGTCGATCCCAGCACTTGCGTTAAAGGGAGCGGCGACATCTTCACTGTTATTGCAAGTTATCATTATTACTAGTATTATTGTTATTATTATTATTTACTATTATTATTATTATGATTATTATTATTATTTTTTTTTTATTTTTATTATTATTAGTAGTATTATTATTATTATTATTATTATTATTATTATTATTATTATTATTATTATTATGATTAGTATTATGATTATTATTATTATTATTATTATTATTATTATGATTATTATTATTATTATGATTATTATTATGATTATTATTATTATTATTATTATTATTATTATTATTATTATTATTATTATTATTATCATCATCATCATCATCACCATCAACATCATCATCATCATCATTATGTGTTTGCTTTTTTCTGTTTGTTTAGAAATATATATGTGTTGTGTTGTTTTAGTTTTTTGGGTTCGCTCCATTTTTAGGTTTGGGGGCTGCAAACAACAGTCAGTTTGTTGCAAGCCCATACCAAGGGTTGTGAAGAAATGCAAAGTTGCGCCTGGTGAAGCAATCCTCACCTGGCACCTTATTGAAACCCTCCGTGTCCAAAAAGTATCCCACAATAGAATTGATGCACAGCAACACCAGCTGCGTGGCCGGTGAACGGGGGGATGCGTTTCTATGTTGAGCCAACTTTGTAAGTAGGTCAGAACCATGAACTCGTGCAACTGGGCTTAGTCCCCTTATGACCTACTTGCTTGCTAAGTTGGTCCCCGTTTCTGTTGCTCCAGTGTGTGGCGGGTGAGATTTTCAAGAGCGTCAGAGGTGAGCACTTCGAGCAAGTACATGTGAACCACAATCAGAACCAGGGTAGATGAGGGTGAGTAAGGGATAATGCCAACTATAATTGGACACAGCCGCCTTCATAATTCGTACATGGTTCTGGGTAGACCATTTTTATGCCAGCATTTGATTTTGACTGATGTGTCCTCACCAACCACCAGTACACACCAAGAGGCAAACGGATGTTTGTGGAGGGGAGTTCTCGTTTCCAAGACTCGTCGTTTGTTTCATTGGCCGGGGAGGGGGCTTAGAGCTCAAGTCAGCTTGCATTTTGGCCGTTTCCTTCTGAACGTTCAACAAGAATAAGTGAGGCGTATGAGATGGAATGCAGCCCTTCCGCCGAATTCAGAAGAGAGCTGCGCTGTCTTGCGGTTTTGGATATCTTTCATGTTCAGGGGTTTCAAAAACAGACATCAAGTGATAGGAACATGGCTGCCCCGTCCCGTCCCCCCAAAAAAATGATAATACCCAATGTATCTAAAGGCCCTTCCGGGAAGGGCTGCCAGACAAAGGCATTCCTTTGTAAAGGACCCTCCTGGGAGGGCCGTTGACAGACTGGGAATAACTAAGCCAACATGAAGCATCAAACCGAGCTGACCGACTCCCGACAGACCTCCGCGCGGCTTTTTTTGCCGCTTTCCGGCTCGAAGACCAGGGGCGGTGTCAAGGGAGGAAGTCCATTTCCTTGGCAGATCCAAGCGCCAGCTTCATATCCGGCCGGGGCCCCAGTGGCCCAGCTTCTGAGGACTTCCATTGGGTGCACGCGAAATTCTGAGCGGACGCGAGCGAAAACCAAAACAAGGTGGAGCTATGTGGAGCTCCTTGGCTTGAGGATGTTTGGGGATCCCATGTTTCATGATGACGAAGTCAGAGTCGGGTTTCAAGTCGGCAAAAGGAGGCTTTCTGGGAGAGTTCTCGCCGAGCCTCGCCCTTTCCCTTGTTGAAGTGCAGAAGCACTCCCTACTCACCAACCCGAAGGCACTGCATGCCCTTGGTCAGAGGGTTGCCGGCCTCATGAATCAGAAATCCACCCGCGCCCCATTGTTCAATGGGAAACAACTGCCACACCTATAGCAGCTTGCATGTTTAATTATTTACATTCAGGTGCATGTTTTTTTTGGGGGGGGGGACGCCCCTAGGTGGTTGTTCTCGTTTGGCTTCCCTTTAAAACGTTTAAAACCACCAACCAGGGCCCCCTCAAAAAGCACGCGCACACACAGACACACACACACACATGTGCGTGTGTGTGTGTGTGCTTTTCGTTCGCCGTTTCGGGATCCCTCAAGACTACACTGGTTCCAAGATTCAAGTTCAATGAGGGTTCCCCAGTTCTCGCAGACAGTCACGGTTCTACAAATTGGAAGGAACCCTTTAAAAGGGCGGGCCCCCCCAGCAAGTGTCTTTATTTTTTTTGTTGGTTCCAGTTTCAGAGACCCCAGAACCTGTCTCCAGAACCCCGGACTGCCGCAAAAAAACACCCAGTCTTGCAGGGCTCCTTAAAAGATTAAAAAAACAAAATGCAACCATTTGAACCATGTGGCTTTTTCAACACCAAAATCAAGGGACACCACCATTTACAAGTTGCACTGTTCAGGTGTATAATGCATCCTGATCCCAGTCTTGCTTTCAGCTTTTGGGGACCTGGAGAGACTGGGGCACTGCCCAGGACTGCACCGGAGGATCCGAATGATGCAGCGACTGGCCCTTTGCAGCTCGGTTGCTTCATACCGCAGTCTCGCGTCTTTGTTAGTAATCGGATCCCGAAAACATGGCTTCGGTGTTCCGCTTTGTGACCCTTTAAAACAGGGGTACCCTCAAAGAAAGGCACCGCTCTCCAATTGTGTTTCTTTTGAACATGATACCCGACAAGCTTATGGTAGTTTTTTTTCTGTTTTTTTCTTCTAGAAACGTGTTCAGTTAACCGTTTCAAAGCGAATGTTTCAAACTGTCATGCTTTCATACGTGTCGTTTTTGTTCACTGCCAACGTTGATATTTAACTTATAACTTACAACCCGGCATTTGAAGGTCTCCAACAATCCATCCTACCTTTGGTAGCCCTTGAACTTTGTGTTACGGGAACCCTTGGGCACAATACACTGTCGAAACTAGGGAAATAGCACGGTGTCCTTTTGCTGTTGATGTATCCGATTCAGTTCCTGATCCCGGGTGCTTGCGTTGTGTTGGGCGTTCTTTTTCCGGGCTTTGGAACGGAGCGCTGCAGCGTAGCCCCCTTGGATTGCTGTTGCTGTGGGCCAATTTTGGTGTGATGCGGCCCCGGCATGGCCATGCATTCTTTCAGGGGAGACGGCCAGCAAACCGGCTTCCTATTGAAGCCATGAAAAGGGTTTCGCCTTTTTGTGTCTTTTGCCTGTCCGTCAAGCTGCAAAAGCAAACTTGTTGCAGGGGGCTTGATAAGTTTGGCCGATCCATCCGTCTAGCATGTGTGCAGTGGTCACTTCTTCGCAGAGCCTTTGGGAGCCCAAAATTCCCATAAAAACCTCCGGGCTAGCAAGGTAGCAGGCGATCACTTCTTCTCGGGAACCTCAAATCTAATTTACACGGTTTCCGTTGTGTCGGGGCCCGAAAGCAAAAGCGGGGCTGCTTTTCTGGGCTTAGCAATCCTTAATTTATCCTTCCCTTGGGTTAGAGTTTAGGGGTCCTCTTTCCAGTCATTTCCCTAGTTGGATTGTGGATCAGGATTGGCCAATCCTGCATCTCGAGCAGTTGAGTTTTGACACTGGCTGCACATGCGCGAGTACGCCGCGCCTGGTGTTTGCATTGACAGCACTAGAGGGCCTGCTAGCGTGACATGTCTAAATTCGGTTTTGATACTGACCATCAACACACAGGACAAGGGGGTGAACACCCCAGCAGCCGGGCGGATCCATGGGCATCCAACTCTGAACAACTTCAGAATCCATCCAGAAGGGTCTCCCCACTAGGAGCCCATGTCTTCAGAAGCCCTGCAAAAGCCACTGGCAGTGTCATGTTCGTCAGCTAAAGTTGGCAGTTTGCCAACTTGGGGGGTGAGATTCATTATCGAAAGTAGTTTCTTGGAGGATGTGTTTGCACTCCCAGCATGCAAGTGCACAGACACCTTTTCACTGCCTTCCTTGTGGAAGCATCTTCTATGCGAGTGGCTGAATATCCATAGGAAGGGGGGCGCATCATTACAAAATCTGAATCTGCTTTCTAGTGCCCTCCCCGCCAGTTTCCCCATTCTAGTTATTTGGCCCCTCATATGGGTATGTGTCGAAATTGGGGGGGACGCGGCTTTCCTTTTGATTTACCAGGCCTGCTTGCTTAACCAACCTAGTTGGTGAATGTGGGTACCCAGCCTCATCTCGTAGTGGATTCCCGAGTAAGATTTGGAATCCTAATGAGGAATAATACCCCCAAATGATTGGTGGACTTAAACCCCCCGGCAATGATGTCCACCAGAGGGTTCTTAATTAGGACTCATACCTTCCATATGCCTAAGAATATGATTTATTTCCCCCTGTTGCTTTTAAAGGGAATCTATCCTTGCTGGACATGGGGGCTGGGGGGGAGGGAGGGGAGGGGGAGGGAGCCCAAATAAGCCTCAATTAAGCTCTCAACAAGGAACTATTTAGGGCTTGGTAAGGGCCCTCCCCTTCCTCCCCCCCAGCCCCCATGACCGGGGGACGAACAAGCAAATGGAAGCCATGGTGCCCTGTGTGGGATAGTTCAAAGGGAAATGACGAGGAAAACAAATTATTATTATTGTTGGGGGGGGACGACTGGAGGCAGGGACTAGCGCTACTTCACGACTGGACTTCTCTTTTTCCAGGGGACCAAAAAGCAATTGGACATCAACCCCTGGGTTCTCAATTACGACTCATACCTTGCATTTGCTTAAGAAAAAATTATTTCCCCCAGAACATGAACAAGCCACCAGGAAAACGTCTTCTTCTTTTTTTTGGGGGGAAACAGAGGATACCTATCGAGTTGCTGACATGCCGCAAGGCTCAGCTTTGCTGCGCCTAACCGCTGCCGCGGAGTGCTCCGCGCAGGCGCAGGCGGGCACTCGAGCCGAGCCGAATTTGGGGGTTGTCGAAGGGCGAGGAGTGTCTTACACGTAGGGTGACCCCTGAGTACTCTGTTGCCCAGTGGTTTCCTTTTTTTTGGGAAGGGTGTCGCTTTAAGTTCAACCACCCCTGTTTTCCCCTTTGCCACTGGGGGGGCCAACGACACTCAAGTATGGTAATTACGACCCCCCAACATATCTTGGTGTCCCTTTGGTTTCTCTTTGGCTTCCCTTTGGTTTGCCTTTGAACTAAGCCCAAAAAGACCCCCCAAGGTTTGTCTTTGGATTCCCTTTTGAATAAGCCCAAAAAGACACCCCTCCTCCCCGAAGAAAGACCATCGAAAGCACAACAGTATACGGGGAGCGTCAAACCTGAGGGGAACCATGGGACTGATGATCTTCATTTTTGAACGATGTTTACTTCCAAAGGTCAGCCACGATATGAAGCAGCCTCAGAAAACCATATTCTTGTTTGATCTTACCCTGATATTGGGCCAGGTTACGGTGGGGGGCGGTCCACATCCAGTTTTCGGGCACGCCTTGCAACCGGACCGTGACTTGTTTCCGGTCAGGCTGTCAAATTCCTTTTCTCAGGCCCGCTGGTGGTTTGGATTATGGGGACTTGAACCGGCGACATATGAAGCCACTGACCTACCGGGCTTCAAACCACCAAGGGAGAAGCTGACTTGCCACCAATGGTGAGCCATAGTATGACAGTTTCCTGTCAATCCTCGTCCAGCGACAATGTCAGGCAAAATTGACACGGCCAGCCGAAATTAAAAAAGCAAAAAAACAAAAAACAAAAAAAACTGCATGATGTTCGTTACAAATGTGGGTTTTGACAATAACATGTGCCGACGGTTCTTGCTCTACATGACACCTTGGCACTTGCATATTTGTTTACTCCTTTTAGCCAGTGGGATTCATCCGTGAATTTTCGCATCCGAGTTTAGCCTTTGCTGCTGTTTTGGCAGGTTCTTCTTTGACTTACCAATCCAAAAAGCAAGTACCATCAAACCAAAATGTGGAAGTGCACAGCACCCCTATCCACGAGGACACTGGGGTTTCAGACCCCAAACACTGGTTTCCTTTTTGGTATCCCTTTTAAAGCCAAACCCAAGGCGGTTCCCTACAAAGGGCAGACCCAGATATGAACCATATTCAAGGCGTATTGGGAGGGTACCCAGGTTGAAACCTTTGGGAAAGACCATTTCTTCGCGCTGTTGTTCTGAAACGGCCAAACAAATTCCAGCGATGAAGGGTCTGGGATTTCTAGGTCCCCCAGCTAGGTGCCCCTTCTCACCCCTTTTTTTTGGGGAGTAATCGGGACCCTACTAAAATAGACTACGGAAAAAAAGGGCTTATTCTAACCTCTACTGGAGGACCTAGATTTGCTGAGCTGGCATTTGGTAAGCTTTGGTATTGGATCTTGTTCTTTAGCTTTGGGAAGCTGTGTAGCTAGTTGTTTGCTGGACCGTGTTAGCAGACAAGCATCAAGAGGTATCAACCAGACGCATGAGTTGATGCAATTTGTGGTTTGCCTTTCAGGCTAAGAGCTGGGACATTGAAAAGCTGCCTTTTGAGGTATATTCGTTTGCGGGAAACAGCCACAGAAGCTCTGGGCAAGGCAATCCCAAAGATCAGTTCCTGGGGTTGCGAAGGGAGTACTTTGAAGTTGTGCCAACCAACACTTCACTGTTCTTGGCATTTTTTTTTTTTTTATAGTTGTTTGCTTCTGTTCGTTTTTACTGGGGGTCTGCAAAGTTGTTTGCTACCATACCAAGAGTAGAGATGAACATATCTATTTGATGCAACACTGGATTGGCCCTCCGTTTGGAACTGTCCGAATGAATTTACGATGCTTCATGCAGATGTGCAGTATGTCAAAGTACTTTGCAAGGCATGATAGAGATGTACAGGCTGGCTTTCGGGGATACTTCGCAAATTCACAGGAAACACATGGCCCTTTCCCTACCAGTTGGGGAGAGTTTCCTGCACCAACCAGTTTAGGTGGTTGTTTCATGCTTTTGATGTTTTTCTCCCTTTGCTTGGGCTTCTAACGGACATGGCCTTGTGTCAGGGGCATTTTTAGGTATGGGTTTTGGAATATAACATTCTATACACCACTTACTGCCTGACAAGCTAAACTTGTGGTGGTAAGCACACCTCCAGCCCTAGGAGCCCCTTGGGCCTCATTAGAGGTGGGGCCTCAACTTTTTTGGGCCAGGCAGAACCCAAAAAGGTTTTTGTTGTTGTTTGGTTCTGTTCATGTTTAGTAGGGCTGCAAATGCTAACAGCTTGTTGCTACCATACCAATGGGAAGTTGTGTTCCTTCAGCATCCTGTTTAGAGGCATCCACTGGCCCCGTCAGGAGTCGTGGGCCGGTGTCTCAGCGAGTCGCGAGTCGCGAGTCGGGGGGACTGGCTCAAGTGTTGCGGCTCGGTCCTTGCGAGTCAACTCGAAGAATTTGCCGTAAGTCGCTGGCGTTTTGCTCATGTTTTTTTTGGGGTTCCAGAAGTTTTTACACATCATGTGGGTTGACCAAATAGGACACTGCAAAATGGTGGGTTTCCTCTTGGTTTCCCTTTGACATACCCCAAAATGGGCTCCCCCCACCTCCCTGAATAGGATTTTTCTCACTCGGGTGGCACCCGGTGAGCTTACAAACCATTCACGGGTATGGCCTTTTTTGAGGGGGGTGTTCCCAACGTCGCCTCGGTGTGGGTGTCCCTTTACCACCAAAAACAGACGGCCTCAAAGGAAATGAGCCACTCATTTTGCCAACGCGCCGACCATCTAAGGCCGAATGTCGCATTAATCTGAATGACTTACCCCGGAAGGCTGATGCAACTTAGATTCATTGGTTGTTGTTGTTGGTTTTCCGGAGAATTCAGTATTCTTGCTAGTTCTCACTCGTTTCTTTGAGACTCCGCTTTTTAGAACGCTCCTGCCGCTACAGACTCAGGCGGAGTATGACCTCTCCTCGCACAGCAATGACGAGGCAAAGTGTGGCCGCTGGTCGGGGCATTTGCTTGGGTGCGAAATGAAATATATACGTTCATAGGTGTCCTTTTGGTTGATTGGTTGAACAAGAGAGAGCCTCTGGTTTACCTGGTCGTTAAATCAATTACAAAGGCCATCTATTTTCTCAAAAAGGACCGGGTGTTAAATGAAATATGGCCATGGGGCACAACCTATGGCTCCATTTTGGGGTGGATGAATCCGTTTGCCACCTATTTTGACGTTCACCAGGGGTACAGGGTTTTGACCCACAGCCATATATATATATATATACACCGCAATGTATGCATGTCTTTCCTGAAAATAGGCATCCCCAAGGAACATATGGGCTGTGTGTGTGTGTGTGTGCGCACCTGGTCAAATGCGCCGTATGCGTGTATGTGTGTAATTTTCTCCAAAAGGCAATGATAAGGATATTGGTCGCTGAACGTAGAGAGTGTCTAAAGTTGTGGGGCCAAAGCTCATGCGGATGGCGCAGGAGCAGGATTTGCTGAAGATGAGCCTTTTGCAGACCGGCGTCAAGACGCGGCTCGGACGGGGAGCTGCACTTGTTCATGGGGGCTGGGGGGGAAGGAGGGGGGGGGGGGAGGGAGCCCCAGTAAGTCCCAAATAAGGCCTTATTAGGGGCTTAATAAGGGCTTATTTGGGCTCCCTCCCCCTCCCTCACTCCCCCCCAGCCCCCATGACTTCTAGAGCTTGCTAGCGTTTCGGGGGCGCTTGTGATGTGCTCATGGAGGCTCCGAACGGATTGCTAAATGCAAGTTGGTGAGTTTTAGCAAGTGGCTCATTTGCCCAAGGTCCATTTTTTTGGTCATGACTCCATGAAAGGATACTTTTTGTTGGGGGTCCTTTGAGCAACTGAGATGGTGCAGATGCATCAGATGGATACAAAGTGTTGCTATCTCGGACCTGGCCTAGCGGCCTTATGCTGCCTAATTTGCTGCGCGGGATTCCAGCCAGGTCCTTTTCATGGAAGGATCTTGATTCACCCAGTGAGTCCATTTACCAGTTCCGTGCGAAACCAAAAACATCCTTCCAAAGCCACCAGGCTTGCCATTTCCATGGATATCAACAGACAGAACAGATCCATTGTCGTTTTTGGTGGTGGCCCGTATTTTGGGGCAAACCCACTTTGAGGTCTTGGAAGCATTTCAGTTTGGTCCTGAGGTCCTAGTTGGGCCGACGCGAATTGTCCTGTAGGGCCGAAAGAAATGATCAACATTTCAGTAGTTGGTGGTGCATTTGGCAGGGACACGGTTCAGGGAACTCACTAGTTCTTCCATGTTCAATTCGGAAAAACAAGCAAGAAATGCGGCGTAGCTCAAATCGCCAGGTGGGTGGGAAACCAAGCCCCTCAAGTGAGGCAGATCGGCTCATGTTGAGGGTCTTGGGTTGGGGCAAGCTGAAAACAACCACAGAAGGGTGGGAGAGGAATAAGCCACTGGGCCAAACGGCATGAACCAGCAGAGAACCACTATAAAGGGTAGAGGTTTGGCAGTTAGGGCAAGGTTCCCTCTTAGATCCCCCAAAAAAGTTCCAGCCCATACGTTCCAGTCTTTGGGCACCAACCCCCCCCCCCAAAGGGCAGGGTCCAGGCCCAGACCCCGCTACGTCCGAGGCCTTCCGTGGAGCCGGCCGCGCCTTGGCCGAGATCAGGGCTCTGGACATCAGGGTGTGAAAAATAAAACAGTAAGTACAATAAGGAAAGTGAGGGAGGGAGTGAGGGAGGGAGGGAAGGAGGGAGGGAGTGAGGGAGGGAGGGAAGGAGTGAGTGAGTGAGGGAGGGAGGGAAGGAGGGAGGGAGTGAGGGAGGGAGGGAAGGAGTGAGTGAGTGAGGGAGGGAGGGAAGGAGGGAGGGAGTGAGGGAGGGAGGGAAGGAGTGAGTGAGGGAGGGAGGGAGGGAAGGAGGGAGGGAGTGAGGGAGGGAGTGAGTGAGTGAGTGAGTGAGTGAGTGAGTGAGGGAGGGAGGGAAGGAGGGAGGGAGGGAGGGAGGGAGGGAGGGAGTGAGTGAGTGAGTGAGTGAGTGAGGGAAGGAGGGAGGGAGGGAGGGAGGGAGGGAGGGAGGGAGGGAGTGAGTGAGTGAGTGAGTGAGTGAGTGAATTGTATGTGTAACTGTAACATGATGTCACAAGCATGTCTCATTTGTGTTGCCATGCAGGCAGAACCCCTCATCTTGGTCTGCCAAGGATGCGCCTTTGGAGCTGGTGACCCCAGCCTTTGTTCCACACTAAACTTGCTGCTTCTCAAGGGAAGCTACCCACCTACAAGCAATCCATGCCCGTTTCCTTGAAGGGAAACCCAAAGTTCATTCCCCAAACCCGGAACGGTCATTCCCTACCTATCGCACCAACAAGCAATGCCGATTTCTCTTAGGAATCGATTGCCTCCAACATTGACCTCTTTTGCCGCATGCACGGAAGCGTATTTGGGTGTTTGCGTGCTTTTGGGTGTTTGCGTGTTTTTTGTTGTTAGTCCTTTGGGTGTTTTGGGTGTTTTGGGTGTTTGCCTGACTATTTGTTGGTGTGTCTGTGTGTTTCCGTGTGCGTGTGATTGTGTGTGTGTGTGTGCGTGCGTGCGTGTTTTAAAGGGTACCCATTTTGGAGTGTTTAAACAGGCAACCACCCATTCTTGGGGTCTTACGCAACAGTTCTTTGGAGAGGAGAGGTTACAGCAAACCACAAAACGGCGAGGTGGGGCCCGGATTTCGAGACACGCCCATGGCTGTGGCACTGGACAACTTTCTCTTCCACTACCCCAAGCCGAAGCCGACCCCCGGGGGGAAATTGGGGTAGACACCCTTCATGGTATGGGTCAAAACTAAACCAACAGGGGACGGCAGGTTTTGGGTTCCAATTTGGTACCAGTTCTTTGAGCCACAGCCATTTCGTGGCTGTATATTCCAGGCCCTGGGGGCAGGGGTGCACACCATCTTGTCTCAGGGCGACACCCTCAGCTTATTCCAAGAGGGCGACACCTTGCGCTTGTTCCAAGAGGGCGACGTCGACAGGGGGATTTGGGACACCTTGGGAGGAGCGATTTTCAGATTTTTTTCGTGTGGGACGTCGACAAATATGTTTCAATCCCCAACGGCTGGCAAATGGTCACCAGACACCCGAATGAGAAACCATCAGCTTCGGTCAACACACACAGGTACCAGTTGGACCAGTTGCCCTATGGGTGAGGTGTTGATCTCGAAGTGATTCGCACTTTGCAGAGCAAATTGTGGTGGCTCGACTCCACCCTGGTCCGTGATTTGGTGGCAGTTCAGAGTTGCTTGGGTTCTTATAAAAGGTGCAGACCAAACAGTCCCCTGGTCTCAGTATTCCAAAAATAGCAAATGACATGAAACCCACCAAGAGGGTGCGCGCCGTGCCGTTGGCGCAGGAATTTTGCATAAAGCGGAGAAGAGCACTGGGGAGGTGCAGAAGTCGGTGCTGGACACTATCGTGCCACTGGACCCATTGGCGGCGCAGTCAGGGAAGATTCAGATCTGCATCACGAAACTTCCATTTGCTTAAGAATATGCGTTTATTGTCCAGTGTTGATTTTGAAGGGAGTCTATCACTGCTGCAAGTATGCTTTTTCAGCCTGAAGCAAACGGAGCCTAGAAATGGGTCCCAAACTCTGAAGTTTTCATGAAACATTTTTCAAAAAGAGAAGCACAACGACAGCGACGATGATGATGATGATGATGATCATCATCAACATCATCATCAACATCATCATCATCATCATCAACATCATCATCAACATCAACATCATCATCATCATCATCATCATCATCATCATCATCATCATCATCATCATCATCATCATCATCATCATCATCCTCATCCTCATCCTCATCGTCATCATCATCATCATCATCATCATCATCATCATCATCCCTGCTAGGGATGTTGGGGATGCGTAATTATGATTCATCATCATCATAGCGTCCTTATCTTTTTGCTATACGTTTCAATTGTGCCGTCACTCGCATTCCTGGGAGACGGGTTGTGAAAAAAAAGAACTGGAGGCGAAAGCTGTGTCGCCGTATTTTCTCGGCTTTTGTTTAATGTGTCATCTTTGGCTCATGCTTGGCAGTGAACAGGAGAATTAGGACAGCATTGTTTTTATGAACACAACAAATCAAAAACCGAATGTTATTTGCATAGTCGCAGTTCGATTGCCCGAAAATCTGAACCAACAAACTGCAGCCAACGCACGGCAGAAATCCTTCTCGAAGCTGATACTGTAAAAAGAAGCGATGCATGACTATGAAGCAAGCGGGTTGTTTGCGCGCCCTCCTCGTCACAGAGACTCTTCTAGCAAATTAATTTTGCTGGGATGGACATGGTGGCTCCCCAGATGCTTTTTGCCAGCATTGCAACCAACGTTGGCCATGCATCAATGTGCGCTCTCGTGCGTGCAAGCCAATCATAACGACTGTAACATGCCCCACCCCCCTCTCCCCCACCCCCTCCCCCTCCTCCCCCAGCCCTGCTCATAACTTCAACTCGACGCATCACAGCTTAACAGCAAACACTAAGAAAAGCACAACAAGTACCAGGATTTTTACTAGCCTGTTTCCACCTAAAGAGTGTGCCCCAATAGAAAGTTCCATTGGACAAAGTTGTAAAGTAGTGACAGCCTATTTCGGTGGCACAAGGTCAGGGCTCCTTCCGGCCCATGATCATGACTCCGAAGAAGCCCTGGTTGATTTTGGTCCAATTCCTTTCAGTGGGATTCAGACTGGGGGGAATACCTAAGAAATTGGACAGATCCTGCTAGATCCGGGGTCAACCAGAACGACTTGTCGCAAGGGCAAAGGGCAGAAAGGAAAGTTGTGGTCTACCCAGTGACTCCATGTCCGGGGATTTGCAGGTAACCAAGGGCTTGCCACCCCTTCCAAAACCAATAAGAGAATGGCTGTTGCCGAATGCCCAATACAATAGAGCATGGGATTGGCCAGTTGGTTTTGTATGTGAATTCCTGGGGTCGACAACTGCCTGGCGTGCCCCTGGACATGTTTTAGACCTTTTGTAGAGAGAAATTGGTGCCCCTGCCCCTACGCCTCAAGGCTCGAGGCCTTTCATCAGAACCCCTTCCGGAAAAAGGAGCTGTTCCAGGGCAGGGGGCAACTTTGTTGTTTTGGTTTTTACCCTAAACCCACCCTAAACCCACCCTAAACCAACCCTAAACCAACCCTAAACCAGCCTTAAACCAACCCTAAACCCACCCGAAACCCACCCTAAACCAACCCTAAACCCAGCAGCGCACGGCAAAGCTTTTTGTGTCACTCGGCTTTGGAGCCATCGGCGAATTCCTCAGGGAGCCATGACTATGGCCTACATACGTGGATGCACGAACTCCATGTCGCACCTAAGAAACCCTGGTGTCTGATGATTCCCCAACGTAAAGATCAGCAAACATTGGTTTCCCATGGACTCAAAGTGGTGCGAAATGGATTTCGTCCACCCACAGTAGGATACCATTCTCCCCGAAAGAATTTCCCCCCGGGCAGCTGAGTCGGCAGCTGAGGCAGCAGACAGACCTTGCGATGGATGAGTTCGACAAGGTGCGGCCACACACACAGACATGACAACACGGATTTGAACACGGGCTCCCGCTTTAAGGTTGATGGGCATTAATCCGTGTGCAGAATGCGAACAAAAGGATCCCCAATCGGATTTCAGAAAATCGGAGATCGGGAAGCCCCCTTTCTGGATTCGGACAGCCGAAAGGAGACCACTTCTCCACTTCTCAGTTTGCAGAGCAACGCCGCTCTCTCAGGCGGTGACCAAGTTCGAAGCCGATGCGGAGGACGTGAGAGCTCGCGGGCGCTGTTTTTTTTCTTCTTCTTTTTTCCCGCAGCCAAAGCCCAGTCCAGTTGCCCCCATAGGTAGGTAACCTGTTGATTGTTAAAGGGTGGCAAACCCTGGGGTACCTACAAAACTTGCCGGTTCCCAGCCGTGCGGTTTCCCTAGGCTTTTAGACTTTTGGTTGGCTTAATGGAGGTGTCCATTTAGCCCGCTAAAAGTTAGACTTTTAGCGGATCTGAAAACGGACAGCCCAGAAAAACCGGGGAAAAATGGGGAATCACTGGGCCGGTCTTTTTTTCTTTTTCTTTTTTCTTGAGGCTTCCCGTTCACCTAAAGTGAGACCAACATGTTTTTTGGCAAGTTCGGGCCCCGCCATTTTGAGCACATTGAACCCGCACATGGCGGGATTCTGTTCGGCTAGGATAGGATTCCAGGTTTGATTTTGTTTGCTACCAAAGGAAATCATGGGGAACTGATGCAAAGAGGGGGCCCAGAAAAAAAAAAGGTTGTGGACTGTCACAGCAATTCAGGGAGGAGGTCCCTTGAGGGGGAGAGCGGGTCCTGCAAAATATGCTCGTTTTGTACTAGAGGTGTGACTTGCGCGGTGATTTTAAAGAGAAACCAAAAGGAGAATCGAAGCCATTTGGAAGTTGCCTTGAAAAAACAGAGTGACACTCCCATCATATTGACTGCAGATCCATTAACCCCTGGTTAGTTTTGTTTGGAGTGTCCAATTCCATTTGTTGGTTGGATCCAGACCGCCTTTGAAACACGGGAACACCCCCCAATAGGACAGGACTATTCTTCCACAATCAACATCAGCTCAAGAGGAGGCTCGCAGGTTTGCAAGGAGTTGTTGTTCCTTCGAAGGGTAATGAAGTTTCAGTTGAACTGCTCGATCCTTTTTCGGGCCACCCATTGGGGCAGCCCCTGATTGGCGGCTTGGCGTTTGTTGAATCAACCAGCTGTTTGGCTTGTTTCCTTGAGTGTGCCCGGCTTTCTTGGCTGAGCTTTCAAGTTTGCCCGTCGAAGGGGCCCAGTTTTTGCTTGTGCCTGGGAGACAGGATATGTAGCACGCGTTCAAACACGACTGGTTGAGTACAACCAACTAGGGCGCCATTTTTTTTTCGGACACCCCCCCAAAATGACAGGTGTTCCTTTTGGATGTTTGCCAAAACGAATCAGCCCAAACAGGGGGTGTCCCCCCAGCCAGCGGCCATATCAGGCTCGCGTCTTGTCTCTCAGGAGGCCGAGACGAAGTTCGTGAACAAGGCGAACGCCTCAATCATGGAGGAGGTCATGATTGTCAAGAAAAAGGCCGGGAGAACACGCCGGGTGGACTTGGGGTAGTGGGAGTTGGGGTGGAGTTGGGGTGGTGGAGTTGATGTCATTGCGCTTGTGTGCTGCTGTCCTCTGTGAAATTTGTGGGTCAATTTTGACCGTGCTTGTTTTCCTGGTCGAGCTGCGCAAGGGAAATCAAATCAAACCACACCATCACTGATGGTCTTCCATTTTGAGGAACCCGGCCCGCCGAGCTTAGTCTTCTACAGCTGCCCGTAAATGTATGAACGGATTTTTACGTGCAGCTGAGCCCCCCCGTTGTGACGTTGACGCTGTCCGACCGATGACGGTGCGTTTGGTTCTCTCACGTGCCCCTGACCTGGAAATCATATATGAAATAAAAGGTGATCGCCTTTTGGGTTGCCATGACAAAAAAAAGGACACCAAAAGGTCACAAGGTCAATTCGCTTTGGGCAAGTGAGTTGTAATATAAGGCGTCTTCCCTCGAGGATCCTGATGGATTTTCCCTAGGGTTCAACTTCCCCCCAACAAAAATGAATGGCCTTGGGACCTAATTTGGATGAAATTCCATTGGCAGTCTGAACAGCAGGTTTAGGGTCCTGGAAAAGGCGTCGTGGGGTGTCGTGAGAAACTCGAAAGGGATCCTTTGGGTCATACTTGCCTCACTTGCGTGCAGGGACAACACATGCTCAGACTTTGGTTATCCAAAAACCACAAGCTGCGGAAGTGAGTTGCGTGGTGGCTTCAAGGTGGCTTCAAGTGCCATTCCACATCAAGACGGGTCCCCATTCAGTATATAATGGATCCATGGTTGGGGGGGTTCCTCTACACACTTCCTGAGTGCATTGGCCAGAAAAAGTCCAAACTTGTTGTAAACTTACCACCAAAATGGTTTTCTAGTCCAGAAACTTGGGGAGATATGTGGGGGTGGTTTGCAGGCGGTGGTGTCGGATGTTGTCAGATGGCACCGGCTTTCAAGTCTAATTCCCGGTGGGTCTTCTGTCAAATTGAGGCGGGGGGAACCCTGTAGATAAAATATATGTATCTTTCTTCATTCAACTTGGCCAAACTTAAACTCCCCGGCAAAAAGGCAACATCTTGCTTCCCGCATCAACATGTTCGGAAACGTAGCTAGACTAAGTCGCAACATCTTGCTGGTTGAAATGCAAAAGGGGAGAAATATCAGTTCAGCCTGGCAATTTCAATAGCAAGGAGATGAACTGTGTTTGCTCAAGTTTGGGCTGTTTTCGCACAGCGTCAACATCGCAACGGGGGAGTTCAGCTCGCATAAATCCCTTCCTACACTTACAGCCCTCATGACACCCCCATACGCCTTTTTCCAGGACCCTAAACCAGGGGTTCAGACCACGTTGAAATCAAAGAGGGTGACTATGTTCACACTTGTGCACATGCAATTGTACCATCCAATTTGAGTTTCAAGTTGCCATTCGTTTTTGACGGCAAGTTGAACTGTTTTTGAAAAATCCGTCGGGAACCTTCAGGGAAGACGCCTGACAACTTAGAACGTACTTGCCCAAAAGCGAATTGGCCTGAAATGACCTTTTGGTTTCCCCTGTTTGATCTACTTTTAGTCATGGCCCCAAAAGGTTAACCTTAACTTTGTTGCATTTTGCTTCACTTTTTGCCAACTAATGGGTTTTCCCTTAAACCACTAAAAGTTAAACTTTTAGCAGGGGAGCAGAAAGCAAGCGAGCTATCCTTTTGTTTCCAGGTCCCTACGGGGCGAGTGAAAAAATGAATTTGGACCTTAAAATGCATGTTGGTTCCCCCTTCAAACTAGGATTCATGGGAAATAACTCAAATAATCCAAGATACCCAAAACAAAACCGAGATACCCAAAACAAAACAAAGTGAGATACCCAAAACCAAAAACCGCCGTCCCCGGTCGGTCTGCGCGCGAAACGAGACACCGCTTCCAGGTGGCTTCAGTGATGGACAAGGCCCGCGCGCTTCGGCGGCATTGGAGAGCCAATCAAAACCCGCGTAGATGAAGGTTTGTCTGGGGCAGTCCCAGACAGAAATAGTTGCGGCCGTCTTCTTAATTCTTTAAATGGTTCTGGGTAGACCATTTTAATACCGGGTTTTCAGGTTTTGGGCAGCCAGAGGTTGGTTGGCTAGGTCCCCCCAGCGAGTCGTGCCCTTGGGCGTGTCAGAAAATACCTTGAGTCTCCATGACCCTTAAAAATTCGGGGGATTGGGATGTTCTCTGGGGGTACGACTTGGGGTTTGAGTCGTGGCGAAATGGTTGGCGAGGTCCCCCCAGCGAGTCATGCCCGCTCCTTCTCACCCCCTTGTTTTGGTGGGGAGGGTTCGGGACCCCTACTAAAATAGACTACACAAAAAAAAGTTGGTACCAACTTATTCCAACCTCTTAAATCTGGAGGACCTAGTTGGACATGTGGATGCCCACTTGGCCGTGGGTCAACACTAATTGTAGCATTTTGGTGCACCACCCATTTTAGTCTATTTTAGTGGGGATTGGGATGTTCACTGGGGGTACGGGGCTTTGACTCATACCCACAGTAGGGGGTCTGAAGTTTTTAGGGGACGCCCCAAGGTGGTGGCTTTTCCTTTGACAACACCGAAAACGGGCACGGGGCCTCAAAGCAAGAAAGATGAAAATTCGGTTTTTGAGGCTCCTGGTATGACCATTTAAAGAGTGTTGTAACGTAGTGCGCGCGTGGCCATCTTGATGTCAGCTGGGCCACTGCCAAGCGCGTGGCCACGTTCCCTGGAAGCTGCCCACAGCTTACTTTGTTAGCAGGCGAAACAGGGTGGGTGTGGATGATACGGAGTGGGCGTGGGAGGGCGGGAGGGGCAGTTGGCCAGTTGGATCCAGTTGGCTGAGGTCACCGGTTTCCACAACACCCTTGTTTTCTGTTAAGGCGAATCATGGAATGAGCCACGGGAAAGTTTGCGACCCCCCCCCAAAAAAAAAACAATGGTTCGTGCGGTTTTCCCGCTGGTTTCCCTTGAGCTCACCGCTGAGACTCGAGACTCGAAGCGCTCTCGGTCTGAGGCGCTTTGGAGGGACTCGAAGATGCAGGCGCGGTGTTTTTCTGGGAGCGCGCCACGCAGCAAGGAAAACGAAGCCACTGCCCACCTGAACAGAAGAAACTCTAAACTAGCATAAGGTGTATATATATATACACATGCCAGCGGGTCAAAGTCAAAGGAACATCATCCTTTGGAGCGGAGGGGAAGGATTGGAAGGATTGCGGATGCCCTGTTAAGATCAGCCGACGATGCGCAAGAAGATTTGTCCATCTTCTGCATGGCGCCTGTTGTGCTCCTTTTAGCTTCCTGAGCCTGCTGAAAACATGGCACCTGTGCTTCTTCCTTTCCTTCTTCGGTTAGAAAACCCGAGCCTGCCCAAAAGACGAGGCTTCGCCTGTGATTGCGGTCTTTTGGGTTTACCCCCCCCTACTCCTTTCCTTGCTTTTGTGTTCTACCTGGATATTCAAGCAACTTAGTAAGTGGATTGCAAGCATGGATTTATTTGGGGACGATCACCCCAGTTACACCAGTTACCATGGCGAAGCATGCTACTTGCCTAACGTTGCTACATCCAAGTCCTCCTTTCCCTTGCCGAACCGTTGAGGGGCTATTCACCAAACCACAGATGTGTCCATTTTGCGCGGCGTGGACCCGCCTTGAAGGGAAGAAGCACTGGGCGGTCTGGCGGTCCAGCCTGCTGCATGCATGTTGTTGTCATGTGTTTCGTGTTCGCATCAAGAAGCGCAGAAACACGATGTTCTTGGAGCAAGATGGAACACGCAAAGACACGCGGGGCTGTGTTCACATTTCGCATGTTCTTCACAGGCGTGTGGTTTAGTCCTAGCTGTTTGGTGCGCATTTCACGTGGGACGTACTACCCCGCTAATTTTGAATAGCGCCTTGGCTGTTTGCTGAATCGGCGATGCGATTGGAGTTGACTAGTCGGGAAATGTCCCAACAGTTTTGGAGGGTGTTCCAACAGAGCAAGCACACAGATTACACCACGGTCCACGGTTTTCTGGTCCAGACATACACACATTTCCACCGGATGCCGTTTTCCTGGCTAACTCATAAACATGAGGATGATTGGGTGCAAAGTGTTTTGACAATTCAGTCTCGCGTTCTAGTCCTAAGCAGCTGCTGGGTTTTGGTACCAGAGCCCTTCGACGCACGTCACCCAACCTTCCAGGGTTCAACCCCCCAATAGAAAATGGCAAGGACTCAAGGGCCCAATTTGGATGGCAACAATCCTTACGTCAACAATGGTAATGACCTCATCGATTTAATGAAAGTTTGAACCCCAGGGGAAACTGTGATGCACATAGCCAGCAAGCGCCTTCCGCCAGTTGGTCTGAGGTGGTCCATGTGCAGAACATCGTGGTTGGCACGCTGTCCACCGTGGGGCAGACCGATCCTTGGCGGAAAACAACACGCGGAAGAGGGGTGCCAACGTCAGGCGTGAGTGCAGCCGATGATCTCATGTCGAAATATGTTGCGATGTGCAGAATCTACGTAAAACCAAAAAATGAGTGATGCGCCCCTGATTATTTGATTGGGGTGTTGCAGGGAGTCCATTTGTTTGGGGGAATTCAGCCAGCCCCCTGTATGGTCTCATGCCCTTTAGCATATACATGATTTTGCAGGGTTGCAGCAGCCCATCCCAGGTGGAAGTATGTTTGTTAAGGAATCATTTTCCCGGCGGTAAACCTGGGTTTCAACTTTGAGTTGAGTTGCTTTGTCCACAACCGACACGTTTGAAGTTGTTAGATTGTAAGATATTTTCAGGTGACATCCGACCAGTCCACCCGCTCGTCCACACACCCGCATGCACCCGCCTGTCCGCCTGTGGCCAGTCGAGGCCAGTGAGCGCCTGAGGCCAAAGCGACCAGGACAGCTGTGACAGTCCGAAGCCTGAGGCTCCCGAAAGCCACAGGCGTCAGTGGCCGGACCCAATGACGGCTGGCCGCACGCGTGGGATCTTGGGGCTGTGGCCTTACAAGAGCTTGACCGCCCTGGATGAAGCCCCACCAAACAGGGAGCCGTGACTTCGAGAGCAGGGCTGCCAATGGTTGGGAGTCGACGCTGCCTTGCTTCCATTTTGGTACGGCTGATTTGTCTCGATCGGGTCCGCCTGCATCACGCAGCTTGATTGACCTTTTGGTGCCTGTGGTGCTGCAGCCCAGCTTAGTCAATCAAATTTCGTCAGTTTTTTGGGGGTGGCAAAGTAACTGGTTGGTTTTTCCACTTCATCTTTCAACCCTTTAAACAAACATGTTTGCAAGCCATCAAGAGGTTCAGCTTCTGCAGGTGGTCAAAGGCAGAAACAACGCACATATCGCAGATCTGGGCCCCTCCCTTCGCAGGTAGCACCAAGTTGTCCTTAACGTCAGAGTTCTTGTGGCCCACTTGGGTGGCGTTGAAGGCAAACTCAGGCCAGAAGCCATGCTTTGCTTGACAAGCCAACAAATGGCCCGAAATTGGTCGAAGGTTTTGTGCTGAACCAGCTCGTGGCATGGAAGGAAGGGTATCCCCAAATTTGCCTTTAAAGAGATACCAGGAGATTAGGGACATGGTAGTGAACCGCAAAAAAAGTGGCCAGCAACAACCCCCCCCCCCCCCCCGCGATGCATCCCCTCGTCCGCCTCAGGATGTTGCCATCAAGGTGAATGGCACGTGCCTCGCCCTGATCGGCTGAGATTCCGCGAGCCGAAGCAACGTCGACTTAGCGGATTTGATCATACTATACCTATATCTATTTGGGGTCTAAGCCGGTCGGGTGCTGGCCATGTTGAGAATCACACGTGCGTCGTGGGGTGAACACGGTGATTTTGGGTGATGAATTTGCGGCAGAACTTTGGTGGACCTTTTAATTTCACCATGTGTTTGCTGTCAAGTCAGGGGCGCAAGAGATGAAACTCTTGTATATTGTATTCTTATTGTATGTGTTTATTTCGCTTAGCCTTCATTAATTCGGGATGGCAACGACTGGGACTCTCAGCTGAGCTTTCTTGTTGGATAGTTGATGTGTCTGTGTAAGGGTTCGGGAGTGCGAGGAGCTTCCACATAGTTGTGAAACAGCTTTCTTTGGCCCACGTTCAGTGGCAAAGTGGTTCTAGGGACGCCCTTTTGAGTCATGTGACCCTGGTAGGTCACTGAGCAAACCTTTTTCAGGGAAACCTGGCCCGGTAAATCCGCTTTCGGTGGATTCTTCCAGAGTTAAGACATTCCCCGAGAAGTGGTTGCGATCCACTCGCAGCTTCCCGGAAGCGGCTGGGCGGGCTCCAGAAAGGCAGCCCGGTAGGTGATTCCACCTTGTTGCATGGCCGAAAGTGAGGCCGAGACAAATCTTCGTGGCTTGTTAGCCATTCAAAGTCATTTTGGTAGAAGCAACTGTCGCTTTGTTTTGCCCCCCCCCCCCCTCGCTTCTCAATTGGAGTCGAGGCGATTGAATGTTTGGCCTCGGACGCAAACTGTTTAAGTTTCAACAAGTTTTAATGTTTGTTTGAACCGAGCTGTTTTCGAGAGTTGTTATTTTCCGACTTTTACGAGTTGTCATTTGAGTGCCTATCGACACGGTTGAATCCCCTGAAACCTTGGATATCTGTTTACCAGTCGTGCTGGAGCCTTGGGAGTTCAACCATGTCACCGTCTGAAAACCTAATTGGGAAAGCTTACCTCGCGACGGACTGTACTGCGGCGCATGTTGAGCTCTGCAAACAGCATCACTGGGACTGTTTTTGGGTCTTTAACGATAAGCTCGTTTTTGTGCAGGTCAAACTCAACTCTTTGTAGGCCATGGGCATGATGAGAACCTTGCAATTGACAATGGCCTTTTAAGCTCCCTACTTGGTGGCTTATATACAAGTGGGGTTGTACCCTATAGTGTTGTCTTTTTTCCCAAAAGTCATGGCTGACAGATGCTGACAAGGATCTTGGTCGACGAAACAACAGTCCTCTTGAAATGCTGCGTGGTTTCGTTTCACGGCCTCCCAGCCTTGTGTTCGTTAGAGACGACGGCTTTTGGAGATGTCTGCTCTGTGTTCCTTTGGATTGCCATGTGATGACGGCTGGAAAGCGGACATTTTTGAGAGCGGTTTTTGAAGCTGGCAGTTCTGAGTGAACCGTCTTGTTTTTGAATGCCTTTTTGGGCGTTGGTTTGAAGAGAAAATCACACGGAAACCACCCAGTTAAACCACCCAGTTTGGGGTACCTGGACCCTCAACATTCCCCTTATTCCCCTAAAAAACATGACATGTCCCGAAAATCAAACGTGTAAATTGAGGGTACAGTTTACTTTCAGGCAAACCCACGGGTACCCCCGCCGCCCAGCATGGTGTCGCTGCTGAAGAGCCTGGAAACGGCGTCAGAGTCCACTTTGACTGTGGCCAAGGAGACGTTTCTTGCGGGTGGTGGCTCGTCGTCTCTTTTTTTTTGAGGAGTTGGTGCGCCAAGCCTTCGGTTGCAGTAAAGGGAATGGGCAACATCTTGGTTGTTAAGGGGACATCAACAGGACAGTTAAGGGAAACCAATGGACAAAACCTTGTTGTTTTTGTTTAAGGAAACCAAGAGGACAAGTTTACCATTTCAGGACCAGTTTGTTGCCGGGGAATTGCAAGTGAAAGTCTTTCGAACTTTTTGTGCACTAGCTCACAAGTGGTAGTGGACGCGAATCCCCTCGATGCCCACCAAAGGCAGGCGTTTTGTTTTGTTTGTCCAAGGGCCGCAAGATAATCATTTGGTCCTTTTTTAGTTAGAAACCGTCGAGTTGTCCGTTGAACTGGGCTGTCCCAACTGATCCCCTGCTAAAAGTTCTTAACTTGTGGGTTAAATGGAGAGGCTAGCACAAAACCAACTGAAAACCTAAAACCGTAAGGACCCGGATGGCTGGGAACCAGCAAGTCGTTTGCGCATTTTATGGCACCCACGTGGCAGAACAAACTACAACCATCAAGGCGCCCCTTGTCTCCAAGGGCCACTAGGTCTGGGTCTTGAAGCAACAGGTTCAGTCAGATAGCAACCTTACAACGACCATCTCAGTGTTGGGGGTTCCCAGCCATCCCCTTCTTTTTTTCCTTTCTTTTTTTTTATTCCCCAACAGCTGAAAGCTTTGGGGTCTCAGCAGATAGGCTCCGGGGTGGTCCGGGGCGGCCCTGAGGTAAGGTTCCACGCCGGGTTCCACCAGGGTTCCACCAGAGTTCCACCAGGGTTCCACGAGAGTTCCACGAGGTTCTGCGAGGGCTGCGGGGTGGTGCGAGCACTAAAAAGAGCACCGCCTGCTGTTGGGGATATCACCTGAGCTTATTTTTAAAGACAACCCAGTAATGTTGCTGCTCCTGGGCAAATGACATCGCGCATCTCACAAAGGGTTGTGGTCTGCGACCAAAACCTATGAAGGATGTGTCGTTTGTTGCCGGAGGTCTTAGGTTGGTGAATTTGTACTCCGAAAAAAGGCTTTGCCGGCTCCACAAGAGCCTTTTCAGGAGGTCTTCTCTGATTGTGGGCCACGGTTTCTTCAAGCCCTAGCTTATGTTTGGACCTTCATTATCTCACACCCTGAGTTCCCGCACTTTAAACTTGTTGGGAAGACCATTCTAGGTGGTAAATAACAAGTTCCTGGTGAGTTGTACTCTGTTCGGCTTAGAGAACAAAAGGATCAGATGTGGAAGAACTGGGTCCCCCTTGATTGTGCCTTTCTCCTTGGGCCCCTTGTGCTTTCACGATCTAACCACACGAGATGGGAAGTGCTTGAGCAAATGGGAGGTTCCCTTGGCATCGGCTACATGTCCTTCCTTTGTTTCCGTGTTGTTTTTCCCAGCGACTATTGTTTGGGGTTGGGTTTTGGGGTGAGGGGGGTTCCAGTCACTGTCACATTCGGGGAGCATCAGGACCCAAGTTGGTTCTCAGCAAGCCATACAGGAATTTTGTCAAGGGTTGTTCTGTCAAGAAGTGGCTGTGGGTCAAAACCGGTGGTGCCGTTTTGGGGCAGGTGCACCACCATTTAGTCTATTTGCTTTTGGAGAAAGCGGCTGAGAGGGAATTCTTTCCCTGCCCTTTGCCCTGTGATCTCTTTGAAGGGGTTCCCATGTTCTCGGCATGCACCCAGTCAACAAATGGCGTGCCGGGACCCTCAAACCACCAAACAAAAAGCAGTAATTCACCCAATATTTGTAGGGCAATATCCCATTCTTGGGGAATTCTGCGGGTCCAGGTGCCCTTTTCTAGGGCTGCACAAAGGCTCCTGAAAGATACTCGCTTTACCCAGAAATAGGAGACATAGGATGCCTGGTCCGGCAGACCAAGAGGAAACCGTCATGTTGGGGTAATGTGTAGGTGGCCAACGAAAAGCCGCAGAACATTGTGGCTTGTTTCTTTGAGCACCGTGCAAACAGGCAAACAGGGGCGCACCTCCGGCTGTGCACGGAAGCTTTGCCCGCAGGATGCTAGATCTGTCTCTGCGACTCGGCGGAGCTTCGCTGCGGCACTGCTCGGCTTTCATGTCTAGGTCCCCCAGCGAGTCGTGCCCGTTCTTTGTCACTTTTTTTTTGGTTGGGAGATTCGGTTCCCCTACTAAAATCGACTGCAGAAAAAAGGGCACCCCTATTCTAACCTCTCTACTGGAGGACCTAGATGTGCTTCTGTGTCCTACTTGCATTGGGTAGTTTTATGTGCTTGTGCCTGGGGTAGACTTAGGATACATGTTTCAGTTTACCAGAGACTGAAAGTGAAGCAAACAAACAAATATACATTCTATAACTGAGCCTAACTCTAATCATGCTGCAGTCCTTAAAATGTTTGAGACCTGTTTAGGTTGTCTTCTGACTAGCTATCTCGCCTTGTCATAGGGTCTTTGGAGCAGTGCTTCATTTATGACATCTCAACCAACCCAGGTCCGTGGCTGCCTTTGTTTTGGAACCGTTCCCTTCAAGGCTTAACAGCCAAGGAAAGCCATCGCCTTTGATTTGGCTGGATTGCAGTGGGGGATTCTGTGATATACGGCAAACGTGGGAAACGACCAGACAACCAAACGTTATTTGGGTCGTACCTATTCTTTGCAGCTCACCTGGCGGTAGTTACTCGGCTTGGTTGCTCATTAGTTCGACCTTGAAATCCTTTAACCTCGCAACCTTTTGAAGCAGGGTTACTTCCCTACTAATTCTGAGCTGTCCAAATCCGATCTTCTTGAGTGTTGGTTTCTTAGTCAAGGTTTTAGCACTTTTTGGGAAGACCGGGTTATTGGTAAAGAACAAGTTATCGACTTCTTCTTTGGAAAATCGGAAGTGAGACTACGTGTATAAAGCAGTGTTCATCACTTTAAACCATGTCCATCACTTGTTTGGGGTCACAGAACCAATCCACTCAGGAAGTCTACAGATGCCTCAGCATTTGTCATCACTTTTTGTTGTCAAAGAACCAATCCACTCAGGAAGTGAGACAAGTCTCCTGCAATTGTCATCACGTTTCTTCCATTTGCTTAAGAATATTTTGTTCTGTATTTTCTCCATGTTGGTTAATATTTTCTCATTTTTCCCGGGGGCGAAAAATCAAATGGAAGTTTTGGGGTCAACGAACCCCGCCGATTCACCGATTCGTGGAATGTCCGGATGGATCCGAGGAGGAGACCGCCTCCTGCGCGGTGCTGAAGTTGAATAGCACCCTGACGCGCGCCACGCACCAGGCGAAGCGACTGCGGAGTGGACACGTGCGAGCATTGTTGAAATGGGTGTCTTAAAATAGGAAATCGGAGCCCCTTCTTGGTTTGGATCTGACTCGATTTGTTGGGTTGAAATCAAAGGTACCCACAAAAAGTCAAACTGTTGGCAGAGCGGTTAACAGCACGCAAGCCTGTTTGGATAGTTCTAAAAGGAAATCCAGAGGGAAACCACCTGCCTCCGAGGATCAGAGAAAACTTGATCAACGCGAATCCAGCTTTTGACCTTGGGTTTCCCAGTGGGCAACTGAGTTGTTGCACGCATTATGAACAAACGTTCGATGTATGCGGTCGGATCAATTACTTGAAAACACTTTCCCGACGGTCAATCAAGGCTTTCCTAAGCACAATCTACTCCGAGACCATGCTAGCAGGTTGCAGACTGGAGTACAAAAACAGTCAAACATGATTAGGATCATTTCCCTGCCACGTGTTTCGGTATCAATGACATTGCAACCGTTTTCCGCTTGTCACATTTGCTTTTTGCCGCTGAGCACCGCTGCCGTGTGCCTTAGTAGAACTTGAGTTAGGTCTCAGCAGAAGCTAACCACTTGCCATGCTCTTGTGCAGTCTCAGGTAGTTCCGAGCTCTGCCATTTGCACTGGTTTGCTGTCGGCAGGGACGGATTTTGCATTGATGTGGGTTCCTTTTGCAGGCAGTGCCAAGGATCTTTCTTGTGGCATATTAACAGGCAGCATGTGTGACGTCACATGTGGGTTGTGTTGCCTGGGCGTTGATGTCTGCACCTTTGGTTATGGCTCTGCAGTGATGAAGGGAGTGTCAGCAACGGCCAAAGCGGTGAAAGCGGGGCAGAAGGGAGCATCACTTGCAAAGGCTGCGAAGGAAGCCAAGAAATCTCTAGATTTTGCGAAGCAGTTTGGTAGGGGTCTGAAAGCCTTCTTTTGCAAGGCTGTGGCGGAGAACTGCCCTTAGCTGACTGCGCGCAGCAAAAGAGTTGACTTGTCTTCCCTGACACGCAATGTGCTGGGAGGCTCGACTGTTTGGACGCAGATGAAAGTGCCTGCCTGCTTTGTGCATGTATTGAGCGCATGTACTGTTTCTCATGTTCTTTTTGCCGGGTTGCTTCGGCTACTACTACTACTACTACTACTACTACTACTACTACTACTACTACTACTACTACTACTACTACTACTACTACTACTACTACTACTACTACTACTACTACTACTACTACTACTACTACTACTACTACTACTACTACTACTCGTTTTTGCAAGGTCAGCCGACATGAGGACTGTCAGCCGACATGAGGACTGTCAGGGATATCTGCCGCCTGCAGTTGAGTGGCATCTTGGCGCCACTTACGCAATTAAAAGAGCAGCGAGCGACTCAGGGCGACCCGCACGCAGCACCGTGCAACACGAATGCGATACAGGAGCAACACGATGCAGGATGACACGCTGGCGACACAGGACGACGCGAAAGCGACACAAGCAGCACACAAGCGACACGCGGCGACGCAGGGCGTAGCGCAAGCGACACAGGGCGAAGCGCAGGCAACATGGGGCACGTGCAAGGGGTGCGGAGAAACAACAAGCGCCCAAGGGCAACACACCAAATCACAAGAAATAGGCAGGCATCATAAACGTCGACAATGCTGCAAGCCGGCAGCATGTTACGTACGCGGGAGAGTCTGGCCACACAGTCTTTTTGCGCAGCGCCACTGTATATTCTTGCTAGTTGCGGAAACGCCAAAACATCATCACTTGGCCAAAATGTAACATCTTTTCGCTGTAGTGACTCCAAAATGCCGCCTCTTGATTTTGGGACAGCCAGTGTAGAGCGAAGGCGATGTTGCAGTGCCAACCACTCAAAAGCCAATTATTTGAACTAGACGCTACCAGCATAGCTCTGGGCAGATCATTGCAAGCTCTCCGATTCAGGGGTAAAACGAGCTTACTGATTAAGATCTAGGGAGTCCGTATTGCCAGTTTGTGACATACCACAATTTGCCCACTGTTGCTTCTTCGGCCTTGGAACCACCCGTTATAAGTAGCAACCTCACATCGGGTTTTGCTTTGCAACCTGAAAACCAAGGTTTCTTTGCTTGAGATCTTGGGGGGTTCTATTCCTTATTGGTTGGATAATTTCCCAGACCTCCAGTGGTGCCCTTTGTCCCATTGGTGCCCTTTGTAGAGGGGTTTCCTCTAACATCAGCTAACAAAAACTTGCTCTTGCTCAGGGGAATGAGAAATGGAACGAACCCAGTTGGGTCCCCTTAAAGGAAACCAAACATCGGATGGTTTAGAGGGGTCATTCCCGCATTCCCTGCTGAGCTCCAGCCATAAAACGGCGCCTTCTTTGGTCTCCGGCCACCGGAGGTCCACCCAGAGATTTCCGTTTCGGTCCGCCAGGTGGAAGTCTTCACCCATGACTTCGAAGAAGTCTTCAAGGCATGGCCCTCGGGGAAATGGCTTCCATGTGCTTAAGAACATGTTTTATTTTCTCCTCGTGGTCTTAAGGGAATCTATGACTTCTGGAAGGGGACTTAAGCAAATGGAAGATTGGTGTTATGAAATCAGGAAGCCACCTTGGTTTGCCTTCAAAAGCAACCCAAAAAAGGTACCCTTCAAACGACACAGCAATGAGCCATGTCCGAACAGACGACACACGCATCTATGATTCCACAGCCACCCCTGCTCCCTTCTATACAACATGTGTTTGGCCGCCAAGCAGAATTGAACCCGGGGAGCCCTTTTGAAGTGCAAGACTCACTGCGTTTTATTAGTGATTTCCGTTTTGGTGGGTTTTAAAGAGAAGCCAATGAAACCAACATGAAACCTATCATTTTGGGCGCCCCTATTTTGAGACAGCCATATATATGAAACAGCTTGAGAACATACATTATATGATTTTGCATTGGGACCTCCTGAGTGGTTTGGACACAAACCAGTTTCCAAATGCTGTCCAAAGGGACAAGGGACCATGACCAATCCACACCCATCGATTTCGGATGCTTGGATGTTCATCACAAGAAAGCAGGTTACTTCACCTGGGAGAAGTTCTCTTCTCCCACTAAATACCCTCCAGTTGCCTTCTTTTAGTCGGAAGGTACCCAAGTTACAACCAGGGCTACAACCTAGTTACCTGACGTGGGTTGAACATCCAAGTGGGCCAAACCTTGTCCGCTTCACGCCGCGTTTTGCACGCGTCAGGTGACGGACGAGAAGCTCCGGGAGTTGGCGCAGAAGCTGCCCGGGCAGTTCACCCAGCAAGCCCAGCAGGCGCGCGGACGCCACGCGCCCGCCGTGGTTTTTGACGGGGGGGTTGGGGTGGGGGCGGGGATGAACAGGGGGTGTTTCGCTGGTTGAGGGTAATTGCATGATGTCTCAGGCAAATCCCTGAAAAACAGGTTATTGCCCCAAATTCATGGGGTGAAGTCCTTCTTTGTTGTGGCTAGTTTGAGGGTCCAGGTACTGTTTTTGCGTTGTGTGAAGGAACACTGGAGGGAACAGTCATCATTTTGGAATATGCCCCTTTTTGGATGGTTTGATCAAAGGTCAGCCAACAGCAAACTCTTGGCAGGAAATATGCTTTGCATGGTTTTTGGTTTAACCTTAATGCTTGTGTGGACGTGCTGACCTTTGCTAGAGCCATTGCACATGATCGATGCACGTGTTAGCTTCGAGGTTAGTCAGGATCGCAGTAAACTGCTGCTTGCTGCTCCTTGTCCGACCTTCGACCGTGGTGGATGCTCTCAAATCCTGCGTTGGTAGGGGGCGTTGGAAGTGGCGACGGGGTGTTTATATAGCTTGGAGTACCGTTAAGCGATCGGACTTTGTTCTTTTTGGGGGCACCGTTTTTATTGGCTGGGACTTGTTTGGTCCAATCCAGTCAAGTCAGCAATTTTGGATGGTGAATCATGGTAATTCACACAGGACTGTGGTGAATACCTCAAAGAGACACGAGGCTTCTCGGGTACAAGTGAGCGCATTAAGTGGATTCTAAGTGGAGTCATGGGCAGCCTTGTCCTGCCACGGTCATGGCTGACAAGGCAAAATTGCAACGATGGTACTACGTAATATCCTACATTCCTGCTTGACTCAACAGATGATGGGAATCAGTATGTGACTTCCGAGGTTGTTGAGCATTGGCCAAGAATGTTCGGAACAGTAAGCCAGTCCTTCCAGCTACCATTCTAGTAGGCAACCAAGGGAATCCATGATGTGAAACCTAGAGGTCAGAAACCGTGGTTACCTACGTTTGTGGTAACTGGAAGCATGGGAAAAGCTATTAGTCTATTGTTGCTAGATGTACCCCTCGAAGGGACCATGATTCAATCCTTGTGCCAGACAGAATCCAAGTCTTCACTGGTTGCTAGGCTTTTTACCTGTAGATTTTGGGGAAGATGCGCGCGTGTGCGTGTGCGCGTGCGTGTGTGTGTGTGTGTGTGTGTGTGTCCCAGAAAGAACCACACACACACATAAACTTGTTTGTGCAAGCGGGTACTTGACACACCGAAGTCATAATCAGATACGTTGGCGGCTTTTGCTTGCATTCCGATTTTTCAGCAGACGCGCGCATGTGCTAGGCTTGCGCGCAGATGAGGAAGAGAGGCACGGGCCGATGGTACCAGGGTGAAGGCAGCAATTGTTTGGGATACCGTGGTTTAGGAAGGCTTTGGGGGAAACATGAGGATCCGGGATCCCCCCAGGCAAGTTCTCAGAACCCGCCTTAAAACCCATTCTAAGAATATTATAAGAGCCCCGATTCAGGCCATGCTTGCCTCCCTAACTTGCTGTGATGCGAATGGGAATTCCCTCAAAGTGATACAGTACTCACTTGGGCTGACTCACATTAGTATGGGTACGTTCAAAATAGGAAAACCATAGTGTTCTTTTTGACTCTCCTTTGAACCAACCATAAAGGGTAGTCTCCAAACAATACACCCGTGTCACAGAAAGGCATATTATGCACATGCAACCAATAGTCACTTCGCATAGTTACAACATAATTATTTGGGACAAGGGGTGTATAGGAGTTTGGCCTCCCTGTAAGCTTCAACCGTTCCAAATGCGGATCCTCTAGTTTGGCACATTCCCAACAGAGGGAACTCCGTCAAACAAGCAACAAACAACAACAAACAAGAAACAACCAACTCATCTACTGTAAGGGGCCACATGATGAGTTGAACAGCTGGGTGTGGTTGATTTTTGAGGGTACCTGACATCCGCAACATCCTGCAGATTTGCCAGATGGAACCGCCCACCTTGCTATGCCCAGGGACCCACAGTTTCGGGCTTGGCCTACGACAACGAGGCCTCGAAGATGAGCTTCAGTCGCGGCTCCTGATCTACGGGCCTGCGCTGGGGCGGTGCACCCCAATCCGAAGTGGAGGGGAAGAACATCCAGGCATTGGGAAGTGCCAGCAAACCGGACGTCGTGCACCGCAACAAAGCCATCTGGTTGATTCTCCCCGCGGCCAGTCAGCTTATTGGTCCAGCCTGGTTAACGCTCTTTCCATCTGGCTACCGGAGTCCCACGACAAAGCCAACTAGTTTTACTGAGGGTCCCCTAACAAGAGACGCCCCAGCTTTGATGGCCAATTGGGTTGGTGGGTTTCCTCTTGCTTGAACATACAGGTACTCAGGCACTCCCTAGTGTGTAGAAAACATGGCTCAGAATTTCCTTGCATAAGAGTGGGCACAGACACCCTGGTGCTAAAACGTTTTTTGTTGATTTTCCCTAAAAGGAAACAAGAAGCGAATGGATACCCTCCCACCAATTAACATGGAACCTGACAGGGGGGTTCTGGAAGACCATTCTCCTTTTAAAGGACCGGGTCCCTGTCAGGTTCCATGTGAAAAGGGTGGAAGGATATTCGGATGAACGAAATCCTTCTCCAACTATGACACCAGGGGAACTCATTCTTGTTGGTCTTTACCGAAGAATCAGTATTCGAGGGTTTCTGAGGTGCAGAATTTATCCTCCATCCACAGTATCCCGAGGCCTTAGGCCCCCGGCGTTTCCTTCTCATTCGCGCAAGCCTGGCCAGGCTTCCAGACGGCCGAGAACATCCTGAGGCAGGGGAAAGCAGATCGATATGTAGGGGCCACCCTACTAATCTTATAAGTTTCTTTCCTGCAGGTCCTGATGTCGCTCAAATATTTAGTTTTGTGATTTTTGTTGACGTTTTTTGTCATGAGCCTTTATTTTTTTGGCAATTTCGTAGAGCCTAGGAGAGCACGCAGGTTTCCAGAAGGGTTCTTCCCCCTTTTTAGGGTCTGAAAGTCTGCTAACATGAGCGGGGGGTGAAATGGTTGGAAAACCGAAGGCTATGCGCCTGTTCAATTCATATTTTTTGTTTTTAAAGTTTCGTTTGTGGTTGTTTCCACCAAAAGCATTGGAAAGAGCTCACAGGTGGAGAGGACGCGAGTAGAGTCGGCGTAGAGATATTATTTCGCAGAGAAGGTACGCTAAAACGACGAGCAAAATTGCAAAACATGCAATAAGCACGCGAGCCTCCCAGACAAGGACCAGAAGTACAAAACAAACACCGACAAACAAAAGGCAAGTCTCCCAGACAAGGACCAAAAACGACAAAACAATGCAAGTCTCCCAGACAAGAAAACAATGCAAGTCTCCCAGACAAGGACAAAAACACATGACAAACAAATACAAACAAATGACAAAAATACAAAAATGACCAAACAGAACAGAAATAACAAAATCCATGCAGAAGCACATTTTCAAGCCCCCGGCCCCTTTCCAGTCCCACCGGTCCCCTGGTTTCCCGGTTTCCCCCGCCCCCCCGCCCCCCCTGCCACGTCCCTCCCCCCCCCTCCACCCTCCACCCCCGCCCTCCCCGCCCCTCAACGTGGGTATGGCCCGGTCTGGCTCAAAATTAAAGAGCCGGGGTTACGCGGGTTTTAGTCTTCGGTTCCACTTACCAGGGTTCCAGTTTGGTACCGGTTTTTTGAACCACAGCCACGTGTGGAGAAAAAACTTGGTGGCTACGATGCGCTGCTCAGCTGCTCAGGCCGGGCACGCTTATGGGTTCCCTTGTGGCTCCGACTCTTGCCTGGAGATTGTTGAGATTGTTTTTTTGGCTGAAAACTACTTTGGCACACTTCTTGATTGTGAGTGCGAAACGTGGCAAACAGCATCGAAGCAAAGCACCTTGTGCACCATCACGCAGCACAGCGCAAACAGGTCGCGACTGCCATTTGTTTTTGGAGCGTGATGCGCGCCCAGCAGCTACGGAGTAAAACACCCACCCCGTGTACGCACGTTAGAACACAACGGCAAACTAGCAACAAGCGCCAATGAGACAATGTTGGCAACGGAGAAAACATGGCAAACAACGACAAACACGACAAGCCCACATGACACAAAAATGAAGAAACACAACAAATATATATTTCAGGTTTTTCAGCTTCTGCAGGGCAAAGTAGTTCATAATACTAATCAGAGGACCCCCCCAAAAAAATAGATTGTGTCCTCACAAAAAGGGAACCACCCCTGATTAGTACGGTCCTTTGGGTTAATTTGACGTTGACATTGCCTCACCAGTTGGGATAGCCATATAGCTGAAGCCGGAAACCTTGTGGATATTGTGAGAAGCCACTTGCCAACTGGTGCGAAGTGGGTTTTGTCCATGTTGATGGACTGTTTGGTTCAAGCTTAGCATTGTTTCCGCATGAAGCAACGGAAACAGGATCCATTTCTCCAGCTAAAAGTCTCCCATCCAGTTCTGTTGCCTCTGTGCCCGTGGCACACACCCATCACCCTCACACCAAACACGGAAGTGCCCAAAATCTTTTGGGTCTTTGAAGGCTGCACACGTGCGCGTTTTGAGTGCTTTTTTGGGTGAGAAGGGTACTTTTTTTTGATGCAGATATCCAGCAAGCCCAGCATATCTGTTTCGGACAACTCGCCTTCATCTCCTGAGGCGCAGCGCGGTTCCACTTGCAACTCCCGTCGGTTCCCGGTCCACCTGTTGGTACGTTGGTAACTCAATCAAAAGGGTAGAAGCATCGGCCCACCGCGCAACCCCAAGCGGGTTTTCTTTTTGAGTCGGTAGCCCTTGTTTTCTTGGTTGAAAGGGAAGCTATAACCATCATTTTGGGTTCCCTGTGTTAAGACACACCCAAAGCTCGGTTGCCAAATTTAGCCGGGCAAGTTCAGGGAACGGTTAAATGAGATAATGTGTGCTTAGGCCAAAACAAACCTGGGTGCTGCGAGCCTGTGGCTAGAGGCAAGCGGACAAGCCCCCGGCCCTCAGCAGAGTAAACGATGGCTTGACCATGTGCCCACGGGCAAAGGGAGCATATGTAAAGGGCACTGTTGACACCCCCTCCCCCGCACCCGGATGCCAAAAACCACTGCCAGGTAGGCAAGCAGTTTGGTTTTCTCAAAGATCACCTTGACTGTGGGTAAGGTCTGGAGAAACTGGGTCACGGAGATTTATGTTTAAGAGAATCTCCTGGACCCCCCTTTTGTGTCAGTTTGCAGGGTGGCTTAAGAGATAAACTTTTTTTCTGCTGAGTACCGGAAGACTTGCCAAGTAGTATAAAGAGCTGAGTCAATAGAGTAGGAGTTTGAGGAACGTGAAAATCGACGCTCCGCCTCTCAAATTATTTCACTTTGGGTCGTCCCACCGCGTTTGAACCACAGACTTTCAGCTCTATGAGTGTGTTTTTTTGTTTTGTGAAGGTATTGTGGGTTTTTGTTGAAATGATTTTCCAAGCTTCACCATCAAATCACTGAAGTTCAGGTCTTCAATCATCTGGCCTCGTGCCGGTCCGCTCGCTTGCTGACGCGCGCGCGCGTCAGGGTGTACCACAAGGCCGCGCAGAACCAGATCCTAGTGATCGACCGGCTTCAGGCCGCGAATGGGCTTTGGTTGCGTCATGATGGGACCGACTTGCGCGTTGGTGCTTTTTTTGCTTGGATGTTGTGGGACTTTAAAGGCTGCATGTTGCAAGCATGCTACGTTGTATGAAATGTACTTAATACATGTTGCCCTGGCAAGTCATGTTGCAAATAATGGGTTTTCCGGATTAAACCACTAAAAGTAATTCACTTTTCGCAGGGGAGCAGATTTCGCAACCGAGTGCGGAGTGATCAGCCCCTTTGAGTTTGTTTCGGCACGTTTTCGTGACCTTGGAGCATCTTAGCGGTAATGAAAGGGGAGCAGCAAAACAAATGGCTGTGGGTCAGAAATAGGTACTCAGAATGGAACCCTGGTAAATGGAAATAATGACTCAAACATTTTGACCCATACCCAAATTTGGAAGTTCGGACTTTGCGTGGAGAGAAAGTGAGACCGACCCCTTGGCTGTGGCTTGGGATTGGTGATCAGCCTCTGAAGAGGGCGATTGGAGCAGACAACTGGGGGGTCAACGGCATGGGTTCTTTCCCAGAATTTGGTCCCATTCTTCCTTTTTGCTTTTTTGGGGTCCCCTTTGTTTTCCACTAACCCAGGCAAAAATGATATTTTTTTGCTGGGGTCCTAATTCCAGCCAAGGTTTGTGGCAGGGCCTGGGAACCTTTCAAGTGCAGGGCTGCACGTGGTGGAATGTAACTACTTGGGGGTCGCTTGAATAGGTTGTATTACCTGGGTTACTGGGTGGAGGATACGTGGACCTAGGCGATGAAGGGCCACGAAAGCAATCAAAACATTTTGGACTACAAGAGCCTCGAACCACAATCACTTTTATTTTCGCGCGGTGGGAAACCAGGTATAGCCTAGGGTTTTCGTATGTCGCCCTGGGAATACGCCCACTGGGAAATGACCCCATCTGGGCATATTTCCGGGGTAACATCATGTTATTTTGGGCACAATTTGGGCCATTTCCCAAGATTTTAAATCCCAGGGTGTAGCACAACAAGACTTAGTAATTAGTCTGAGAATCGGATGCTATTTAGGTGGAATGCATGCTGGGCATGTAGCAAATTTGCTCACTTGTTCAGTGGCTCCCTTTTTCCCCCTTTTTTTGGTGGCTGCCCCACTAAAATGGTCCAAGCCCCAAAAAAGGGGTCCCTTTTTTTTCCAAGGGTCACTGAACAACTGAGTTTGCGTAAAGGATACCAACTTGTGGATGTTTTTTGCAAGTAGGTCTTAGCTCGTTAGTCCCATTCCCAGGACCCATGAGTATGAGGCTTCGATAAAATGGGCTTGCTTGGCAGGAGCTGACCCCATGGTCCTTTGCGCTGGGCTTTTTCCTGTGCATAAACCACCCTAAAAAAACTGGGTGCTAATGTGGCACATGGAAACTGCAGAAAACGGAAATGCGGATTTGCGAGCGCGCGCGGTTGTGTGTGTGTGTAGTCTCAGCACCCAAGACAAACTTGATGTTTCTTGAAGAGTTTCGTTCAGAATCACGAGCTTCGGTTTCAGTGTGTCTTTGCTTCAGTGATGTGCCACCCACTGATCCCATGATTCTACCAGTGTCAAAGTCACCTTTTCAGTGATAGGTTAACTTGGCTGCTATTGGGTTGGATCTTTAGACTTCAACTTTTTGGGAAATCAAGTTGCGACCAACTCCACAAACAGTTATTCACTTTTTGCAGAGGGGTCAACAGCAACCAAGTAGGGTCCATCTTTTTGACAGCAACAAGTCCGTCACAATGACCCCAGACCCGGACCGCACCGGACCCCTTCAGCTCCAGTTGCTCGATCCCTTTGGCTCCCATGCCGCTGGTGCCTCGAAGCCGCAGGCCACCTGCGTCCAGCTAGGCGCGGAGAGAATCAAGAGTTGGCTGCTTGAGGTTCCGCGGCAAAATACCAACTCCCCTGCAAAACAAATACATCGAACCCAAGGAGATGGATGGGGCCCCGTCTTGTTCTCTTTTTTTTATGAAACAAATTGGGGATCCTCAAAACGGGTGGTTGAACCAAAAAAAAAAAAGCATATATATTTTTCGCGCAGATGTCTCTATACGTGGTGCTTGTTGGGTTCCGTTTTAATCTGCAGAGGAATCCATGATCCGTTTGCTACATTCCCAATGCAAACCAAGGCACTCAATATTTGTGTTGGGCATCCCTATTCCAAACCTCTCAAACGATTCCCCAAGAATCCGAAAGAGATTGGAAACCGACAACCAGGCTCAAAGTTGCTGGGCTCAGCAAGAATGACCACCCTAGCTGGGTCTGTTTTTTTTTTGGGTGGGGTACCCCTTTTTGGGTGGTTTTAAAGGGAAACCACAAGGACAACTGCCATTAAGGCCCCCTACACAAAAGACACCCAATTCAAGGCCGTTAGAACACACCGTTACAACTCCGAAACATCAGAGCACAGCCAGCTGCGGAGCTCGAGACTAAGCGGCGCAGCACGAATCAGAAATTCGCGCGCATAAGGGCCGGCCATTTCAGGAGTGGTTCTGCGACAGCGGCCTGACGTGCAACGCGTGCTACGCTGTAGCCCAAGCGGCCTTCACATGCCGCGGTTGCAGTGAAGGGAAGACCCACCTCGATGCGCCTATGTCCTTGACGGATACTGCATTGTTTCGCCGTGGTGCTTCATGGTGCTTCACGGGATCCTTTGGGGCGCTTTTGGTTGAAGGGAAACAACGCAAAGCCCGCCATTTGGAGTGGCCTTTGGTTCCCACATATTCCTCTAGGGGTTGATTCCCCATTCTTTCCAACCATCGTTCTTTTCAAAAACCGGCTGTTTCCTCTGGGTTTTGATGGTTTCCTGAAAAGAAGGATCCAGGAAAGAATGGGGAAGATACCCCTAGAATTCTAGATTCACTGTTGGTGTGCAACCCGACGGAGCGGGGGTACCCCCGTTGCGATCTCTGCTCAACTAATTTCACATGTTGTGGCTCGTACCTCCCAAAAACAAACATAGAACCCGCACAGGAACCGGTTCCTGGGAGACGCTGTTCCTTTCAAAGGGGACCCCCGTGCAGAGTTCTATGTTTGTGTTGTAGCCGGGGAATACAAATGAAGTTCCATTGCGCTCTTAAGCTTGGAATTGATGAGAGCACGGAACTGACGGCGTTTTATTTTACCTTTCCTTTTCCGTTTGTTTCGTGGTTTAGAGCTTCGGTCATTTAATTTGCTTGAAAGAGCATTCACCCGGAATGGGAGGATCTGGCCGACAATTTTCCTCTGAAAGGGACCCCTGTCAGAACCCACATTGAAAAGCTGAGTCAAACATTGTCCCTTCCGGTGAATTCCCAACGTGGGAACAGGCTGATATGGGCATGGGTGGCATGGGTCAAAACTAAACCCAGGTCACCGCAGGTGTGAGTCCTGGGTTCCATTTGCCAGCACCAGTTTTTGAGCCACACCCATATATATATATATACACATGCACACATACACACCTTCATTTTAGGATATATAGGGGGCACTTCCAGGGAGAGGGGTTGTTGGAGGAATGGATTTACATTACCAAAATACGCTTGTAAGGCAGTATGTGCCCCTTATATGAGTGGTGTAGTGGTATACAACCTCCATATTTACCTCCAAAACCCAGACCTGCAAAAGACCTTCACCTATCAACATCACAAGTTCGGCCTTTGTGTGTTTGTATGTTTGTGTTCCTTTTTGTGCGTGATTGCGTGTGTGTGTGTGTGTGTGTGTGTGTTTTCTTTTGGTGTATGTGTGTGCGCGTTGTGCTTTTCAAGAGGTAGGGTGTGAGCGTGGGGGCGCTCAAACCACCTTCTAATGAAAGGGTTTATATAACCGCCAGTATTTACCAGGAGTTTTATGATCAACATTGGGTCAACCATTCTTTTAAATGGGGGTTGAACTCTAGATTAAGTGTGTGTTTGTGTGTGTGTGTGTCTGTGTGTGTCTGTGTGTGTGTGTTTGTGTGTTTGTGTGTTTGTGTGTTTGTGTGTTTGTGTGTTTGTGTGTTTGTGTGTTTGTGTGTTTGTGTGTTTGTGTGTTTGTGTGTTTGTGTGTTTGTGTGTTTGTGTGTTTGTGTGTGTGTTTGTGTGTTTGTGTGTTTGTGTGTGTGTGCGTGTGTGCGTGTGTGCGTGCGTGTGCGTGTGCGTGTGCGTGTGCGTGTGCGTGTGCGTGTGCGTGTGCGTGTGCGTGTGCGTGTGCGTGTGCGTGTGCGTGTGCGTGTGCGTGTGCGTGTGCGTGTGCGTGTGCGTGTGCGTGTGCGTGTGCGTGTGCGTGTGCGTGTGCGTGTGCGTGTGCGTGTGCGTGTGCGTGTGCGTGTGCGTGTGCGTGTGCGTGTGCGTGTGCGTGCGTGCGTGCGTGCGTGCGTGCGTGCGTGCGTGCGCGCGCGCGCGCGTGCGTGCGTGCGTGCGTGCATGCGTGCGTGCGTGGGCGTGTGTGTGTGTGTCTGTGTGTGTGTGTGTGTCTGTGTGTGTGTGTGTGTCTGTGTGTCTGTGTGTCTGTGTGTCTGTGTGTCTGTGTGTCTGTGTGTCTGTGTGTCTGTGTGTCTGTGTGTCTGTGTGTCTGTGTGTGTGTGTTCATGTGTGGGTTTGTGTGGGTTTGTGTGGGTTTGTGTGTGTGTGTGTGTTTTGTCTTTTTGTTTGTGTGTTTTTGTGTTTGTGCGTTTGCGCGTTTGTGCGTTTGTGTGTGTTTGTTCCTGTGTCTGTTTCGGTGTGTGTGTGCCCGCGCTCCCTTCAGGTAAGGTGATACGAGGTGATGTATAGAAGCGAGCATGGAAACCCGTGCAACAACCCCAAACCGAGGGCAGCCACTCATCTGGATGCTGTGCCTCGGTCCTGTCCACGATCTAAACTGATTTTAAGTAGAGTTACTTATCACATGGATGTTTCAGTCAGAGCAAATGATATACGGAGCCAAGCAATTCTACAGACTATTCTTTACTGTTGATGGCATGTGCTTAGGGTTTTGGTTCTTTTTTGTTCTGTTCATTTGTTTGTTGGGAGGGGGGCTGCAAATATTTCTTTTGCGCGACCGTACCAAGAGTTGGAAAGTGTTTTCCCTTATGATCACAAGTCAACTTGCGTTTACCATACCCCTGGCCAAAAGGAGTTCCCCTCAAAAAGAGAATCCCCGATAATTTCCTTATGGATAATTTCCTAGCCTTTAATTCAAAGTCGTTGGGCCGCCACCCACTGATGCGTAGGGGTACCTGTGTTTGCGATCATGTCCGAAAGCAAAAACGCCCGCGACATTCAAGGCATTGAGGGGGCATCGAAGATCTAGAAGAAGCTAAATAACAAACGAAGAACAAGTCTTCTTCTTCTGCTTCTTCTTCTCGTTCTGGAGACTTTGGGCGTTTGAAGCCTTGCAGAATTGTCTGGTCAGCCCAGTTGATCAGAGCATTGCAGCCTTTTCCCCTTTTCCTTCGGGTTTGCGCGCCACCAAACAGGGAAGCCAACCTGCAAGGGCTTCAACTCTTTTTCTACTACGGTGTGTATGTGTGTGTGTGTGTTTTTTTTTCCGGATTTGGACCCCTCCAAAATGGTGGACGTCTTTCTGGTTTTCCTTCAAAGCCGCCAAACATGGGCACCATCAAAAATGACAACCCGCCCGCCAGACCACAGCAACTTCACTCAGTCACCCGCGACCAGTGTTGGGACTCCCTCACTTAGACACAACCAAGCCTGAACTCTTCGTTTCATAGTTGTCCAATTTTGGTTGATTTGGCTGAAGAATAGAGGACCCTGGTTTACCTGGTGGTTCAATCAACTACCAGGGCCATCTATTTTCCCAAAGAGGGCACCTATGCTTCGTTTGGGACCCGCGTTTTGCGGTTCTCCGCCGCCTGGCTCGCTCGGCGAGCAAGCCAGGAAAAGCCTGCGGAGAGGGGGGCATTTTCAACAACATCAAGGCGCCTTGGGCAAAACAGTGACATGGTCAGAAAGACTATGTTGACCCCGGGTCTCACTTCCTGAGTTCATGAACTTGAGTCGTTTTTTGGGCCTGAACAATTGTTGTGTTAAGCAGAAAGTTTAGATTTTTCTGGCCAATCAACTCAGTAAGTTAGTGATTAATACACCTCTGTTTATTATTGGGGGAGCCGCGGGTGTTAATGGGGATTCATCACTGTTGGCGGGAACGACCCCCATATGAAAAAATAGAGGTTTATTAGTCCGGGGTCAACATCACCTGTGCAAAACTGTTTACCTTGTAAGAGCCTTCGAGGTGAACACACTAGGGCACCTGGGCGCTTGTTTGAATAGTTGTCCATTTCTTGGGCAAGCGCGATGCGATCTTGGGTAACTAATATGTCTCTTTTCAGAAATCATTTCAATGATTCGCCCGAAAATGGCGAGGGAGTTTGCCCGCCCGGGCAAGCTGGGAAACGATTGTACCTGAAGTTCCTTGCCCCCACTAGAATGGCCTTGGGCCCTTTTTGGATGATGAAATTCCCATCAACGGCAAATGATGGTAGTTGATATCAACCCCCTTTGTAACGGTGGTTTCTGAATGTGTGGGTCTATGCACTCCCTCAGCAGGTTACTCGTCCCCACGGCCTATCCGAATCTTCTGCGGGTCGATCGATGTTGTTCTCATTCGATCCCAAAGAATTGGATGGGATCTGGGGGTCGCGATTCGACAGCTTCACCGGGAATTCGCATCTTCTACTCACTTCCTGAGTTGATGGACTTTAAACTTTTTGGAAAGACCATTTTAGTGGTAAATAAAAAGTTCGGACTTTTTTTGGCCAGTCAACTTGGGAAGTGAGTCTATTGGGTTGCGGTAAAACCGAAAGATGGGACAGAGTTCCTGACGCATGAGAGTCACATCCGGGAAAAACATTAAATCCTAAACACATGGTATCTTTGAGGCCCCTCAAGATGCGTTTTCCTGGGCCCCGGCTGTTTGCGATTTTTTTTCCAACCTTTGAGCTTCGACGGGCCTCTTCATTGGAGGGATTTTTCGGTGAGGGGAGCGTCTTCCTTGCCAATAGCCCCCGCTTTCTTGGGCTGAAAGTTTGAATTTGGATTCGGCTTGATGCTGTTGTTTGGCTTGAACATGATTGGTCCCCGACGCTTCAAGATCTTGGACTTGCTTTAGTTAGGGAGCTTAGCCAGTCTGGTAGACCGTTCGTGACTCGAGTCTCGCCTTCGCCAGCACTTCTTCAAGCACTTGTTCCGCCGGTGAGACGGGCGCATTGCGGGCAGGTGTGTGGCTCACTCGGTGCGATTTCTATGTGAGTTTCTGGACTTGACGCGGTTTTTGGGAAGACCATTTCGGTGGTAAGCAAAAATGTGGAGACTTGTTGGGGCAATCCACTCAATCAGAAATCAGTCAATGTCATAGTGGCCCAAAAGCCAAAGGGCTGGAGGGAGACAGGTGCAGCGGAAAACAAGCGCGCAGCCAAACGGATACAGTAGCATGTTTGGGACAACGTGAAGGAGGTTACAGCAGTCACCCGTTCTTGATGGGGTGTTTCCTGCACGATTAAGTCTGGGGTAGTCAAAACGTGGAAACCTGCGAAGATGTTTTGCTAAGGCCGATTGTGTCCGATTGTGGGAAGGAAACTCATATGATAATGTTTCATGGCGGACGCAAAACAGGGTGAGACTTGCTGCATGCGGCTTTTGGTCAATTTGTGTTGTCGTGAGGAGATCTTGTGTGGAGGCTTGGGATGTGCTGGGACTGTGTACGGCGACCAAGAGGAGTTAGCTGTGGCCAATGATGTGAAGGCCTTCACATGTGTACTTTAAAAGTAGATGCTTGCTGAACTTGAGCACCATTGCATGCCAACGGCTCATGAAGATCAAGGTCATAGATACCACAAAGTGTGTTTTTTTTGGGGGAGGGTGGAATGGATGGGTGGAATTGGCAGAGTCAGGATTTTCCTCATAGACGTAGCGCGACGCGTGTTTTTCTTTGGTTTCCACTTCCCACCAAAAGCGCGGCTTGAGGGTTGGCTCGGAGCTCGTAGCTGTGCCAGGAGTGTGCGCCGGAGAGTCCGCCTTCCAAGCTCAAAGAAATCAAGCAGGAGGCCGTCTTCACATGAAGTGAGCAACGGAGAATGTGAAACTTGGTGGCTCTTTGCTCTGCTTCGCCTTTTTGTTAGCTTTTGAACAGGATTACTTCCCTACAAGCTACCAACTTTGTTGTTTCCTGGTAACTTTTAAACATGACTGCCTTCCCTACAAGCTAGCACAAAAATGAACCAACAATCGAGCGGGATCAAAGGCCACTTCTTCTCTGCTGATACAGAACCCCCCTAAGAACCCCAAAACAATTTACTCTTTGAGTTGTGATTTGAGAGCAATCCCTGAGATCCAACAGTAATGTCGAGTTCCCGCAAAGTTGCTCTTTTAATGGTGGCATATACGGGCGCGTATTGAGTTGGGTCTCCTTTGTGGGCTGGATTCAAAGGAAACCACATGAAACCCACCGTTTTGGTGGGCCCCCGATGAAAATGCCACCGCTTCAAAGCGCCTTCCCCGAGCTCTGCAAGCTCGCGGAGAGGTGGCGCTGGAAGCGCAGAGCTCCTGGCGGGGGGAAGCCTTTTTCACCCACGAG